CATTATGACATCTGCCATGGCACATTTATGGCATGGTTATGTCAATGTTATGTAGCAGTGTTCGAATAAAGTTTTCTACTTGAAATTTTTAGATATGTGGAGCAGCTCTGGCAATGTCATATGAAACTATATACTGGGCAAGTACACCTTGGGCAGGACACCTAATGCTACATTCACCTACCTCTGTAACATGACTAAATTGTAAGTTGATTCAGATAAGAGCATCTGCCAAATGTAAATGTATCCCTAAGAGAAACTATACCATTATATTGTGATGTTCATGAAAAATGGCACTCTAAAGAGTCATCTGATTTTTTTTAGCTTGTGTAATCTCCACAGATTAGCAGTTAAAGCATATCATAGTACAGTAAACTTTAATTTTAAGTCACATAATCACAAACAAACGAACAAATTATATTTTTAATAACCACCCACTGTCCTAGTATGCACCCCCATTTATTGGCCTGTTTTTAATCCATCTAATGGAAACCATACACTGTTAGAAATAAAGGTTCTATGCAGGTACATTTTTCGTTCATCAATGTACAAACAATGTAAATGTACCTCAAAGGTACATCAGTGGCTTTAAGATCCAACTGTGTACCCTAAATATGTTTTCCCCAGTGCAAAAGTACATATTTGTACTTTTTAATAACTGAATGTTTTAAAACAGAGCAATAAAATAAGAAGCCTGGAGATGAGATGGGGTGTGTGAAGTCAATACAACTTAGAAAATATAATTTCAATAAATTATGGTACAATTAAGTTCCTGACTAAAGGTACTGAGATATACCCTTGAGGATACCACCCCAGTGACTTTGCCTTCTGTTTAAATGTATTGAATCTGAATGCCAGGACAGAGGTCAAGGCCAGCAAAGATGAAGATAGAAGGACAGTTGAAAGATAGAGTCAGTGTAGATAGCAAACAGGCTGAGGCAGAAATGCAACCTGTTTCTACTGCGAAAGCTCTCCTTTCACTGCCACTACTTGAAATAATGGTGACAGAGCCTTCTCTATTAACGCAGACTGACTGAATAAAGTTTGGATGGCAGTACTTCATTTTAGCAAAGGCTCAATACCCGTAATCTGTTTGTGGTTCGATGACTGAATTTCGGCATAAAAACCACATGCATGCATATCAACAAAGGATTCGAAAAAGGCATTTCATTTTCTGATGCTATATTAATAGGAAAACCCCCATCACTCACTCAAACACTCATGTCCTTTGAAGGAGCTATCATGGAAAAATCCATAGGCCACAAAATATCTTAAATTCCAGTGTTAGGCAAGCATGTTGCTTCTTTATAATCTTGAAGGGGAATTTTACAGATTTTTTAAAATTACTGCAAAATTTGATCGTTGACAAAGTCATTCAGAGTGGTTTGATGTGATTCAGCTCATTGTGGAGAAACCTGCAGACTCAGAGGTGGAGATAGAAACCTGAGGTATAAAATAGCCACTTTTTTGACTATCTGATCTGAAAAATGAATTTTAAAAAAGTTTTATGTAATGTTGATGATAAAATAGTGTTAAATCTGACAAGATTTTTTTTTTGTTGGGGGACCATTTTGCCTTACAACTAGCAGTGGGCATTATGATGATCTTTTGTTATCATGATACATTTTGTCACAACACACTTTTCTGAGTATATCATGTATGTCGTTGGTACTCAAAGAACACTGACTAACTGTGTTTCATTACAAAGAGCATAATTAGTCTTGTTTAATTTAATTTAATAAAAATCATTGTTGTAGGTTTATTATTAGTATATTTTTATTTGTGGCACCACAGGTTCTAATTTGTCTATTCCAATTTATTAAATCTCAGAAAACGAAATGTTGTGGTGCATATTATACACCCTGAAAATGTCTTGAAGTATCATATTTTTGCCGTGTCGCCCACCCTTACTTACAACACCCTTTATTATAATAGGATTATAAAAAACTATATATTCGAGGCCAAAACCATGAAAAATGTCTCAGGCGGTCTATTCATAGCCAATTCATGTAGTTTTGATGAGGAAGGTTTTAGAGGTGTTAACCACTTCAGACATCTGGTTCCTATCACCACCACTGTGAACAATTACCAAACATTCACAATGACAATTGAAAGTGCACATTTCTATGTAAGCACCACGTGATACATCCAAGGTAACTTGACGTATATATCTCAGATATTAATGGAATTTAAAGTATTATTTGCTTTCAAAACTAAAACTAATACTTACAGAAACAAAGAATATATAAAAAACTAAAGGATTTCAAAAGATGTTCTTAGAACTTGGACACGAGTGTTTAATATGGCTAGAAATGGGTTTTCCACAAACACTACAGATTAGTCCTGTCTGTTTCAGGTATTATATCTACACCGATCAGGCACCGATCTTTGTTTCTACACTCATTGTCCATTTTATCAGCTCCACTTACTATATATGTGCACTTTGTAGTTCTACAATTACAGACTGTAGTCCATCTGTTTCTCTGCATACTTTGTTAGCCCCCTTTTTACCCTGTTCTTCAGTGGTCAGGACCCCCATGGACCCTCACAGAGCAGGTACTATTTGGGTGGTGGATCATTCTCAGCACTGCAGTAATACTGATGTGTTGGTGGTGTGTTAGTATGGGTTGCACTGGTACGAGTGGATCAGACACAGCAGTGCTGCTGGAGTTTTTAAACACCTCAGTGTCACTGCTGGACTGAGAATACCAAAAATATCCAGCCAACAGCATCCTGTGGGCAGCGTCCTGTGACCACTGATGAAGGACTAGAGGATGACCCACACAAACTGTGCAGCAGCAGGTGAGCTATCGTCTCTGACTTTACATCTACAAGGTGGACTGACAAGGTAGGAGTGTCTAATAGATTGGACAGAGAGTGGACACTGTGTTTAAAAACTCCAGCAGCACTGGAGCGGCTGACAAAGTATGCAGAGAAACAGATGGACTACAGTCTGTGATTGTAGAACTACAAAGTGCACCTATATAGTAAGTGGAGCTGATAAAACGGACAATGAGCATAGTAACAAGGAGATGGTCATAATATTATGCTTGAACAGTGTATATCTATACAGTTAAATGCAACAGCTTGAGCACTGCTGGTCAAATTACACCTTTTGTTGATTTTTACATAAAATAAGTTAAAACATCCATTTTCTACAAATTTTAGAGCACTGTTTCTATTAGCTGAGTTTAATATATTGGAAAAACTAAAACATATAAAATGTGGCCTGTGTAAAAGTTCTGGCACATTTTATATGTTTTAGTTTTTTAAATTAATGAGAGGCTTTTGCACAAACATCTGGAGTCCAGCCAGCTTGAGTGCGGGAACATCACTCGTTCATTTGGCAAATGCATTTCTACCATAATTTATTGCATTTGTTTTTTATTTGGAAAAAATATATTTACCTCAAGTAAGTGTACTTCTGAATTTATGCAGTTTTATTTAAATTCATTCTGTCTAGTCAAATATGTCAAAATACTGATAACTGCATTTCAGATGTAGATAAGAGGTTTTGTATGGAAATTCTGTGCTATATTAAAGATTCTATGATCTTGAGGTAGAGTTTTGAGAGTAGGTCTAAAGGTAGAGGCAAGAGAAAGAGAATCGTCAGAGGGGAACTCCGAAGTTTGCCTACAGAGGTTGAATGAACCGGAAATTACTGCTTTTGTGGTCTTTTTATGTGTAAGATTTCCTTTATTAACATTTTCTGACCTCTGCTATGCTTTGATGTTAAGATAAGTCTACCCTTGATAAGCTTGCTGAGCTTATCAGTGTGAGTAAGTCAGTGTATGCATGAGCGTGCATGTTGCTCGTGTTGACTTCTGCTGTCAGGCGTTGGTTTTTTGAAGCAAACAGGAGTGGAGACTTGAGGAAAATGAAGTTTATTGAACGCGCGTCTTCCTAACCAAACAAGTCTAAAGTAGCTTACACACTGACAAACTTATAGTCACGAAATGTAAACCACACCCTCAGTTGTCTCTTTGTCTCAACTAACCCCCGGAACCCCCCACGGGATGGACAACTGCCTGTACCTTTGTAATTAAAATAGAGGTGTTGAGGCCCACCCTAGGAACCAGGATGGGTCCGAGATATCCAGTCAGCAAATGGCATTGCTAGATTGGGGGGCTATAGATAACCAGATGTGAGATAGGCTAACCATTGGGGGTCGTTAAATGACAAAGGACTGCTCTCCACAGCCCCCACACATCACCCAAGAGAAACATACAAAATGCAAATGAGATTAATACAAAAAGGCAAGGGAGAAAACAGGGAAAAGATTTAAGAGAAGTTACAAAGTTAATAAGGAACAAATAAAGTAAAATGAAATAAAATAATATTTAACACTGGCGGTCTGTTTGAACACATACAAGTGTTCGTCATTTATATTTCCATTGTTACTTAATTACTATGGAAGTAACTTCTTCTGATTGGGCAATCACAACTGCAGGTGTGCATAAGCAACAGTACACTTGATTAGGATTCTCAGTAAAACAACCCTTTTCTTGCATAAACGATCTAGATCAGGATCTCAAATTCAATTAATCCGGGGGGGACTAGTATGAATATTAACTATATAAAGTTTTCATTTATCATTTTACCCAGTGCTGTAAACTAAAACATGAGAAAAAATGTCCCTCATGTCCCAACTATCAGCCTGAATTGGAATAATGGCTAAGTTAGTTAGAGCTAAAGTACAGTTTCATGCTGCATCAGGTTTTAGATGAATGGTTCCTCCTGCATGCAGCACTTTAGTTTCACTTCTAAAATCATCATCAGTCTAAGCTAATTTTATGGGGCTTATGTTGGGTAACCAGCCACAGTGTCTGGTGGGTGAAGTAAATCTACTCGTCAGATGTAAATATTTAGCCACAGAAAAAACAAAAATATAAGGATTTAATGAAAATTGTAAATATGTGCTGTGCCATATGAAGCTGCAGACCAATAGTTTGAGACAACTGATCTAAATATTTGTTCATCCGGGTTATTTTTGTGTGTGCTAGGTCTTCGAAATTGATCAGGGACTGTTGATATTCAGCCGTTTGGAAGAGTTGGTGCTAAGTGCTAACAACATCACTGAGCTTCCTTCAGGGAACCTTCCGAAGATGCTGCGGGTGAGGAACCAGGGTTGGTGCTCAAACCTGATCCAGCACCCAAATAAAACCTGCTCTGTGGTGGTTCTGTGGGGGGGCCTGACCATTAAAGAACAGGGGAAAGGGGGCTAACAAAGTATGCAGAGACTACAGTCTGTAATTGTAAAAATATAGTGTAGATACAACAAGGTGTACTTAATGAAGCAGCCGGTCAGTGTGTATGGTTAATTTGACCCAGCACTGGATTATTTTTATTTATTTTGTTAGCTATCTGTGATTTTTTTTTTTTTACCTTATATATTGTTCATTTTTATTTGTGACGTGTCAACAGAAACCAGACGCTCGCGGAAGTAAAAGATGATGGCGTTTAATAATACCAGGCTAACCAACCGAAAAAGGGCAGAGCAAAAGACGAAGTCAAAAATACAGGCAAAAAGTTCCAAAACACAGATCAGTCAGGAGAGGCAAAAGCACAAAAGGGAAGAGACAAAAAGGCAGAGTCGATATACACAAAGCAAAGGTTCAAACACGGGATAATGGCAGTCAGTGTACAAACGCCCGGTAGTTCAACAGGAACAATACCTCTCACTGAATTGGACTAAAGCCCGGGCTTATAAAGTAAACTACACAGGTGCTACCAGTTAATATTCGGGTGATTGGGAGCGCTGATTGGAACGTGAGCGAGTGTCAGAAGTCACGTGATCTCCCATAGAATTGTGGGCAATGGAGTCCGCGTCGGAGTCCGAGGGAAGTTGCCGAGTCATGTGATCTCCCAGGGGATTCTGGGAGATGAAGTCCGTCTCTTTCAGAGAGTTCGCCGAATGCGTGACATTATTATTATCACATATTATTTATATACACATTTTTAAATAAAATTAACTACACAGGCTCAATAATGACACGCTGTTAAATTAAGATCTATTCTTTTTAATAGCAGTTATTGTTGTTACTTTTGTGTTAAATAAAATATAAATAAAAACATAAATACATGTATAAATCACATAAGCATGTGTTTGTTAAAATGAACATGTAAGATTTTTAAACATAGAACTCAGCATTAACTAAAACAAATTAATATCAAGCAATATTTGCATTTCATAAATAACCATAATTAACCAAACCAAAACCAAAAAATTAGCATGTTTGTTCATTTTGCATTTTTGTTTGTTCTTTTTTTCATTTAAATATTATAGTTTTGATTTGGAACAGTATGTCACATCATGTCAGATAAAGAGACTGAGTCTGACTGGATTTCTGCTTACCTAGATACTCATGATACAGATGAAGTTTAAGATGTGAAACTCTTTAAAAATTTTGTTTAGTGTTTTCATTTCAGTAAGTTTAGCTGGTTTACTGAATGTCTAGCCAAGTTCATTTTCTACTGCTAACTTAATGCACCAAGTTCAAATTCAAAATAGGCCGAAAAAATCTCATTAAAGATTCTGAGGATTCTGTTATTTCAGTGTTTTATATTAATTTGTTTAGATTTCATAACATAAAGGAATCATCTAAACCATTTCTCTGTCTCTCAGCTACTCAGGAGCCAAATGAGTAACTGAGAACACACTGAGCGTATTCATTCAACAGTCAAACAAATGAATGTATTTGGCTTTTTTTTTGGCTCTTTAAAACATTATTTTCTATTTTTATATCTTTCACTTACTTATCTTGCTTCATTCTTTCAAAGAAAAGGGGTGAGACTGGAAAACTACAGGTGGAAATATGGCTGTATTCAGCCTTTAGCTAAGATTACCTGTGTACAACAATTCTAATAAAAAATAATAATAATTAATGATTAGTTTGCAATGGCATTTATCAGTAAATAGAATAAGAGAAGATGTATGTACCTACATGAATATTCTGAAATAGCCTTATTTGTATATATTATAAGTGCACTGCTAAAAATTGACAACTTTTTTCATATTATACATTTTAAGGTTCTGGAACTGTATGCCAATCAGATTAAAAGCCTCAAGAGTGTCAGCACCAGTCCTCCTCCTCATCTCCAGCATTTAGGCCTTGGGAACAACTGCCTTGGCTCTCCAGAGGACATACAGTACTTTACTGCAGACCTTTGGTAAAGACTCAACCATAAGGATCATGTTTCTGCCGTGGGCTAAACATAGAAACCTGCTTTTGTTACATCTGTGTCATGGAACACTTTACAGGCTGATTATTCAATTATTAACCTTAATATTCCAGGAATAGTTCAAATTGACATGACTTTCCTCTTACCCCAAATGCAATAAATCAGATGTTTGATGTCAAAATTTTGCTTCTTTAGTTTAGAACTGGGGCTAAATGTTGGAAACAAACACTGGAAATTAATAGTCGCCCATTCCATTTCCACAAATACATGACCAGAAACTACTCAACCTCCTTAAACTGCTTTCAGGCTTTAAATGTGGTTGAGCAGACTTGTTGATGTGGTTTAGAACACAGTTCCAATTTTAGCTTAAATGTGTAAAGAAGATCTGTCCATGCCATTTTGCTAAATGTTATTTTTCTAAAGAAGTTTACATAGCTTCAGTGTAATTTTAATACAAATATATGAAGATGTTGGCATGTATTTGTGGAAGCAGTTTCTGTGACTATTTACTTCCAGTATTTGTTAGCACTGTTATCCTGCTCCTGTTCTAAACTGAAGGAGCAAAACCTGGACACCAAACATCTGATCAACTACACAACTACTGTGTCTAACAGTACAGGCGAACAGTTATGGTGCCCCCTCCCTATGTACTCTGCAAACATCTCCTAGTGACACACACCGCTGATCTGTTAATAATATCCTAATATAAGATAAGGTACATGACCAACATGTACAAAAGTTATATCCTTCAGTGCTTATACCTTTGATATTTAAGATAATGTGCCAAGAACTTAATGCGCCAAGACACAACACAGGTGTTCAAAAAATCAAGTCATTGTACTCAACATCTAACCTAATCTTCTTAATGCTTTTTCTATCCAGCATGAAAACAAGGAAAACACACATATTGTTATAAGGCAGGGGTGTTTTGGGATTCTATAAAGGAGTAGCTTTATTGTTAATCACTGACCTCAAATCTAAGTGCTGGCCCTTTCATCAGGACATCATGTGTTCCATCTCTAGCAATGGCATATCCCTTGTTCAGGCATCCAAGAGTTCCTCCTTGATCTCTCTCCCCCATCACTCACCATGATGCTAGATAAGGAAGGCATCTGCATCTGATGTAGCATTTAGTGTTTAGTGTTCTCCTGCGTGTTGAGCTGTCCAATGATGTTGCATTAGAGGTTGGTGGGGCTGGTGAAGATGAGGTGGTTTTTCATGTGTCTTGGAGGAAGTATGGCCATGTAGATTATCCACATCTACACTGTAGATGGGCATACGTTTAATACTGATAGATGAAACAAAAAAATGGCAAGACCAACAAATGAAGGAATAATTTACTTATTTTTAAGGAGAAATAATTTGAAGGAATAACTTCTTGCAAAACCAGACATGTCTACTGTGTCTGCAGTTAGCATCATGGATGTCACAGATGTGAAGAAAATGCAAGAAGGGTGTTTTTGTTATTGTTAAATGAATAATTTGGTAGTTTGAAAGAAATATGCTCTGAAATAAGGCTGAGCTTAGACATTTTGCCATGAGTAAGGGGTGTAGGCACATGTAGCGGAATAAAATGTAGTCAAGGCTGCATGAGATGAGTTCAAGTCAAGACCGAGACCTGGAGTAGCATGATTAAAACAAGACCAAAACAAGGTTATTGTTTGTCCCTTCTTCTCTAAACCTTATTCAGAATCACCACCTCATGCATGAAAGCAAACCAGACGGCATCAATTTTTACATTTATGGCATTTGGCAGACACTCTTATCCAGAACAACTTAATTGTTTTACACAGGTAGACAAAGGTAGTGTTAGGAATCTTGCCCAAGGGCTCTTACTAGTATAGTGTAGGGTATTTGCCCATGTGGGGGATATAACCCCAGTCTACAGCATAGAAGGGAGCAGTGTTACCCACTACACTATACCAACCACATATACATCTATTTTTATTACTAAAAGAAAGCATATTAATAAAAACATTATGCTCTGCCCTCAGGGGATGTTTTAGATATTGAAACCAATGAACATCAACAAATAATAATTAGTCAGGCTCAACCAGAGGAACAGATTTTATACAAGAATTTTTAGAGCAAGGACTGTTTCATTCTGTTTGAAAGGATTGTTGATATTCAATAATGATAGCAAAAAGTTAAGTTTCTATTTACCACAGACTTTACTGCATCACTCTCGGCTGGTCTCAAGAACAATTTCCGAGTACACCTTAACCCCTGACCAAGACAAGACCAAATGATGTTGAGACCAAGACAAGACCCAGACTAGGCCTGAGTACTACAACACTAGTAAAATCACTGTAACAGACAGCCTGAATGCTTTTATATTACTCACATTACAATATGCAGAATACCCATTTCTTCTTCACCATGACAAAATACACCAATGTTCAATAAACAATTGAATTCAAGTCTGAAATAATCATTTATGTCAATGGGATGGATTTTGCAAAGGTTTTGTTAGGAGCATGTCATACATTTTTATGTATTCATGTCACTTACATTCATTAATAATACATTAACAATTCACTTACATCCTCAGAAGACACATCCTTCACCAAGTATTGATTGAGTTCTCTTTGAATGTTCTTTCAACTCCCTCACAATCATCAGATTTATCCGCTTGAGGAAGTCCAAAGCACAATCCATGTTACAAAAAGTTCTTGTGCACGCTGCATGCAATTACACATTTCCATCCCAAAACATACATAGTGTACCTTTAATATATTATGCAGTAAGTTTATATTGTTTTGCTCCCCTGTAGGCCCCAGCTGAGGTCTCTAGATCTAAGCTGGTCTGGATTTACAGAGCAGTGTGTTCTAGTGGAAGCTCTCTCTGCACTGCCACATCTACAAAGTTTAGTTCTAAAGGGCAACCCCCTGACACTAACCCCTTCATATCCAGGCTTTGTACTGGACAGCCTGTTCCGCTTGCTCTACATAGATGGAAGGCGAGTAACACCAGAGGACCGTCTTCGCTTCAGTGGCCTTGCCCAACTCAAAGGTAACAGAAAACAATTTTCCCTCCAGCTTCTGTGTCTGTGATATTATCCTTAACCACAAATATGAAAACTAATCAAGGTAAATATGCAAGTACTTGATCAAACAAAGCCTGTCAAAAAACTTCAGTAAAACACAACATTTTTGCAAGACATCGCTGTATATAGTAACATCTGAATATCTGCTGCAAGGTTTTGTGTCTTATCTTCATAACTGATATATCTGCAAGAACCAGACAAACCCAGATGAATTTGTAGCAAAAGGGCTGCGTAGTCACATGTTAGCCAATAAGAAGTAATATTTTCTCAGTATAAGCATGAAATATCTAATGCTCACAGTCAATTATATTAGTAATGGTAACTTGCAGTAACCTAACTTGCTTGTGGAATTGGACATGACTAAATTGGGGCGAAAAAAGTAAAAAACAATTTAAAAAACAGTAGAAATGGACTTAACTGTAACAATAATATGCAGAGGCTTTCAGAGGCTTTTTTTTGGAAAAAGATAGGAAATGATTACTTAAATATATTAAAATATAAAATGTGGCAGAATAATGTAAATTAGTGAAAAAGGTTTTGGAGAATTTAAAATATGCATTATCATCAATCAAATTTTGAGCTAATAAAAGACGATTCATAGAGAAGTTAAATTTAAATTTTAATTTTTTAAGTAACAATTTTGCAGAGGTAGAGTAATCATGCAACCTACAGCATTGTAGTTACAAAACGAAATGAAAATATGCTCACTGTAACAGCCACCATTTGCAGTCAAAATATATTTAAAATAAGATTGTTTGATGTAGCATGTAAACATTGTTAAAGTTTCAAAACATACCGTTTACTCCCCGATCTGTACCTATACCTAAATTAAGCTGCAAAATAATGATATCACTTCTGCATCAGCTGAACCTACCTGCAGATCTTTAACTGTCATATGAGGGTTTTGCTTTGGCTTTCAAGCCAGCATAAAAGCAGTTTTATCTGAGATTATTCTTGGTTTTCTAGTTCTTACCTTGACTTCCACAGTTCTTCATTTCTTAATGACATTTTGGACAGTGGAAATTGCGAGCTGGAAGCACTTTGAAAGCTATATCCTTTCCCTGCTTTGTAGGCATCAGTTAGCTTCACTTCACTCAAATTCTCAGCCAGCTGCTTAGACGAATACATGGTTGTTGAGTGTTAGCAGAAGGTTTGAAGAGTCCATTGTGCTCTGGGATAGTTCATCAGCTATATAGTTCCAGATGACAATCCTTGACGGTTTAAATGAGTTAAGTTCTGAGACTTTACTGGAAGCGTGTCCAAACTTTTGCACAAGCCACAGGTAAAGATTTATTTTTAGTTAATTAAATATAAAGTAACTATGCAATGATGTTTACTTTTGCAGAAACAATATAAATATATATTTAAAATAGTTGGCTGCAGAGTTTGTGTGTACTTCTTTCCACATCAGAAATCAACATAAAATGTAATTGCATCACATTTTAAAAAATCACATTTTAAAATTATTGGTAAAAATATTTGTGTTTGCTTGTGAAACCACATTCCTTTTCATCCAGAAATTTGTGTTCATTTTCCATAGTAATAAAGCTGGTTATTATCACATTCATTCTCAGCTATAAGGAAATCTGATTCACAAAACAGCAGAAATCTTTTTAACAGAATTATAATTTCAACCAATAAATATGTGTTGCAATAGCTGTGATTTATAATTAGTGAGTTTGCATCACATTGACCTGCCTAAAACTAATGAAACCTTTTGCATTTATAGGTGTAGTTTTTGAGGAAGCAGAGGTCAATGTGTGCATACAGAAAATGAAGGGTGTTCCTAGCCCTGCTTTGCCACTGGATGAGTTCCCTGTGATCAGCCACAGCTATTCAGTCTCCTACGAATTTCTCAATCAACCTCAGTCCCAGGAAAACATACATCAGGTTCTCTTTCACATTTACAACATCACAACTAATTTGCAGAAAACAGCAGCAACAACAACAATAATAATAATAATCATCATCATCATCATCATCATAATAACATTTGACTTGCATGGATGTTATTGTTCAGATGCTAATTTAACTGTAAATGAGAGGAATTTAAATATATGAGTAATGTACCAAAAGTATGTGGACACCCACATGGCAATCTCCAAAGACAAACATTGGCAGTAGAATTGATCATACTGAAGAGCTTGGTGACTTTGAATGTGCCACTGTAAGGATGTCACTTTAGCCACAAGTCAGTTTGTGAAATTTCTACCCTGCTAGATCTGCCCCAGTTAACTGTCTGTAAGTGCTATTATTGTGAAAAGGAAGCATCTACAAGCAACACCAGCTAAGTCACAAAGTGGTAGACCATTCAAACTTAGAGTGAGGCGTGAACAGCATTGTGCATAAAAATTGTCTTCACTACAGAGTTCCAAACTGCCTCTGGAGGCAAGATCAGCACAAGAATTGCCTGTTGAGAACTTCATGAAATGGGTTTCCGTGGCTGAGCAGCTGCACTCAAGCCTAAGATCACTATGAGCAGTGCCAAGCGTGTTCTCTGGAGTGATGAATCATGCTTCATCTTACAGTCTGATGGATGAATCCGGGTTTGGCGGATACCGGGAGATGCTGCCTACCAGAATACATAGTGCCAACAGTGAAGTTTGGTGGAGGAAGGATAATGATCTGGGGCTGTTTTTCAGGGTTTGGCTTGGCCAGTTCCAATGAAGGGTAACGTTAATGATACAGCATACAAAGATGTTTTGGACATTATACGCGTCCAACTTCGTGGCAAAAGTTTATGAAAGTACCTTTCATGTTCCAACAACTGTACACCTGTGCATAAAGTGAAGTCCGTAAAGACATGGTTTGACCAGTTTGCTGTGGGGGTACTCCACTGAACATCTTTGGGATGAACTGGAACATCAACTTTGAGAGAGGCCTTCTAATTCAACAACTTCACATTTGCTCATTTGACTGAATAGACACAAATTACCACAGAAACATTCCAAGATCTTGTCAAAAGTCTTCCCAGAAGAAGGGAGGATGTTTTAGCCCTGAAGAGGGTGTCAACTCTATATTAATGCCCATGGTTTTGGAATGTCCAATAAGCTCATATAGGTGTGATGATCAGGTGCCCACATACCTCTGGCCATATAGTGTATGTACCAAGACTAATATTAATGATATATTAAAGGAAATCTCATAATTTGCAGACAGATGTGGGTTATACCTCAGCAAATGTCCCTCAGAATCTGCAAGAGCAACATGAGGAAGTAGCGTCAGTTTCACATCTGCCAGCAGATCTCCTGAAAACAAGCAGAAAAGACCAGAATACAGGTACTTCTTGTCAGAGGGTTAACTTTATTCATATTGAAAGTAAGTGTGTCTACATACTATGAATAAACATTATAAGCATCAAGCATGATTGGTTCAGCTTTATTGGTTGATCCAGTTACACTGAATGTGTGCATTCCTTAACCCCTTAACAAGCCATTACACACTTCTGTAACCTAAGAAAAGATCCATTAGCTTGCACTGAAGTCCCTGTGGTTACTGAATAATATGCCTTTGTATGAAATAAACCTGAAATGTTAAGGGGTTAACCCCTTAAATGGCCAGGGCCCACAGACAGGCCTAAAGTGTTATTACACACTTCTATAACTTAAGAATTACTAAACCCGTTTGCACTGAAGTCCCTGTAGTTACTGAATAAGAAGTACTTAGTACTTCCTTGAAATGTTGTTCATATATCTAATATTTATCATTTTGAGGTTACTGTAAGCTTAAAATAAGATTATAGTTTTACTCATATAAGATAATTTTGAAACAAGCAAAATTATCTACCAATATAGATAATAGATAATTCGACTTGATAAAATCACTTTAAACAAGTAAAAACAGGGAAAGCTTCTAGAAAGAAGCTTCTAGAAAGAAGTTAAATAATCTTATAATAAGCTTACAGTAATCTCAAAGTGAGAATAATTAGATCACATCAACTAGATTCAAGATGATTTTACTGGCCAACATAGCATTTTTTGCAGAGAAACTCTTCACTGTTATTGGCTGATGTTTTATAAATCTGGTTAGCGACAAAATATATATATATATATATATATATATATATATATATATATATACAGCAGTTAAATTTCAGTGAAAACCAAAGTGTTGCTGACAAAAAGACTCAGAACTCAGAGCTCAGAACTGTCAGAATTATCATTACGAACATTGTATACGGAACTCAGAAGACATGTGTAGGTTCACTGGTCATTTTGGATAGTAAATAAAGCTGCTATATTTGTGTGATATTGATATACTTGATATTTCTTATTCTGAGATTGTTGTAATTGAGATTTATTACAAGATTCTTTAACTTATTTCTAAAAAAAATTGCTTTAAGTGATTTTATTTAAATATAATTATCTCACTTTATTGGTAGATCATTTTGCTTATTGTAAGAAATATGTTTGAAACAAGTAGCATTTTCTGCCAGTATAATAAGATGATTTCACTTACAAAAATAAAAACAAATTAAAAATGTGTAGAAATAAGTAAAAAAATCTTATATAAAGATTACAACAACCTCAGAATAAGAAATATTATATATATCAACTAGATTTTAGTCAATTTTGCCAAGATACCATTTTGAAAAATGGGTGGAATTCCATTTTAAAAACTTTTTGAATAACTTTTTTTAAATGATAATTGCAACTGATCTACACAATAGTGTATATGTTTATCTTGAGTATTGGGAACACATAAATGAAATCTGCTTTAATTCCCTGTCTCTGTCTCTGCCCAAGACCTTAACATTCCTGTAGTGCTGAACAGTACACTGAAGCAAGAATGGGCTGAGGTGATTGAGTTTAACTATACAACAACACACCGCATCAGTGACCTGTCAGCGCTCAAGAACTTCTTTCTTAGAGGTCTGTGGCTCACTGTGGAAGAAGAGAAGGTATAATGTCATCTTAAATTAAGCTTGTAAAATATGTAAACCCAGAAAAATGTTATGTTAGACATGTAAGATTTACTGAGAAATGAATCACAGGGTATGGTTTCAGATAAGACATGAAATGAATGAGCTTTGTGTGAGTGTTTTTTTGTGTTTGCTGCTTATTTGTAGGCTATAATGATGACAAACCAAATGTTAAACCTAATGATGTTTGCAGGTTCTGTCATGGCCTGCACCTCCTGCTGAAAATGCTGGAACCAAAGCATCAGCAGACAAGAAAGGAAAAGAGGTGAGTATCGAACTCACAGTTTCTGAATATTCAAACAGCTGTGATAGTTCAGAAAAGCAAATAGTAAATTAGGATTTCTCTCTAACGTTATACATCCTCATATGGAAGAACGATGAACTGCCCAATCTCCAGAAGAAGGCAGTGAAGAGTCAGCATTTATGTTTTGATCAGTGTCCCTTATCTGTTTAGTCCAAAGAAGGAAACATTTACTATCTCGTTTGGTATCAACTCTTCACAGACCTGCTGCGTTTGAGCTAAAAGATATGAGGTGAAATATGTTGTGACGAGGCTAGTAATGTTATCTGAGGTAAAAACAGATGATTAGCATTTGTTTTCCTTTAGATTGACACCTTTCTCTGTGTAAATGTCAAGCCATTTATAATCTACTTTGGATGTGTGCTGTGGGTCTGGGTTTAATATTGTACAGCAATAGTAAAATGCTGAGTGGCATCACTGTCTCTGGTGGCGTCCAGTGTGCAGTAGCCTGTAAATTATAAATTTCCTATACATTTCTTTGTATGTTTTTTGTTTGTTTTTTTTTGGGGGGGGGGTTGTATGGGGGGTATTTGAATATGTTTTGGAATGCCTGAAATTAGAAGCTGAATATTATCAGTAATCATTCCGTCAGCTCCAATCTATCTTTTATATCTTTTTTCACTTCTGTTCCACTAGGTGGTGGTGTTATTCTTAGCAAGTAAGCATACTGTCTGTAAAAACTGAGCTAACACTGCTTTAGCCGCATAAAGAGTGATCACTTTACAACATTACAAAATATTTGTCTCAGCCAAGAAAAGTTACATGAAATAAACTGAGGTAATGCGTTCATTTTGCATTCATGAGTTGCTGTCATGGACTCCACTTGTACTTGTGCTTGCAATGTTTGTCCAAGCCCTGAGGGAACCAGCTGTTCATGCTGGGTTTGGTCAGATTCGGACATCAATTTCCAAATATGCGTCAGGCTCAGGTCAGGTTCAAATTCCATGTTCAGGTTCTCACAGCCCATCCTCCTATGTTTAACAGCTTTTACCCTGCATTTCCCTATGTTTAAGTTTTTCTCTGTACTTTATTCTTTAGAAGATTTTACCCTGCATTTCCCCTGCTTTATTTTTTCCCCATACTTTATACTTTACTTCTTCCACTGTCACGTTCAGTGTAACTCAAAAGATGTCTAAGTCAGAGTTAGTTTACTGCTATAACTATAAAAAAAATACTTTAAAATACTTGTGTAATCAATAACTGAAATGGCTGTTCTCATAACCAACAGTAACAGTTCTTGTTCTCATAAAAAGACAGTAACAGTTATCGGTCCAATAACATACGACAGCTACCAAACGCATCAAGCAGCATTACATAATGTTTGTTTGGGATCAAGCTCTTTCCTTTTATTTTTTTTCACTGTGTTACAGCCATTCATAATCCTGACGCTCTCCGTGTCTCCTCCAATCACTGCTTAGTAACCGGTACACTATTTTGCTACCTTTTAATTTTTAGGTGTTTAGCAGAACCCAAAGGGAACCAACTGCTCATGCTGGGTTTGGTCAGATTCGGACATCATTTTCCAAATATGCATCATATCTGGACATGAGCTAGCATTCCTTTGAATGAACTTTGAATTTGAAGCTCCAGATATTCAAAATATGTGCCTGAGGCATCTGAGAAAGACTTGATACCACAACAGGGTAGAGGATGCTCACTGCCAAAGCCAAATATAAAATGTCAGCCACGTGTTAAAGAAAAAAATCGTCCTTGTCGGCAGTAATCTGCAAAGTCATCAGAGGCTAGATAAAAAAACACATTTTCCTTGTCCACCTTTAGCTAGGACTCTAAAAATATAAACGTGCCACTAGATTCTGCCACATTGAAAATATAGGTACTACTTTACAAAAAGACTATTCTTATAAAGGGTTTCTGAATGATTTAAAATAAGTTAATCAATGGTTCTTAAGTAGGTCATAAACCTACTTAATTAACACCCTTAAATCATTAACAAACAGTTATTACACCTGAAAAAAGGACAGCAGTGACCTGTTATATCTAATGAATATAAATATCTGATAAAGCTGACAATTTAATGCTGATTGATGTAGTAATGTCAGTAATCTGCGAGATCTGAGGTGTAACATTATAGATGAATGTGGGTTCAATATTTGACAGGACACTGGTGCCCTTTTTTATTTATGTGTTACAACTGGTGAAGTTATTCTCTATCCCTTCTTCTCTAAAACTTATTCAGAATCACCACCTTAAGTCAACTAAATACAGCCATTTCTATTACTGGATATAAACAATATTAACATTATGATCTGCCCTCAAGAAATGTTTGAATTGACATCAACAAACAAATAAAACCCAAGCCATCATGGAAAGATCAATTAGATCCTCAAATAACAGAAGAGATTTCATTTAAAGACAAAAAAGGACTGTTTATTATGTTGATAATTATGATGGATAAAAAAAGAAATATCCGTTTCCAGTTACCTCAGACAGAGCCATTGCACTCTGCTGGTCTCGAGAATAATTTAAACAAAATATTGTCGAGACCGAGACAAGATTTTGTTCATTTATGGTCTCAAGACCAGACTTGAGTACTATCATGTTATGCCATTTGTTTTGATCGCAGGATGCATTATCAATGTTTTGATTGGCTTTTCATGAAAGTTCTTCAGTGAAGTTTGAAACACTTGCAACTATTGCAGGTTTCAAGTGAGTTGCAGGACACTTTATTGTATGCAGCTCAAGAGCAATTTAGTTTCATGCAAATTCCAAGCAACTAAAGTTGTATTTACAGTGTAAAGCCAGTCTAAGCTGTGGTCCTGCAAGTTTATGTGAGTGTCATAACTGAGATCTAGCCAGCTTTCTTACATTTTGACTTTTACTAACAGCAATACACATTACTCTTGAAGAGCCGCATTCTCAAGGTCATGCCATGCCCCTTCAGAAAACATGTTATGTAGCAAGTTTGAGATTTAAAAGTGAGCCTTTCAGTTCACTTCACTCATTGTTCTGCCACTGTGCTTTGCAGAGTACAGATACAGGTCAAAAGTTGAAGGATAAGAAGAAGAAAAAGGAACCCGTGCTCAACCTGATACAGGAGGCGCCAGTCAGACGCACCCTCAGTACAGTTCAAGTGGAACTCAAAGATCTGCTGGAAGGAAAGGATAAAATTCAAATGGAGTGTGATCTGGGGGTGCTGCTCTCAGAACAGAACATTAGGACCACAGTGACCCGTGAAAAGGTAGGGCATGGAAGAAACTGAAGTTGGTCTTCATAGCCTAGCAACTGCAAATGTGGCTGGCGTACCTCTAAAAACTTTACAGTATAGCACAGCATAAGTTTGAGAACATGGTCAATTTCCCAAGAGATTGGTGGAAAGAGTGAATTGTTACTCATTTCCCAAACCCAAGACCAAAGAGGAGATGCTTAAGATCTCAATTAACATGATTATCTAGACAAGAAAAGAGCATTTCTAAACAAGTATTGAAGCTAGCATCAGCGCTGCTCTGGCTAGTGAGTTAGCAGTCAGCCAGCACTGGACACCAGGGGTTAAGATAAGATAAGATAAGATAAGATAATCCATTATTAATCCCACAACGGGGAAATTTGTGGTGTTACAGCAGCACAGAAGACAGAGCAGCAGGAAATATACAAACAATATATAAAATAGAATAAACAATAAAAATATAAAGATATATGTATATGTACAAAAATTACAAGAAAAATATACAAAGTATTAAATTTAAATTTAGAAATGTAGAAATGTATGTATTGTAGTGAGTATTGCATAGTGAATAAAATAGCAAATAAATAAACAGTAATAAATGGAGAAATATTGCACTTGACATAATTGCACATAATGGTGGTAAACATATTGACAGTGATCCGCAGTGAATATACTACGCATGGTGGATTGAGATATTGCACACAGTAAAGTGCTGTGGCAGTGATGTTGAGAGTTCTTGCACATGGAAAGTAATTGTAAACTACTGTCTACTGAGTGCCGTGACTGTTATTTTTGCACACCTTGGAAATTCATGGCATGACCTACTGGAGCTTAAATGAGTTTCTTTATAATAAAACTTCCACAGGAGCAAAGTAAGAAGCCCAAAGAAGATAAGAAGGAAGACAAGAAAATAAAGCTAAGTGGAGATACGACAAGTTCTCAAAGGAATATAACTTCTTCAAAAGGTAATAAAATAAGTGCACCACACTTTGCATGTGATCCTGTTTATCTCTCCATTTTAAAATAGGCCAGCTTATGACCAGTTTTCTGATTGAAAAATAGATAAATTGTATTAAAACCCCCAAGTAATTTTTGCAATTTTGGTGGTGCACCTTGGCCTGCAGTGCACCTACAGTTATTGGCACAGTAACCCTAAAATCTTTGCTATAAACGCACATAATTTTCATTAAAAATGAAAATATGTTGCATTGAAATAATAGTGTTGTTGTTGTTGCAATATTATATAGTTACAGGTATTACTGGTTGCACAGTTCCCCCACACAATAACTTCACCAACCCTACAAGCCAGTGACATCATCATCCCACTTTTGACTTTGAAGTGTTGTTTATTAAGTAGCGATGATATGAAAATGATGAAGGAGACTCCGCTGACACTGTCTTCCTTCCTAAAACAGTATCATATCAAGCACTATAAAGTACCTGAGAGGGGATCCGTGCCAATTCTAAAGTGTCCCCCCCCAGACCACTATAGCCAATGGCTAATATAGGCTGCTTGTTGTTGAAAAAGGAGACAGAACATATGGTCCTTATTAAAATGATCTCATCTATTTGGAACTAAGAGAAGAAGGGAGAAAGCGAGAGGCCTACTCCCTATGGGGCCTTTGGACCAGGGGGCCCCCTTAATTTAAACATTCCAAACCCTGCAAAAACAGAGCACATGGAACTTCAGATAATCCAACATCAACTTATACTGAAATTAAGAGTGTTTTTACCTTCTTTTATAAAACTACTCTTTTTAAATATACTTCAGAAGTCTGTACATATGAACTAGGGCTGAAGACAAGACCACCTTTGACAAGTCCATGATAATTTCAAGACTATAACTAGCGGAGATTGAGTCTAAAAAGGGCTAAGACCAAATCTAGACCGAGTCCGAATATGAGCAAAATAACTGACAAAGACAAAGCCGTAATGTCAACTGGAAACCAAAATGACTTTTTTTACATAGTTCATGTCCTTGGTGATTTTCAGCACAATCAATTGTGTCATATCATTCAAAAGACAGTCTTTGATTGAGTGTAGCAATGGTTGCCCACTCTAAACTCTAAATTTTACTAACCAGTAATATTTTAGTATGTTTTCCCTCCTCACCCATCATCCTCAACAATCATTGAGCAAGAACACTGTCATCGCCTCCACTCCCAGCTGCATGTATATGTATGCCAGCAGATAGTCTCATTTCTTCTCATAACTTTACTCTCTCACTTTAGATTAGAAAATAACAATGTATTATAAATTGAGTTAATTCAGCTTGTTTCTTTTCATGTTATGTACTTCAAATATCTGGTGGTATTTGCGCTGTTTTCTAAACTTTTCTGCCACATTGCGAGACTGTAAGCCAGGACAGTAGGACAGTAGCATGTATCAGAAATGTGCACCCCAGGACTAGAGGATGACTAACACATCTGTTGCTGCACAGTTTGAGCTACTATATCTGACTTTACATCTACAAGGTGGACCAAAAACATAGCTGTGTCTGATAGAGCGGACAGTAAGTGGACACATTGCTTAAAAACTGACAGTCTGTAATTGTAGATCTACAAAAGTGAATATATACAATAAGTGGACCTGATCAAATGGACCTAGCGTGTGTGTATATATATATATATATAGTGTGTATGAATGTATGTGCTATCAGCAGGACAAAAAACCTGCAATTTCCTGAATTTCCTGCCACACAATACCTGATCCACTGGATAAAGGGTTTGATAATTACATAAGGAGCTGATCAGATGTTTTTAGGTGAATATATGTGTGGCAGGGAGTCAAGTTTGCAGTTGGGTTAATTGATTTTTATGGATAAAAAGGGGCCGCTGTGTGAATAATGCTAAAAGGTGGTCAACATTAAATCTCCAGGGTGCACTTTTTCAACATTCCCAAAAATTGTGCATGTGCATGTTTAATTTGTTTGTTGTATTTTTTCTATTACTAAACATATTAGAAATGAAGTAAAAAATATCACAGCTCAAATATTTAATGGATCATTGCAAACATTTTTAAGAATGTTAATAGTAGGCTTGTTGCTTGATTTGCCATGCTGTTAAAGTCAGAACATTTCTTTATTATCACAAATGATGCTAAAATACAGTTTAGAGTGTGAATTGCTGGGAGATGTAGTTTTAGTTGCCCTGCGATGGACTGGTGACCTGTCCAGGATGTTTCCTGCCTTCCACCCAATGACCGCTGGCATAGGCTCCAGCTCCACCCTGCGACCGAGAAGAATAAGAAAATGTGTGTGTGTGTGTGTGTGTGTGTAGTTTTAGTGACATTATGTAAGACACAGGCATACATAGCATGCTTTAAACAGTAGTAGCAATTTGCAGGAGCTGGTCTCTGAGGGTCTGCACTATTCTGTCCTCTTATTAGTCAGTTTGTTGTTTTATTTCTCTTGCATGCACTTTCTCACCAGCATGGGCTTGGTGTATCACAGTGTTAAATTCTGTCAACACAACAAGCGAATGACTAAAGCAGGGGGTAAAATTTGTAGGTGCCGGGCTGTGAGAACTGAAAGTTAAATTTGAATCCAACCTGAGCTCAGCTCATATTTGGGAAATGACACTTGAACCTAACCAAATGCAGAATGAGTAGTTGGGTGGGTCCCATTAAGTTTGGACAAATATTTCAAGATTTCAACCATAATTTCAAACTACATAAAAAAACGCAAACACATAATTGACTGCTTATAGCAAGAAGATGCCCTGTGTGACATCAACATTCAAACAAGTCTTCTTTTGTGTATTTGAACAGCTAAAGGTAAAGGATGGAAGGAGAGTGAGACAGATGCTCCCGCTGATGAAAGCAGCCCTTCCAACATGGAGCCTCTGACTGTGGAGTTCAGTGTACAGCTTAACAAAGTATTGTCTGCTTCACAGCTCTCAAACCTGAAGACAATGAAATAAACAAGCTTTGAATTTCTGACAACATTCAGTGTGATCTTTGAGGTGACCAGATATTCCATGACTGGAATACATACATACATCATCTAAACCACTTATCCTTCTGGGTCACTGGAGCCTATCCCAGCTGTCATTGGGCAGAAGGCAGGATACACCCTGGACAGGTCACCAGTCCATCACAGGGCAGACAGACACACACAATCACTCACACCTAGGGGCAATTTAGCATGTCCAATTAGCTTAACTGCATGTTTTTGGACTGTGGGAGGAAACAGAAGTACCCAGAGGAAACCCACACTGACACGGGGAGAACATGCAAACTCCACACAGAAATGACCCTGGTCGCCCAGCCAGGAATTGAACCCAGGCCATTCTCGCTGTGAGGCAACAGCGCTACCCACTGCGCCACTGTGCTGCCCATGACTGGAATAGTGGACGTTAATACGCAATATATATTCAAAAGTTTGTAGACACCTGCTCATCGTTTCTTCTAAAATCAAGGGTATTGATTCATACGGGGTTTGTTCCCCCCTTTGCTACAGTAATAGCCTTTACTCTTGTGGAAAGGCTTTAAACTAGATGTTGAAACATTGCTGTGAGGATTAGATTACATTCAGCCATAAGCATTAGTGAGATCAGGAATTGATGTTGGACAATTGGGTCTTGATCACTAACACCACTCCAGCTCGTCCCAGAGTTCCATCACTCCAGAGAATGCAGTTCCACTGCTAGCATGTAGCAATATTGATATTTTCACAATAATAAAGATTATGTAAATATAGTAAATCTAGACTATATATTTTGGCTTGAGCATAAAAATTCCCAGCAGCAATATGTTACTAACAAGACCAAATACAACATGATTTCTTTTGAACTGACATGCATTACATTCTCAAAATGCCTGTATACATGCATGTTTTCCCAAAACATTTGAACAACAATGCATTCATAGAATAGATTGTCAGATGCTTCCATATCTTTTTTACAAAATGCACAACTGTTAAACCTCTTTCTTGTGCCTCAGCTAACTGAGCAATTTTGCTCGGTGATAGGTGGAGATGGTGGGACAGTGAGGTGAAACGTGACATTAAGGGTTAATATTTTTCCCCATCCACTGGTGCATGGTGATGTAATCAAAATACAAAAGACATTTTAGAGATGAGACCCTTTACATTTTGATGAAAGGTTGCAGAAAAACAAGACTTTATTATTTTAAATGGCATGATGTGATGCATCTTTATTAAGGGACATGAACTAACAAGGTAAAGAAAGGTCAGTTTTGATTTCTGGTTAGTTTTAAAATGCGAGTGAAACTGTCATAGATGTATGACAGGTTAAATATATGAAAATTGTTATCGCCCCTGTCTGGTTTCATTGACCTTGTCATACAGACACAAGGTCAATGAAAAATGGAAATTCGGTAGCTTTATTTAAATTAACAAGGCGAAAGGTTCAGAAAAAGTTAGATCGTTGACAGTCAACGTTTCTATGCTTTTCTAAGGTTTTACCCAAAATAACATCCTCATTAAACCGAAGGGACAATTTTTATTAATAGGAGTAATTTACTATAATAAAATCTAATATGATGTCTAATATTAACACGTCACTTATGCTTCCGAAACGTTGTGATAGCAGATAACTAGAGAGTTATAAACCGGCTCTGACCATGTACGTACGAGAAAGCAAAGGAAGAGCAACAAGGGACGACATCCGGGTTACTGCGTATTGTGTTAGCAAAGCTAACCAGCTACTACATTGACATCGTCGAAGTCAGTCTTCCACGGCATGAAAATCCGTATAAATAAAAACGTTTGAGGGCGTCCGAGTTTGGCACAGCGGTATGTACTTTCTTAGAATTATTTTTTAACTATATATTTTGTAAAAGACCATGTCTAAAGACGCTAAAAAGCTAGAACATCTTCAATCATGGCGAGTTGAAAATTGCTGCGTACCGAATGAAAAAGAACTCGGAAGCCTCGCCAGCCGGGTACACTAAACAGAAGCGGTAAGCTTGCTGGATACCGAGTAGATTTCGTTATATGTGTAATTGTGTTGATTTCCAACATATTTTACTCTTTTACATTTCTGAAATTGGTTCAGAGCAGTTAAATGTTTCGCTTTTCGTCACAATGAACGTAAGGTTAACGGAACAGCAACAACTCGACATGGCTAGCTAGCTACCGAGCTAACAACCCGAAGACATTAACCTAAGTTAGTTAGCTAGGTTAATACACAAAGCCAACCACGAAACTGGGCAATGCGCAGTGTCAGAAAAGGACAAAATACAGCCACATTTTCTGCACTAAGCCCACTGAATATTTCTGAATTTACTTGGCTAGCTGAGCTGTTTATAGTGGAGGGGGATGTCAACAGTCGTCAAGTCTAGTTCAGGTATCTTGCATAATATAGCTAATATTTTATATTTATAACGTAACGTTAAAGTGAGGAGCGTAGTAAAGCTGTAACGTTACATTGCCGCAGCTTGTGTAACTTAACGTTACTTTAAACACACAAGCAATACTGTACATTAGCTAGCTACCATAGTTATGATGCAGAAAATGGCGCACTTGCCCTCCTACTCATCGAGTGATGTCCTTAAAAGATCTGTACACCAGGTTATTCCTACAGTCCACTTTCACATAACAGCTGCATGTTTTCCTGCTCGATTCAGCTGAAGAAGCTTTTGATGTGAAAACACGAAATTGCAGTTCAGGTCGACTTACTGGACTGGTTTAGGGAATAAACCTTTCAAGGCAGTGGTCACCAGTTCTATCCATAAAGGGCTGGTAAGGTTTTTGTTCCAAAAAAACACGTGCTCATATTACTGATTAACTGTTTGAAGATTGAGACCAACTGATTGAACAGGTGGAATCAAATGTGCTTCTGTTTGATGGGAATGAAAACCTGTAGCCCCGCCGGCCCTTTGTGGATAAGACTAATGACTTTTGCTTTAAAAGGACCATATCTTGCATTTTTCTTGGACTTTATTTCTTCCCTGAAGTGCACGTATGACATTTGTGTGGGTGTGTTTAACAAAAACAGTCATCAGTCATTTTTACATGCCTGTTTTCCTACTTCTTTTTATTCTCTAGAATTAAACAGGGTTTATTTCTGTCACTGCCCTATTCAATAAGCAGTTCATGCTGAAAAACTCCTTATAACTTAAACATGAATGGGCTGGGCTAATCATTTTGGATGGCCAGTTAAATGGATATGTTTGCAACATTAATAATTATGTTGGTTCCCATCAACCTTACTGTAGAGAAAATCTGAGTTGGTATGTTTTTGTACAGCATTCAATTTCACAGCAAAACACTCATTGACTGTTTTTATATATTAATGATTGAATTATGAAGAAATTCTGAAAAAATCCTGGGAGTGCGCTTTATCGATGTTTACATATTACATATTGCATTTCATTTTTTTTTTTAATGGCATGGGCCCTGTGGATATCACTTAATGTGTACAAGGATTCTCTAGTGAGTTCAAGGTACTCTTTAGCCTGATCAAAAAGTTTGGTCATTTAAACAGATGTAACGTTTTGATCCTTAAGGCAGGCTAACTTTGTCTCAGTTCAGTCACTGTAATTGAAGTCGTTATATCTTAATAGTCATCTAATGCAGTCTGCTTACGCTGTAGATATATATTACTAATTTGGTAGTTGGCTTGTTAAGTAGCACAGTTTGTCTTCTGATTACGAGTAATTAAAAGTCTTAAGGTTCATAAAGCTGAGGTTTCCATGCGAATGGATAGCAAAACCTTTAATATTTAAAATGGGCATGATCTCTGCTATCTGGTGACAGCAGACAGAGTGGTACTGGCTAATTCTCTTTGGCTGAATTTTAAATGGCTCCTTGCTCCATATATATAGTGCATGATGTGTCATTAAGTAGTGGCCTCAGCACTAAAATAGTGCACCAGATGTCCAGTAATGAGCAATGTAGGATTCAGCCTTTGGCACAGTGATGCAAAGTCCTTGCTTGCCTTTTAAGACAGATATGGTTTCGTCACAGTTGACAGGTTTCTTGAAATCTTCCAGCTTTAAGTATTTGATCTAGAGATGGGCGATATGGCAAAAATATCACAAATATCCAGGGGTTAGGATTAGCATAGATATACAAATTGTAAACTGCATTTACTAAATGGAAAAAAAAAATGGTATTTTGAAAAGTGGTACAGTTTAGCTTCCTTAGACTGATATTCACATTAACCCTAAGCAAGATTCCTTCATAATAAACCATCAGTTTTGCCATACATCTGTTCTTAGTTACTTATTGTTGAGATTTTTTTTTGTTCTTTTGTACCTAAAGTAGGTTTAGTTGCAGCATGCTGGGGGATAGCCTCTATAATCAGGGATGTGTCCTTTAAATGATATCTTGCTATAAAATTTACTCCAGAACAGTATATTTCCTCTTATCATACATACAAAAAAAATCACTATAAAAATGTTTTAATTTTTTTCATGTTTTATGTTCAGTTTTTTTCCTCTTCTTTTTTGGAAGTAAATGCATTACTGCCCACATGATAATCAAATATTTGTGTGCCATTTTTCTCTGATTCCAGTTAGGCAGCTGATGCTGCCGTGAACAAGTTACTTTCTATAGCCTCGGTTGTTGACGTGGGCTCATACATTCAACATGGAAACCTCTAAATCACCTAGGAGCACAAAACATCATTCACGGTCCAGATCACGTTCAAGGGACCGGAAACGCAAGTCAGGTAGATCTTTATTTTTAACATCCTGTAAAAAAAACAAGAAGTGTAGTGAAGTGGGGCGGAAACTGTTTTCATCACCAAACAGTCTGGTACCCCTATTCACCTGTAATTAAACACATTATAATCAATGAAAATGGACAGCTCACAGAAACCATCATCATTAGCCGAATCATTTATTGCATTTTACCTGCTGAACAAAAATATCAGACTAATGTATACCTTGTGCACTTATTTTCAGCTGGAAATAGTGTTCCAAAAGATGATTGCAACATCCTTTAAGAGCAATCCTGTGTCCTTGGACCCACAAGATTTTTCGTTCTCTGTATACCATATGCATGCTAAAACTCACAACACAACTGTTTTCAGTTTTGTTATGAAGTTATGGTATCTATCTATCTGTCTGTCTATCTATCTATAGCTTTAGGCATAAGAGCCTCAATACAATATACAGTATAGTGAAGCTATTAATACAGATTAATAACATGGCTAGACATCTGTCTCAACTGTATGTTATTCACTTATAACTGATACTTGTATCTGTGTTCAGTGAAATGAAGTAGCAACACGTGTTTGCACTATGGAATTGGGCCATACCATTCAATGTGTATTTAATTATATTTCTCCTCAATTTCAGGTGACAAGAAGCATAGAAGATCCCGGAGCAGAAGCAAAGAGGTAACTAATTTAAAGTCCATTTCACTCACGTAGACATAAGATGATATGGTCTCATCATTAATGTAATTTATCAGCTGGCATTTCTAGCTTTAGTCCAGGGTAAGTATGAAGCTTTACAGAACATGATGAAATGCCAGCTTCAAATGTTGGTCATTAGTCATGTCATTAGATCTTGAGGGTTAATATATTTGGTTCTTTCTCACATGTGAGATATGTGAAATTTAGAGATCACTAAAGTAGAGGCTTACAGATTGTGTGGGATTTTTTTTTTGGTAAAATCCTGTATTTAGATCACATGATAACATCTCTATAATAAATTACACTCAGCGTGCTAATGCACGAAGAGACACTCTGAACAGAAGACGCTGCTGACAGATAGCAAAATTATATGCCTACAACTGGACAGGTAACTATCAGCCATTCAATTTTACACTTACTTTAAAATAACTGTTTGTCTAGCAACCTGAATCATTGCCCTATTTTCCAAGTCCCAACATTGAAGTAAAATCAGATATGCTGTCTTGAGCGATCTTTGTCCTTCTGCCTTTATGCATGCACACTGGTAATGTGTGTAATTCACTGCAACAAATATAATTCAGAGGCTAGGTTAAGTAATGGATATACTGTCATTTTTTGAACATGTATAAGTTTGTTTAAAGAGTGCATGCATGCATCAAAAAGGAAAACCAACAGTAAGCCCAGCTTTAAAGGTACTGATTTCTTCATAAATCACTCCACTTGCCTCTTAGGGTAGGACAAGATCCTTTTCACCTTTTTTTGTTTAATTTTTGCATTTAATGTGGATGTAATACAAGGCCATACAGCTGAATGTGGATGGTTTGTGAAGGGTTTGGATGTGAGAGTGAGGTTGTACATGTTATGGTTCTTCAAAGTTGTTTGTTTTGAAACAAGCATACTAACTCTCTTTGTCACACTATTTTCCTGAAAGAGACCACTTCTTCTTAAAACAGGCACGACGGAGGGACCCGGAGAAGGCGCTAAAATCGCAGAGCCGATCGGAGGACATACTGCAGAATTCAGATAAGGACCGCGAGAGGTTTTCTGAAGACAGCTGTGAGGACAGACACCGCAAAAAGGACAGAAAATCCTCCAGAGGAAGAAGTCAGTCCAGATCACGCTCAAGAGAAAGGTCAGATGTCATTAAAATATCTAATATGTCCACTTGCAAGAACTCTAAACACTAACTCAGGATCAGATTTTTTGACATAAGTTACTATGTGAGCATTTCTGCTTTTCTTTATTTGTATGTTGGTATTTCTCACAAATCACAAACTGCACAGACAAGATGCTCTCCATTGACAAGCTTTATGCCCTTTCTATATATGACCAGAAATTAAAAAAAGTGGTAAGTGTTATCATTTTATTTCTTTTTGGTTTAACCATACATCTCTGAAGATGTGATTTTCTTTTTTCTTTTCTTTTTTTTTTAAAAAAAGCTTGCCATGAGTATCCGAGCTCTGGGCTTTTTAAAAAAAAAAAAGTGAAATTTTTGAAAATCATCTGTATCATGCTCTTTGGTTAAGAGATGACTTCCAAAGCATGTATATTTTGTCCGGTGTATGTTTCCTTCGCACATCACTGTATCGTTGTAATGACAAGGTAATTAAATAGTTGAAATAGGAATTTTGCTACATTTACATTAATCCACCTAACACTCCTCACCAAAAGCCCCATGCAAACTAGCAGGCTTTGTCAAAGTGTAGTAGTGACATGGCTTTGGCAAGGCTACGTTGCAGTTTGAGTAGGTGTTGTTGTTTGAATATAGGTTGTTACTGTATGTGGTTGTTTTTTAATGTGGTTGCAGACGACATCGCAGTCGAAGTCGGGACAAACGAAGGTCTCGCAGTCGTGAAAGGAGATCAAAGAGCCGTGAGAAGAAGAGACGGCCCAGGTCACGATCCAACTCAAGAAGCAAACACATAAGGCGCAGCAGAAGCCGGAGCAAGAGCAGGTTGGTGAACGCTGACGCATCAGTGTTGAAGCGTTAGATGTTTGTCTTGAAGGTATGGGACTAGGCTGTTTGTCCTTGAATACTGTAAGTGCCTGTTTTACTTGTGTATTTCAGTAAATTATTAATTTATTGCTTTTACCTTTGATTAATCAATTAATGTGTCATTGGTAGTAGGCCATTTCCTTTTTTGTTGTTCTCAGGCTCCACGTAAACACTTGTAACCAGTTGGTGACCACTTTTGTTTAGATCTGTTCTTTTCAATCTGTTTGTATATTTTAGTTAAATATTAATTGCTCCACAAAATCTTGGTAAAACTACCTCTTTGCATTGTACTCACTAGACAGTATTCTGAAGTTAAGACTTCTATTCTGAATCTACTGGGGCTTGTTACCAAGAATTAAGAGTGCAGTGGCTAATTGATTTTATTTTTTGCTCATTCACGATTTTTTGGCCAAATGTGAGAAATGTACTAGCATTTGAGAAACATATTTATCAGATGAGTAGTAGGTGCAAAAGGCAGTGAATTTAAAGTTATTATTAATGATAACAGAAGTCATGTCCTGTGCTGTCCTCATGTACATCCCTCTGCATAATGGAGTTTGATCATCCTGTGTGGTTTTACTGATGGTTTAAAAAATTAGCTGCCCTGTCACTGATATTGTATTGTTTTTTGCAAATTTTTCTAAAATTGTATTGCTGTTGTATCTTTCCTGGTCAAACAACTGTGTGATTTATAAAATCTCATTTTTAATGCCAATAATGTCAAATAATTGTACTGTTTAATCAGGGAAAGGAAGAAGAGGCCTGAAAAGCCAAGAAGGAAGAGCCGCAGTCGGTCTGTCAGCCCTGTGGCTTTCAGAGGCAGAAACACAGCCATGGATGCACAAGAGGCTTTGGCTAGGAGGTAAAATAGTACTTTTTCATTATTTAAAATCGTTATTTTAGAACACACTATTTTTGGGAATTGGGATCAAACAAAAAAATTGGACTATCTGGGGCCCCTGAGGACTGGTTTTGGGAACCACTGTTTTAGAACATTTAATGCATATGTTATTTGTTAAAACTGAATATTTCCTGTTTAATTATATATAGTTCACAAATATATGCAAAGTCTATGCAGTTTCTAAATTTGTACTGTAAATATGTACATTTTAATAAGTTAAAGAAGTAAAATTACCTAAAACCTACAAATAGAACCCTGTGCCACAAACTGAAATGTACTTTATTGTATTCTACTTCATTCCACTCCTAGGTTGGAAAGAGCGAAAAAACTTCAAGAACAGAAAGAGAAAGAGATGTTAGAGAAGCAGCAAAATCAGCAACAGGAGATCACAACAGGTAAGTAACTTACTTTGGCTACCAGTGTCTAACTTCAACCATCATAAAATAACTCATCTTTTTATTGTAAATATCACTGATGGTTTTTTGGGGTTTTTTTTTTCCCTTCAGCAGCAACAGCAGCTCCATTGTTGGGTGAAAATGCCACAGCTACTGCAGCCAGTCCAGGGCTGAATGTGGCAGCACTGCTGGCGTCTGGCACACAGGTCACGCCACAGATTGCTATGGCAGCTCAGATGGCTGCGCTACAGGCCAAAACATTAGCAGAAACGGGCATTGCTGTGCCAAGCTACTATAACCCTTCAGCTGTCAATCCCATGAAGTTTGCTGAGCAGGAGAAGAAGAGGAAACTGTTGTGGCAAGGAAAGAAGGAAGGGGTGAGAGAAGTTCAGTAGAATTAGTTTATTATTGTATTGTATCTGACCTAATCTGTCACAAACTTGTCGCTATATACTGCATCATCAAAAATATGGTATGCAAATTTTGGGACATTTGCACAAAAACTTTCCAGAGAGATTTTACGACATTGTCCTCTGACTAGTGTATATGATTTTGATTCAGTGTATATCACTGCCATGCAATACGCCATTTTAATTTTAGTAATGTGTTTTGCTTCGTTATGTTGAAGGACAAGTCCCAGACAGCTGAACTATGGGAGAAGCTGAATTTTGGCAATAAGGACCAAAACGTCAAGTTCCGCAAACTAATGGGCATTAAAGTAAGTGTCGCAGTCATCTTGCAGTTATTCCACATGTAGCTGACATGTAGATTACCGTAATACGGTTTAACAGAATTCACAATTTCGTATCCTTTGTGTTTCCATTCATCGGTGTTCTCCCACAGTGGTGCCAAACCATGCATCATAAAACAACGAGAACCCTATATAGCGATAAAGAAATGCACTTGCATTACAATATTAGACATGATACAGGTGTAATATTCAGTTTGCTAGCAGTAACGCTAGCACCTGCATTCACCAGCTGCCAAGGGAAAACTCCTACCTTTAAAGCCCTTGTCTACTCATTTTCACGTTTTTTCTATAGTTTTTGTGGTGCTTTTACTATGAACTGGTAGAGAAAGAATTCTGTCCGTCTTTTCTGTTGAGGGATTTTTGAAGTTACTTTTTCTGCTGTTTTCTTCTGTTCGATTTGAGTTGGATGGGACTGAATTTGGTACAGGTGACGTCAGATCTGCCGAAGAACCAATCAGAGTTAGCAATATGTATGCAAACTACTCGCAGTCCTCTCCCTGACATAAGGTGACTGCTTCCCAGCTGTTCAAAGTCCCAGCCAAAACTCCCAACAACTGGGTTATTTAGGCTGTTCTAAATTGAACAGTGTTTGTTGTGAAGGTTTATTACAAAATTGTTTATAGTGTGGCTGGACACTTTCCTACTTGCGTTAGCCACCTGTTGCAGGATTGTACTGTTAATGATGAACTTCATTTATGAAAGCATGATAGTTGCAGTCCACCTTAACTGTGGGAATAAAGTAAAATGATACGTTAGGTTAGTTATGTATCCCCCAACGTTATCCCCCAACATCAAGGCTCACCGTGTCTTTCTGCCATTGTACTTTACAAGTGTGACACACAATAAGGCACACGAGAAATTTCTCCACAGTGTCCGCAAATATAACTGGCGACTCATAACAGAAGCTTGTCTATCCTCAGTTTTTGGAACATGGTCCAGCCATCAGTGTCTATCTATAGGTTACTGATGTAATGTTAGTGCCACTAAGGTTTATGGTATACCAGTCATAAAATGAAAGCCTGAGTTCTCAAACATTAGCTGCAAAATGTAATTTGATCTCTAAAAGACAGCTTGTTCTTGATTTTGCACTCACTATTCAGAGGCTGGTTGTTATGAACGAAGTGGTGTATGAATATAACACTGGTAAATACTTTTTCCATGGCATGGAAACATGTAAACGTTTGAAACCATCTTGACAGGGGCTTTAAAATACATCATCAGAAGAGATGCAGAAAGATTTTCCTAGTCTTTCAACTCGAAAGTATAATTCTCGGGACTGTCGAGGCACTGCTGCAGGATGCGAGCAGGCATGCTTACAGCAAATGTAGCAGTGATTTTTCATTTTGACCAGAGTATCCCAGTCAGAGATGTGTTGCATGCTCAAATTAGATTGAGTTAACAAACCTTATTAAAAAAAGACTAGTGGAAATACTGCTGTTTTTAACAGTATGCTGTGGTGTCTCCCCTACAGGCTGATGATGAAAGTGGATCATCTGGTATGCTCAATGATGAAGGCCTGAAGACAATGCAGAAGCAGGAAGAAATGTTCCGTAACTTGGATGTCCAGTATGAGATGGCCCGGTCACAGACACATACACAGAGAGGAATGGGCCTTGGCTTCTCGTCATCTTTTTCACGAGGAATGGATGCTGTTTGAACGGCAACTTGTACCCCTCTTACTCTTCCATCCATGTTCCAGCAGTTCAGGCTGATTTTAACGTGTATAGGAAGTTGACACTTTAGATCGCATGGATGTTGGTCAAATCTGTAATTTATTCAAACACCAATTTTGTCTTGGAAGAATTCATATGTAAATACAGTCATTTGTCTTACATCTTTTTGGCTTGTACTACACATCTCTCTGGAAAATTATGCAAAGGTGCAATATTGGTATTGCAAAGCTTTAAGGACAATTAGACTTGGGTCAACAAAATGGTAACATCTTTTATTAATTTTTTTTTATTTCTTACTACAAGTCAGTTTTGTGTGAATAGAACATGATTGTTTAGGATCTTGCCGAGTAACACTTGATCGAAACCTTTGCATCATCAAGACACAGGCATAGTACCATGACAGGTGTGCCAAGCTATTGTAACTGCTTATGACAGCCTCATTAAATTTTTGTTAGTCCCGAAGAAAATTTTGTGGTTCTAGTTTTCATTTAGTTTGATTCCTAGCAGTTTTGAGTAACTTTCAGAAGAACGAAGATTCTGACTAGTAATCTTAAAAATCAGTTGAAGTAGTTTTGAAAAAGTTGTCAATTGTTCTTCGGTTGTATCCCGATGCTTAAAAAGTTACAGAATTACACAAGAAGGATACGACTGCATGTACATGAATGTCATGTCAGTCTCTGAATATTACACATTTGACCCCTTCCAGACTGGACTGAGTGATGACAAAAGTAACATCAAGATACGTCTATGAACAATGAATAAAATAAACTGACAACAGAGCATAATTTGGCCTTTTTAATCATGTTTTTCTTTAATCACTGACGATATCTGATATGCACAGAATAGCCTATTGTGGGACAACTTCTTAATATCTCAATAACAATACATAACCACCCATGCCAAACTAGATGCTTGTCAATTTTTATAGTCTGTCTGAGATCACTGTAAGGAGAATTCCACCCATTTTTCAAAATTTCTGCATAATTCAGTAGTGAAAACTCATGAAGAGTGGTTTGAAGAGTTGTGAAAAGCTCCGTTCTAGAGGAACTTGCCAAGTCAGAATTGTTCACACCAGTGGTGACAGGAACCAGATGTCTAAAATGTTGAATGCACACAAAGTTACTACATGAAATGGTTTAAAATCTATTGCCTGATATCTGAGATTGTTTTACAATAGATAAGGTTTTGGTCTAAAATGTATTTCTTAAAATTAAATCATAGCCAAGAGGTGCTGTGATGCAAAGCATACCCAAACTTGGATTTATCACTGTTTTTCCATTATCAAAATTTAAAAGACATGCAAGTTAACTGGTGGTTTTGGATAGCAAATAAAATGGCTTTATATTTTATTTTATAAAAGTTTGCACTGTGAACATTGTGACCCTTGGTTCCGATCACCACCACTGTATTGAAATGTGCGTTGGCACTATTTCACATCAAACCACTCTGAATGACTGCTTACATCTCAATCACTGAATTACGCAGAAATGTTGTAAAAGAAAAGTGTCTTTCACTGTTCACTTGATGCAGTGATTATTTAGAAGTAGATTTCATGAAAAAGCTCCCATTGCTTGTTAGCTACTTCAGCCTTTTTGGAAAATTAAAGAAAAATGAAACGCGTCTTGGGCAATTCACTACAATTCGGGATAAACCTGTGATTTGATTCTTGGTTGAACCACATGTTTGATGTAATACCTCTCTACCTGCTTATGAGACTGGAATATAGTACATGGGCCACTCCTGTGATGAGATTATGGTTGGCAAATTCCAGTATAAGCAGTACAATAGGATATTCACTGAGTCTTTTCCATGTGGCTGCCTCTTCACCCAGACCCATCCAGTTTATCAGCAGGTTCCGCATTGCCTCGGGGAAGAGTTCTGTGGCAAGTTCCTCAGCAGGAGGCAAGTCTGTAATGTGTTCAATGTGTCGCATCTTGAAGCTTTCTACCTGCTGGCTTATGCTGCTGTTGGCTGAATGAAACTTCTGACCCAGCCAGCCAGCCAGAGCTTGCAGCAGAAGACTGGAGTAGATTGAGTACCCTTGTGAATGAGTCCGAAGTAAAGCCATCACAGCATCTGTCAACCTTTCCTCGTCCTGCCCTCCACTAATCCAATATTCAGCATAATCTAGAAGCTTCAAGATGGTTTCCTCTTGACTCACATCCATTGTAATGATGGCCTTTAACTTGTCTCCTATAATGCAGAGTTTCTCAGCTAGCAGACTAGACTGCTTAAACTCCACCTGCTCTGATAAGGAGCAGTAGTCATGGTCCACGGATGACGACTCTTCTGGTAGACCAGACACCGGCTGGGAGATGGCAAAGTCTTCTTCTACTTCCTGAGGTTCTGAATGGACAGGGGCAGGTGCAGAGATATTACTAGAAGTATGTCCATGTGATATCTCTTCGTCACTATGGTAGCTGGAAGTTGTTGGCAGTTGGACATGCAGGTTGTAAACCATGTTTAATTGCTCATCGTTGATTCGGGACTTCCAGAGATCCTGAAAAATGACACATTCAGAGAAAAACATCAATAAAAGGTTCCCAATAAACTATTTGAATAGTTAAAATGCACTCTTGTGCCTTCTTACGCTATGAGACATGAGTGATTTTTATATGTTCTGGTGTGGATCATAAACTCCCTTGACAAAAATGTAAATGATTTTAGCAACTGCTCTACTCACAAAACACCTACTGAAAATGGCAATCAACAGGTGCATTGAATCAGTTGTGTTCGAGCAAGGAAATCACCAAACTGTATTGTATTTGCTCAGATACAGACCAGAGTTTAAGCACTAATCAATACACAAATTTGTCATATTAATATTATTGTGTATACAGTGTGACAGAGCTTAAATTGAGTAATTACACTATACCTTTGGTTCTCAAACTGATCTTCAGGGACCCTCAAACAGTCCACATTTTTGCTTGATTTCAATTGCTAACGCATAAAGACAGAGCTAAAACATGCACCATCTAGGGGTCTCTGATGATTGGCTTGAGAACCACTGCATTATACAGTAGTGAAAAGTATACAGCACCTGAAATGACTCCAAGACTGAGAGCTGCTCTTGTTTACTGAAGAGCTCAAAGGCCACCCGGAAAACACCATGAATGCAATAGAACCACAAGCCATTACTGGAGCAAGGAAGTCGAATGCCTTGGAACCTGAAGGCTAGAATAATAAAAGGGACAAAAGACCATCCACTTATTTCCACATTTAACTGGTAGTTCATGCAATTTGTATTTGCTCAGACATTTGTCTAGATCAGACTTGCCCTGCCCTGCTCTGCTCTTCGAAACCAAACTCTGCAGTGTTGTAGATTTGGGTTGGGCATGATTGATTTAGTTAAAAACAGGCTAAATACCAGAGGAGAAAACCAGTTTTGCTGCCAGTCCCCTTTTGGCAAATTTTGCATGGTATCTAGGATGGTTCTCAGTGCGGACATCTGTGTTAGAAAAGAGATCGGCTCCAAGGAAAAGAGGAATCATCTGCTCCTTTAAAAAGTAAAGCATCAGTTGGTTACATTTGGTGACAGGACACCTTCCATTTTACTCTTATTTCATGCGATATTTAAAAAGTAGCCTGACAGTGTTCACTTACCTCATTAGCATTCTGTTTGGTAACTTTAAAGGAGTTGTTTCCAGCTAGATATAAGAACCGAATCCTCCTTTTTCCACTTTCCCAGTGTGGTAAGTCAATGACTGAGACACTCTCAGTAGTCATGAGTTCAGTCCTTAATTCTACACTCTCGCAGAAATGACGAGGTTTGGACAAGTCCTTTAAGTGTTTAGCCAAACCGTTGTCTGTGTATCCTTTCAGGCATTGCATTCATTCATTTTTTGAGGAACCACAGCTGGTCTACATATGCAAACAAATGCAGGGGATGGACAGAATAGTGAAGCCCAACAATATATTATTATCAAATATTACTAAGACACCCTCTCATCCCTGAGAACAACAGCTGACCTATGTGTGGTAGTATATCGGACTGTCCATCTAGAAAAATGTCTTCAGTTCTGCTTCTTCAAGAGGAAAAAAATCAAGTTCTACTTGTTGAAGTCCTACTTCAAAAGAAGAAAGCATCTATCAATCCTTCACATTCTGCACTCCAAAATATCCTAAAAAAGGAAAATGGCGTTTACATCTGGCGATCAAGATTACCATTTCATGTTGATGAATTTGTCTATTATTTTGTCCCCCCCGTCTTTGCTGAAGTCAACTAAAGAGAATGAACAAAGTGCGTATATTTTATCTGCTGTATCACAGCCGAACTGTCGAATAAGAACGGCGCATGCGCCGCTGTTTCTTCTTGGGAAGCGTGATTGAATGGTGAAAGTCGTGTTATCGCCCCCTGGAGGTAGAACATTTTGGGCTGTCCTTAACATAGTACTAATACTAATTGTGAATTTGTCCCATTTGTCGTCTAACGTTCTTACAACAGAGAAGACATCTCAGTATGCAGGGCAGGGGTTCTCGGACAGGGTTGTGTACTGCCCTACTACAGTGGTCTCCAACCCTGGTCCTGGAGAGCCACCTTCCTACAGAGTTCAGTTCCAACCTGTATCCAATAAGCTGCCCCGCTTCTTACTTAACTTTAATACGTCCAGCTGATCCAGCCAATCAGGGCCTTGGGAAGAGGTCCAGGTGTTGTAAATTGTGGTTGAAACTAAGCTCAGCGATAAGGTAGCTCTCCAGCACCAGGGTTGGAGACCACTGCCCCACACTGCACTCAGGCTGCGTCCCAATAATCGAATAAAACCTCAGTTTCTGTCGTGCGTGCCTTGATTTTGTCTGATCTGCTAATCATGCAGATCCACATGCTAGTCGGGTCTGTCAGTATGTTTAGTGAGGCCATATGCTACAGATCAGGCTAACCGCCTGTCCCACTTTCACATTCGGGGTTTTGTGTACACATTCGTGTTTTCCATTGCACTTTTAAGTGTCCTGTTTCTCAAATGTGCAAAAGTACAGTGTACAACGCACACTAGATGAACTACGATCGATCGTCCTATCGCGCTGTTTTGGAAATATTAGGGAAGGACATTAACATTGTGAGAACCTTGGCAACTGCTTGTCTCACATGATACACGATGGCTGAGCGCTTTTTACAAGTTCTGAAATATGTGACATGAATGTACACCTAAAGAAAACCACAAATACTTAATGATAGGCCAGAAATCAAGCAAAAGAGATAGGAAAGTAAGTTTCATTTAACTATTCGGACGCACCCCAATGTAAGTGCGGTGCTCCCTACTCCCTAATACGTGCACTACATGTAGGGAGCCAGTTACGTCTGTGTGTCGTGAGCGTCATCGCGGCCAATCAGCGCGGTCGCCGGCCTTCGTATCACCTGTCGTATTCAACTCTCCGCCAAACAAGAGCGAACATGGAGGTTGATTTCGGGGACAGTGAGCTGTTCGAGCAGCTAGATGCAGACCCACCGATTCCTAAACACATTAGGTTTACAGACGATGAAGAGGAAGCGCCGGGTGTTCTCTGTGAGCTCCGCGAAAGATTAGAGGAGTGCGAGGAGACTGTAGACCGTCTGAAAGCGGAGAATATCCTTTACACAGCTGTATTAAAGAAACGCTAGGTTAGCTAACGCTAACTAGCTGCGAAGCTCAAGTTAGCCTCCTATTCGCCTGCTTTTTATTCGATTGCTCCGTTCCACCTTAAATGGCTCGACAGTTACAGTCTTGCGCCTCTTCATTTAACCTTTTCCGTTTTTTTTCCGTGGAATGGATAATTCGAATAAAAAGCTCGCTAACTTAAGCTTCGTGCTCTGACTAGCGTTCAGATCAGAAAGCCCCATGCTGCTAGATAGCTATTGGTTATACTTTATTTTATTGCTTTATCACATCATAGCTTTAGAGTCATTTGCTGTGGTTGGTCATAAATGAACTTAACGTTAGGTTAACAATCTAGCTAGGTAATGTTACTCAAGCAGCACAGCTCGGTTCCTGCTCAGTGAACTATCGTACTACGCTAAATAGTAGCCAGTCAGTTGACTACAGTCCAGTTGCAGATATGGATACCACATGTGTTTTGTTGTAGTATAAAGTTTTTTTTCAGTTGATTTCTGCTTTCACTTTCCCCAGAACTTCGACTACAGTGGTGTTATGGATACCTCGGGTTTGGCGTTCCTCACTGTTTTTGACGTAGCTAGACACATTTTTGTTACGTTGGTGACTATTTGTAAAAGAATGGCACCACTTCGTTCAGCTAATTTTAATGTGTAGGGTTATATAGCTAGAGAGATCCCGCCTAGACATTCTGACCTGACAGAGAACTTTTCATGTTTTCCAAAGGAATCGACTTGAAATGCAGGGTCGTATGTTTTACTGTGTGTCCGCAACACTAGAGTGGTTGGCAGGCTTGGGTCCATGGACCGTTTTCCTACTAATAACAACTTTATTCATAGTCCTCTAAAATCTCTCCCTAATGTTGCAACTAACAAAAAGAAACAATACATCATGGCAGGGTGTTGTATAAGTCTGATACACATTCCTGGCTAAACTGCCAGGACTGTCTGATAAACAGTCTTAAGCCTTAAATTGACGCTAACCCTTTGTACCCATAGGCACAGCACTCAAATTATTTTTTCTGCCCCTTAACAACTAGTTCACATGAGGAGCTGAGGAGAAAGTTAAAGTTTTTGAGTCGGCCTACGTAAGTTAGCTTGCAATTACACTTTTTGGCAGTGTTGTTATAGTTGCCTTGTTGTCTACAACAATTAATGTATGGTTTAATGTACCCTTACTTGACTTTATTGCAGAGGTATCATTGTTGTAAATTCAAAAGTTGACGGACCCCTCTGCCAAATTCTTTTTGGAAACAACAGCATCTCAAAGTAGGTGTTGATTGTTCTAAATATTGATATCTTGCTTTGACAGTGCTTTATTTTCAGCATTGTTATACGTCTAAATACTTTGTGTTCCTGTCCATCCAGGGAGCATCGACAAGAAATTGAAGATTACATCTTTAGTCTCTTTGAGAAACACCAGCAAGAACAGAACAATGACAAACAGGGCTCTGCTTTACAGGTCAACCCACAGGTAGCGTGATGCATGTTTTGACTGTGGGTCAGGTGTGAAAGATACTTTGCCCTTTATTTTTAGACATTAAAATAGGCTTCACATCTAAAATGAATGCTTTTGTTTGTTTGTTTTTTTTGTTTTGTTTTTTTTTTTAATGGAGTGACACCCAAATTTTTTTAACCAAGAAATCAATGTTCTTGACGCTTTGAAATCAATTTGTACATTACAGCATTTTAGGTCAAGGATAGTTTGGAAAAAGAAAGAAGCAATGGAGTCAGAGGAGCTTTACATAGAAATTCACCATTTCTTTACACTTTTCTGTAAACTTTGATTAGCTTGGTTTGTTCCCATGCTGTTTGTCCTACAAGTACAATTTAAAACAAGTTACAAGTAGCAGTTCAAAAGCACAAAGCTGATTTTGACATTATGTGAAAGGAGTCTTTTAATCTTAAGGAAATATAGAGGACAGCTGTATTTGTTGAATGAGTGTGCTGAGTGGATAGTGTTCTTTTGCACATGTGGGTCAGTTTATGAGCATGATCTGCCCGGATGTCAGGTATAGGATATCTTACACGTTAAAAAAAGATATTGTGGGGTTCCTGTCTAATTGTTGGCATTATCATCTGGAGGTCACAAGTTTGATCCCTGGTGAAGCCTCAGCTATCTGTAGCCAGGAGTCAAAGTGTATAAATAATCTGCATCGCTCTCTTTCGGTGGGCAGTAGGGCCGTAGGATAAATCGTGTTTTTATCGTTATTGTGAAATGACTTTCACATAACGTGCAGAGCTCAAAAACTATTTAGTCCTGGACTAGAAACCTGTAAAACACATCAAACATTAGGATCATTCTCACAACCAGTATTGTGTTCTAGGTGTGCAAGGCAATAATGGTTACTGTCATAGCAAACATGTTTAATAACTAAGCAAAAGTACAAACAAATACATAAATAATACATACATAAATGTATTAATTCTTGTGTGCCTTTATAAAATTTAAATACATTTACGTTTTGTAGCTTTTATAGGAAAAGATGTTGAGTTAATGCTGACTGTTTATCAGCCTTTCAGTACACAAAAAATGTGCTTGCAATTCTGATGTAAGTAGCTGTTAGTATTTATTTTTATTTTGTACAATATTGAACGGTGCTTTTGCAATTCTGTATTTTGTTAATAAGGTAAAGTAGATTAGATTTCTGTTTCTATATCAAAAGTCCATGTATGTGTTAAATTAAAAAAATTAATTATTATTATTATTATTATTATTAATTATCACTTCTCATGTTGTTATTGTGCTGTCTGACAGTTTCATCAAACATCACATTTTATGTTAATATACAGCCCTAGTGGGCAGGACGGTCCTCCGTCTCCCCCCCGTCACTCAGCACAATGCCAACATAGGCATCCGATTGACATAGAAGAATTGGAAGTTAATAGTTCTTCTCCGAGTGTGGTGTTGTCCAATGATTTTGCTTTAGCGACAGTTTGAAAAGATGTGGGCAGCTGGCATCACATGTCTGGATGGAAGCACTAGCCTTCACCCTCCTAGCTTAGTAGCATTGTGTGAGTGGGCATGACCTAGTTACTGGGGGTAATTAGTAATGACTGAATTGGGGTGAATTTTTTTCTTAAAAGAAAAAAATACAAATTGTGAACCAAACAACAAATTTGGGCAGTAAATCAGATGTGGGCTTTCCCTTGCAGGCTGAGTGTAGTTTTTAAGATTTTTTAAAGCTGCACTATGTAAGATTTAGTGACTTGGAGACCTCTCTGGTAATTTTTGTAAGTTTGTTGGTTGTGCTTCGGGCCCTCTCCCAGTTTGCAGGTGTGTTGAAAAAGTATTGTGTGTTGAAAGAGAACTGTCAAAACTTGGAGACGGACATGTCTTCCGAGTGAAGTGAGAAATCAATTATCTACTATAGTCATCAAGTCTTCATCAGTATTATGTTGATTTTGCATTTGAGAGCTAAACATCAAGTCAGACCTTCTTTTTGAGCCGGTGCGTGATGTTAATACATAAAGTATGATGTGGTCTGAAAAACTCCCTCAAAATCTGACCCAGACTTTACAGGGAGACTCACAGCAGAGCCACAGATGCCATTTTCCTCCTGACTCGGTAATGCTACTTTTTTCAACAAAAAAAATCTTACATAATGCAGCTTTAACTCCTCATGGTTTAATGCAGGTGAGAGATGATTGCAGCATGCAGTTTGCAGGATGCTGATTGGTAGGGTATAAGTTTCATTACTTGTTAGCTACTTTAGCTTTGTAGCCTTCAATGCAATACTAAAGAAGCAATCTTCAGACATCAAATATGTCTAAGAAATTTGATGTAAGAGATTTTTTGATAGTAATTTATTCCATTAAGATTCATCTGTGCATGTAATGTCCTGAGATTTTCATATTCTGTTTTCATGCAGAACTCAAGTTTTGTCATGGAGGAGATCCAGAAAACAAATGGTTCTTCAACTGGAAAACAGATTAAAGACGCTTTTACTGTGGGTATTTCTAACTAATTATGCCACAAATGTTACAGTCCTGTTCCCTTATAACCATATTTTCTTGTAAACAAATAATGAGTAGACCTCAAAGCTCAGATGTGTGTGTCCCCCCACCTTGTTTTATAGATGGTGGGGAGTGTGTTATACTTCACCAGCTTCTGCCTTGATAAACTGGGCCAGCCTCTTCTCAATGAAAACCCTCAGCTGACAGAAGGATGGGAGATACCCAAGTATCCTTAAGCTCAAATTTGCAGACACTTGTAATTATTTGATTATTGACATTTTTTCTCGTTCTTGTTGTGTATGATACTGTTATTAGCTACATATCTCAAATTTGTATATGTCTAACACGCTTACCCTTCCTGAATCACGTCTGCAAAGGTTTCAGCAAGTTTTTGGGCAGGTAGTTGGTTTAGAGGGGCAAGAGATGCAGATAAAGGAGAAAAGGTATGCAATGCAGTTGACTTAAACAGTTTATCGTTTCACTGAGAAATGTGAAGATAATTTCATTATTCACTGGTGTTTTCAAGAAAACCTGAAGTGTAAATTACAAGGAATACAGTTTGTGCTCTGTTTGTGTATAATTGTGCATATATTACATGTTGTTGAATTGTAACATCTTTTTCAGGCCTAAACCGTGCTGTTTTAACTGTGGTGGTGAGGACCATCAATTGCGAGACTGTCCAAAGGTTAGTTGTTTTGAAAATTATTAGTGTTATTATTTGAAAGTTATTAGATTGTTGTAGTGAAATCTTTTCCCATTCTTGCTTGAGGCAGCACTTCAGCTGCTCAACAGTCCAGGGTCTCTGTTGCCATGTGTTGCACTTTCTAGTGCGCCACACATTTTCAAAGGGAGACAAGTCTGGACTGCAGGCAGGCCAGTCTTGCACCTGCACTCTTTTACCATTTTGGATTGTCTCGGTCTTGCTGAAACATGCAGGATGGCTTTTGAACTTTGTGTTGACAGCAAGATGGTCCTTTGTCGTCTAAGGCCTGTAGAACACAACATTTTGATAGATGCGCTCTTCATACCACTGCACACGTTTCTGCTTTGCTTTGGTCCATCTCAAATGAGCTTTAGCCCAGAGAAGTTGGCTCCGTTTTCTGGAGGTTGTTGACACAGTGCTGTGAAGAAGTATTTACCCCTTCTGAATTGATTAGGATTTACCCCTTCCAAATCTATTTGTGCATATTTGTATGTTTCAGATCATCAGATTATTCTTAAAACAAAGGTTAAACAAATAACCCAAGTAAATGCAAAATGTTTTTAAACGATTTCATTCATTGAAGGAAAAATGCTGTTCAGCCTTTCCTGGCCCTGTGTGGAAATGTAATTGCCCCCTTAGTTACTAAATCAACCAGTTTTAAATTCACTTGACTGTTGGATTTTATTTCACTAGCCACACTCAGGCATGATTACTGCCAGACCTGTTGAATCTAAACGTCACTTAAATAAAACCTGTCTGGCAACGTAAAGCAGGCTAGAAGGTCTCAAAAAACAGCACATGATGCCACATTATAAATAGATTCATATATAGATGAGAAACAGTCATTGAAATCTACCAGTCTGGAAAGGGTTACAAAGCCATTTCTAAGGCTCTGGGACTTGAGCAAACCACAGTGAGAGCCATTATCCACAAATGGAGAAAACCTGGAACAGTGGTGAACATTCCAAGAGAGGCCGACCTACCAGAATTTCATCAAGAGCACATCGAGGACTCATCCAGGGAGTCACAAAAGAACCCAGACGAACATCTAAAAAAGTGCAGGCCTGACTTGCCTCAGTTAAGGTCAATGTACACGATTCCACAATGAGAGACACTGGGCAATAATTACATCCATTGAAGAGTTGAAAGGCACAAACCACTGCTGACCAAAAAAAACACAAAGCCTTGTCTCATGATTGCCAAAAAACATCTAGAGGACCCCCAAGACTTGTGGGTTAATGCTCTGTAGACTGATGAGTGCAAAATGAAACACTTCGGAGACCTGGGTCCCATTACGTGTGGTGTAAAGCTGACAGTGCATTTCACCATTAGAAGTTCTGACTTCAGTCCCATTGAGATGCTGTGGCAAAATCTTAAACGGGCAGTTCATGCTCACATCTTCTAGTGTAGCCGAATTAAAACAATTCTGCAAAGAGGAGTGGGGCAGAATTCCTCCACAGCGAGGTAAAAGACTCATCGGAAGTTAGCACAAATGTTTCATTGCAATTGGTGCTGCCAAGGATGGCACAACACATAGATTATAAATGGACCTCAGGGTGGAGAAAATGTAGAACACAAGGAAAAGGTATAAGAGTTTCCCTTAAAGTAAAAAAGTAAATATTATCCGGATGATCAAATGCTGCTAAATTGTTTCTTGTGGATAATCCACGGAGTTTCACTCGAAAGAGGCCCCGAATATTCTGTAGTAACTCTCTCTAGGACGAAGAATTCTGAATGAAACAACATTCCATTCAGAGCGATGAGGTAGGCGGCGGACAGCCGTCGCAACATTTAACCTCTGTTTGCAACTTCCGGGTGTAGACCCCTGTACCCATTCATGTATCTGGCAGAAAATTACTCGCAGAGATCACTTCCAGCATTGCATGTAATTCAATCGTTTACACATACGTCAAAAGTATGTAGCTGATTTTTTTTGGTTCAGATGCTTCATCCTAACGGGAGCTACAACAGATTATTCAGGGCATCTTTTGAGTGAATCTCCCTATACCTATCTGCAACTGAGGAAGTGTAATCCATTGTCACTTTTCCAGCCCAAAGACATGGCACGCATCAGTGAGAAGAGAAAGGAGTTTGCGCAGGGCAACTATCAGAGTAACCAGCGCTACCATGAAGAGGAGGTGGAGGAGAGGTTTGCCAAGTACAAGCCAGGAGTAGTGAGGTCAGGTTTCTTACTAACACTAACACTTTTCACACATTTCACCAGGCTCTATGTCTCTACAGCATGAAAAAGAACCATCACCAAAAATAATTAAATAATTTTTGGTTCATTTAAGATTGCTATTGTTTTAATTTGTCTTTCAAGTATGTTTGACTTGTTCCAAAAGCTGTTGGTATTCTTATATCAATTTCCTTCCAAAGTATGTTTCATACCTCTTCAGTAATGACCTCTGAAGACAGATATTCAAAGTGTTAAAGTTACAAGGCTTATTCTAATACAAATACATTCTAATACAGGCTGTTCTGCTCTCAGAACAGCCTGAATTCTGTATGGCATAGATTTGACAAGGTGCTGGAAACATTTCTTATAGATTGTGGTCCATGTTCAGATGATTGCATCATGTAATTGCTACAGGCTTCGCAGCTGCACTTTCATGCTGCACATCTCTCGTTCTTCCACATCCCAAAGGTACTCTACTAAATTCAAATCTGATTTCTGGGGAAGCCCCTGAAGTACATCTTAACTTAGTCTTATGTCCATGGAACCAGTTTGAGATGTGTGCTTTGTGACAAGGCACATTATCATGTTTGAAGTACCCATTAGAAAATGGATAAATTGTGGCCTTAAAGGGAGGCGCATGGTCAGCAACAATACACAGATATACAGTGGTATTCATACAATGCTTGACTGGTATTAGCTTGAACTGCTAATACAAGGCAGGTTAGGTCTATGGATTCATGCTGTTTACGCCAAATTCTGACCCTCCCGTGTGCATGTCACATCAGAATGCTTGGATTCTTGCTCTTGATTCGTCTCAAGGTTCGGCGTGCTCTTCATTTAGAGATGCTTTTTTTGATCACAACTGTTGGAAAGTGTGGTTATTCAGGTTTAACTGTAGCATTCCTATCCACTGGATCCTCTGATCTGAACCTGATCTCTCTCAGCAAGGCTTTTCTGTCCACAGAACTGATACTCATTGGCAATGCTCAATGGTTTTTTGCACCATTCTGTTTAAACTTCTGAGACTTATGCTTGAAAATCCCTGTAGATCAACTAATTCATAAATATTCAGACCACCCTGGCCAGCACCAACAAACATGACAGACCAAAGTTACTCAGATCACATTTTTCTTTTCTGATGTTTGGTGTATGTATAATGTTGCCACATGATTGGCTGATCAGATAAATAAATAACTGAGCAGATAAAGGTGTTTCTAATAAAATGGCCAGTGAGGGTATATATTTTTTAGAATGGCAGGGGTTCAGAGCCTGTACTGTTTACTAAATGAGCAGCATAAGATTTGCTAAATATTTGCCAAAGTCTATCGAGTTACTGCTATTTTGGCCAGGAATCACCCAACTTACCAGGATCAGTGGGCATGATCATCTTTTTATCCAAGCCAAGAAATGTCGATTAAACGACAAGTCACTTCAGTCATGACTTTGAGTCTCACTTTGCTGGTTTTCTCGCATTGTCCTGTACAGTAAGGAGCTCCTGGACGCCCTTGGCATTGTTACTAACACGCTTCCACCATTCATTTATCGGATGAGGGAACTGGGCTACCCGCCAGGCTGGCTAAAGGAAGCAGAGATGGAGCACTCAGGCCTGACACTCTACGACGGTAAAAGTAAGTTCTTCTGAAAAGACATCAGTAAGTGCTTTTTTTAGAGTTGTCACTTTTTTCCTCAGCTTCTTAAAATGCTGAGCATTTTGGTGAATGTTTTACAAAATGCTACCTCATAACACAAGCTTTATAACATTGTGAAAGCTTTTGCAAAACTTTTCTTTTCAAAGCATCAGGTGATGGCGAGGAAGACATCAATGGCCGTAACCAAAAAATATCCTATGATGTCTCTAAGCTAGTGGATTTCCCTGGTTTCAATGTTTCTGCACCTTCCAACATTAGGGATGTAAGTGTATAGTGGTGTTGGGCAGGAAATTGTCTGCTTTTACATTTTTTTTCACTTTTTCTTTAATATGTTTTATTTATGTTAGGGCTGGGACACTGAGCAATTTTTAAAAATAATGAATTATATTTTGCAATAAAAGATTTTTGCATTATTGAAAACCACAGGTATTTTACAGTAACATTCAAGAATATCTAGGTTTGACTTGGGCCAGACAGGCCGGCAAAGTCATACAGCCTTTTCACACAAAGTCCAAGTTTCACAGACAACTCAAAAAAAACTATTCAAAACAAAAGGCAAGTTTTGAAAATGTTCACATTAAGTCTTGTGCCGTCTTCCACATCAGAGCTCAGGGATGATTGTGGTTTGTTCGCTCATTTTAAAGTTTGGAGCTTCAAGGTGAAGTAGAGTCTCAAACTCTGCCACAGTTAGAGTGCTGCTGCAGAGCTTTAGCTGTGAGACAGTTCAGCCTTTTTAAACCCTCAGCGTTAAAAAAAACCCTCACAAAAACTAAACGTTAAACTAACATTTTCTTTGTATACTTTGCTAGTATGAGTCACTTGCAGGGCAGCTCATTGCTCCATGTGTAAATGAAGTAAAACCAAGATTGGAGTTTCAGGTTGTGAATTGGAGCACTGAACAAGCAATCAAAATGGAAAGAACAAAAAAAAAGTCAAATTCTGCTTATCAGTTTCATGGCTGTTATTGATAATTATCTACAAGTGGTCCCAGCCCTAATTTATATATATTTTTATGATACAATATTTGCTGCCTTTGCTGAAAAGCAGCGAACCAATCAAAATAACTTATGATGCATTTGACTTTTGGGTTATTCCATGTCAACAAACTCTGGCTCATATGTATGTATGTATGTATGCATGTCAGTTAACATGTTATTAGTAATTACAAAAAAGAATTGTGAAAATTGGAAACGGCTTTTGTCCAGTCGTATAGCTTTTGTCCCCTCAGCCTTAACAAAATTCTCTGCTTTCAAATTGAAAAATGTTTCAAAATGTGATTTATTACGGTTAATTACACAAACGGATGTGATTCACTATGATTATTTTTTTAAATTTGACAACCCTATTTTAAACCTATATCAGGTTCGGAATTGCCTCTTAAATGTTGCCATGGATTAATCCTTTTTCTTAAATTGCATTGTCTCCATAGATGGCAAGGAATTAAGGTTGACCTAACGTATGCAAACCCAACATTTCCTTAACTGGATACAAGAAGCTGTGTTTCACATACTATGCTTAGTGTGGTGTTCTAAATATTTATACATTTAATCAATTTAGAAATTTGTTCTAATTCAGTAAATAGTTTTTTGGCAATGTAGAATTACATGTGCCACTCAATACTTAGCTCGAGTTTTTCCCGTGTCTTTTTTCTTTATTTACAGGATTACAGGTCTTTTGGTTCCATCCCAATGCAGCCTCAACACTGGAAGCAAACTTTTGCTGCTCATTTGTCTAATATGTATCCAGCGGTAAAATACCTCCTACATTTTTCATCTCTTTTAATGCATTTTCATGGGTCTTTGAGTGAACCTTAAACCTTTTGTGTGTTAACAGCCTGGGTCCAAATGCAGCAAAAGGTGTCATGAGCCAGAATCAACTCCACAGCACACAAAGAAGCGGAGGTCTAATTCTGATGTCCACAGGAGCTCAGACATGGACACGGATTCAGGTAGAGGGCTTATTTCCTGTGTAAACAGATTTTAAAGTGTTTCTGCAACTTCCTTTCATTGACATGACAAAGCATTGCTTTGTTTCATGATTTGTACTGAACAGTATGGATCTCTTTCCCCCCCCCCACTCCCCTTTCCGCCTCAGCTGACCCAGTAATGCTCTACAGAACTTTTCACATTCAGCTACTGGGCTAGTTTTAAGTTATTAACATTAGCAACAGCCAGAGATGTTCACAAGTCACCTTTCTCAAAGTGTTGTCTCTGAGGTGCGAGTTCAAGTAGAGTTTCCGAGTTGCCTGTTCAGTCCTCGTCCCTGAGGCGAGAGTCCAAATTGAGTCTAGAGTCTCTGAGTTGCCTGTCCAAGTTGAGTTCCTGTTTCGAGTGCTAGTCTGAATCCAAGTTGAGGCTTGAGTCCCTGAGGTGGCAATGTGAGTTGAATCTTTGATGTGTGAGTCCAAGTTGAGGCTTGAGTGTCTGACGTGCCCGTCTGAGTTAAGTCTCGACTGTCTGAAGTGCAGTCCGAGTCAAGTTTTGAGTCTGAGGTGCGAGTCAGACTCAAGTCTTGGCTTTGTAGTCATGAACTTTAGTCAAGTTAAATTGTCATTAGCAATTAAGCGAAACCTGCTGTATCATTCACATGGAATTCACTGCATTGTGCACAAGCGCTAGGTTGTTTAGTTGACATTTCTCTTCTGTTGTGTAACGTTCCATCAATTACAGGTTTCTCTTGATTTTGGAATCCTACAGTGCATTTTGTGAGCAAAGCCAGCTAGCAGAAGCAACAGTTTGAAACAACTATACCATAGGAAGCGCAGCACTGTAACTTCAACAGTATGTCTGTTAGGTTTCAGCCTATTATTTCAAAAGTACCTGTATTCATTCTAAATAGATACGTATTTCTGTATTTGTTTTTTACTTCTACTAGATGGTGTTTTTTTTTTTTTTTTTTTTCTTTAAGCTTTTCTCAGTATAAATGTAGGATGGTACCTAATATTGTGTCTGTGTGTCTGCAGATCAGGACACTCCTGTGCACACCCGGTCCGATGGTTTCCAGTTTCAGCCACCGCTTCCCCCTAGCTCTCCACTCATTAGTACACCCCCTCCTTTACCCCTGGGAACGCCTCCTGCCACACCCACACCACCCCCACTTCCTAAAGGCACTCCTCCTCCAACACCTCCCACAAACGCCTCTCCGTTTCTGCAGGGTAAAGGTGGAGCTGGAGGGGAGGAGTCTGAGGATGGGCTGACTTTAGAGGAGCTGGAAGAGCAGCAGAGGCTGCTTTGGGCAGCACTTGAAAGCGCCGATAATGCTAATAGTGACTCTGAGACTGGCTTGGGCTCATCCAGTGTCTCTCCATCAGTTAGGCCAGACGCTGACATGGAGGAGGGTGAAGAAGGGGAAGTGAAGATGGAAAAAACTGTGAGCCATGTTTGTGAGCCTCTAAGCACACCTGCCTCACCTGATGAACCACAGGTGACTAAAAATTAGTGATGTGGCAAACATACAGCAGGCATTTTCACAATATACAATATGAATCATGATTAGAGATGGATCCATCAGTGTTTTTAGGGCCGATACCGATCACCTTTTAGCACCATCAGCCAATAGCCAATACCGACCGAGGGCAGGGCTGGATACTATCTTCATTAAAAGGCGCCAAAGCGATTCTCAACAGCAAAACAAATACACCGCTCTCTTCATTGCTCCTTCAGAAGCTCTACACCACATCCATGGAAGCACTTTTTTTTGCCTATAAAATCCTTCGCAAACGTACTGATAAATGCCGTGATATCACGTTAGAGCAAACGACAACATCCATCATCTAAACCGCTTATCCTTCTGGGTCGCGGTGGGGTGCTGGAGCCTATCCCAGCTGTCATTGGGCGGAAGGCAGGATACACCCTGGACAGGTCGCCAGTCCATCACAGCGACAACAAACGACAACAGAGGAAGTAATGTAACATTAGCTAGGTTGTGGGTTTGCAAGCTTCACTACAATTGCTGCTGCAATGCTAACCACAAACATTAGCAAACGGGACAAAACTGTAATGACCTTGATTCTGTGGAACAGCAAAAATAAGTTGTTACCCACCTGTCTTACAGAAACAGCAACTATACCCATTTAATCCCTTTTCATGCCTTCAGCTCTTTCAACAGCTGAAGTCAGCTTCTTTTACGCCAGCTTCTTGTTTGAATTTTCCTGTTCCACCTTAAATAGTCCAGCAGCTACATTCTGGCACCTCAGGCCAGCGTAACCATTGAAATAACCAGAGCCTACACAACCAGTGCAGCTAGCAGGACACAACAGTCCTCCTAAAAATCCAAGGGTGGGTTTTTAAATATACTGAAAGGGCTGATTTACGACTGCTTTCGTAGTTCTGCGTCGTTTTTTTTTAGGTCATGAAGGCACTGCAGTGTAAGCTAAGCTAAAATTAGCGTTCAGATGCTAATCCGACAGATCATCAAAAAGCTGCTGAATATCATCCAAACAACTGATTGTGTTACTATGTGTTTTATTCACTTGTGCTACAGGTAGATTGGTCTTAATGTGTCTTTTTTAAGATGACGTATGATATAATTATTATAATAACATTTATTTCCACAGGTAACTGATGTTAAAGAAGATAAAACCAACAGTGGCGAGGTAAGGGACAGTCTTAATGAAGACAAGAGTGACACAGGGATGGAGTCTCAGGATGAGCTCATAGTTCTGGATGAGATTTCTCAGGAAAACGATCGTGACCCTGAAGAGAATAAATTAGCTGAGGTTACCGAAGAAACCAACTTGCAGGCATTGGATAACAAAGGAACTGAGGACAATGAGGAACCCCCTGTATCAAAAGTTACATCCGTTCCACACCGAAGTAAGTTTGCTGAGGGTATAATTCCATTTGAAGACACACCGGAGTTCACAGAGGTCGCCGAGGCAACCGGGGTTTATCTCAGGATCCGAGAGTTGCTGAAAGAATCCCCTCGAAATCAGGCAAAAAACAAGAAGTAGACTTTGATTATCTCTATGGATAAGTAGGGTCTGTATGTCTGTAGGAATTGAACCACAGGAATTGTTGGGAACAGTGTTTCAACATTATTGGTGTCTGAATTTTCCCCATCGTTCTTTTGGCATGGAAATTAATTTTTATACAACTACCAGTACTTCTCACCTTCCCACAGGTCGGTCAGTTTACTTTGTGTTTTTATAATTACACAGACACCAACTTTTGTAGCAAAGGTTCAGATTTGACATGTAGGGTTTTATGTATGTACAGTTTTATAAACAATCCCTCCTGTTTTTCTTGCTTTTTTTATTTTATCCAAGAGTCTTATTGTTGTTCCCATTATGCCATTTTCACTTACAGTTAATGGGAAGTTTTGTTTATCACAAAAGGTTTCATCATTTGTCATCATTGCTCAATTGTATACTTTTGCAGTTACTTTTAACTCTAAATTATTTTTTACAATGAGATTTTATGGTTTCTGTCCTGTTCAGGGTTTTATTTTCAATGTTTATTGACCAGGTGACCAGAGGAGTCTGGTAATAAAATGTCCAACTTTGACTTACAGAGTTACTTCAGCAGCTTTCTACCTCCCCCATACACTCCAACTATAAAAACTGCTGCAGTGGCGTCACAGGCTTTACAGGCTGAGCTTTAGTCAGAGCTAAAGCTACTATAACTGTAAAGGGATATTCCTTTTCTTTGAACAATTTAGATACTGCTGTAGCAGTAGATGGCAGGTATGTGAACATGCATTTCACTGCCTTAAGTTCATGGAAACAGCAGAATTGTGCTTGGCTTTGGAACGGGATACCTACTTGTTGCTGCTGCAGGACGTAGTGGGGAACGACGTGTGGTGCTGATATCAGGTTTGGTGTTCGTAAGGTCTTATCGAGGAACTTAAAACAAATGCAGCAGTTCAATGGGTGGGCCGGATGTGAGGTGAGCATAACATCGTTACTAAGGCAGCGTCCAAAATTCAGGCCTCTGCTGCTGCTGCTGTTTTTAAGCTACTTTTGTACATTTTTATACCTGACAGTATATCCAGCAATCGCACAAGCAATCTGTTTGATATTACTTAAAGAGGCATTCTGGCTTAAAAGCAGTGTTCGACATGGCATACGGTGTTTTGTAGTACATGATATCCTTAGCCTTATTGATTTTACTAAATTCTTTAATTTTGTTTTATATTGTTTTCATGATTTTGTTTATCGGTGTTCTCTAACTACACTGCCCAGGATGCATGAAGTAAATAAATAATCCAAACACTAGGGATCCCTGTGGTGCCAACCACTCCACTGACTGCTAGCCTAGCCACTGATCTTCAGGTATTGGTGTCACTTGGTGGTCACCAACTCTCCTCCTAGAGATCTACGTTCCGTCAGAGCTTAGTTCCAAACTGCATCTAACATGCTATATCCAGCTTTCCTCACACTAATGCATCTTGGCCAATCACGGACTTTTGAACAAGTTAATTAGATGAAGCGGGTGTGGCAAATTGGAGTTAGAACCAGGATCTGCAGGAAAGCAGATCTTCAAGACCAAGGTTGGGGCCGCTGGTATAACTCGTTTTATCATTAAACAACTGAAAAAAAAAACTGATTGTCTTCATTCAGCACAAAATGGTTGTCAGATGAAAGTGATTTTTCTTTTTCGGTGAAAGAAAAGCCAAACTCAGGTAAGTTGTCTAGATAGCCAGATACTTTGTTAGCGGTAGCTTTTAGCTTATTTGATTAATCCGATCTCTCCACTGTAACGATAATTTTAACAGTTATAACCTTCAAGGTATGTCAGAAGGGAGTGTCCTAGCGTTTGAACTAGAAAATCTCGCGCTAGAGTTTACTGCTGCAGGATGTGAATAAGCATGTTTACAACAGATGTAGCTGGGGTTAAATTTTTCGTTTTGGCCAGAGTATTTTATTAACGAGGTATACAGTTTGCTGGTCGCTAATGTGGTGGTAGTTTCAGTTACTTATTAGACTCATTAGCCTCATAGCTTAATTCCAGAACTAAAGAAGCAATATTAGGCCTCCAAATATTTCTTGGCTGATGTACATTTGACACATTCCATGACTAAAGTTCAATTTATAATATAAATAAATAATTTTGACTTTGAAAAGTTACTTATTGGTTTGCACTAAAAATACTGGCTGAAACAATCTGTATAGATGTCATTGTAGCCCAGACGAATATCATGACTTTTCAGTGTTTGAATGCTTTTGCAAGGCAATGAAGCCAAAGTGAGTTATTAGCAAAATAAAAATAGTACAATCAGAATAATTAATAAACAAACATATGAACAAAGCCACTCCTAAACTGAACTTTTGCAGTAAAATATTTTTTTAAAATAACCTATAAATTCTACAAACTAAAAGCTTTTGTATTGTATGTGTTTCCCTACGCTACACTAAGTTATTTTTAGCCGGACTGTGGGTGAAAATGAAGTGCTGGCCCATCAGGCGGTGCTTGTGGAAATTCAGGTGGAAAAAATAACATTTTGACCTGCATAACTCCGCCAGTATCACCGGAAGTTTATTTTTGCCATTGCCGTTTGCCAAAAAAGAGTCTTCTTTTAATCAGTGTAATCTTTTTGTACACATAAGGCACCCCTTTTATATATTGGCCCTCTTCGTTGTATTTTGTGAATTGTGACTGTTGGTTTTAAAAAAAAATTAGAACCGTAAATTTTTCAGAAGAAACAAACGTAAAAATATATATGTTTATATTTTTTTCTTTATTCCTTTTTTTGTTTCCAGGCGTACTGTTGTGCGTTTGTTCTACTGGCCAATCAGAGCGCAGGAGGCGGGGTGTTCCGGAATACGGGTGGGAAAAGAACATTTCTAACCACATGACTCTGACAGCGTCACATGACACTGATTTTTACCATCACAAAGATGGCTGCCCACTTGTCTTACGGCAGAGTCAATTTGAACATTTTGAGAGAAGCCGCGAGGAAAGAACTTCGAGAGTTTCTGGATAAATGCGCTGGGAGTAAGGTAGAGTGAATATTTTAGGGTAACTAAGTTACTAACGTTACTGACCGCGGGTGCATTCAACGGACTCTTACTTTGCTAACAATAACTAGCTCCCAATAGGCCATCAATAGTGGCGCTTTAGCTACGACGTATGGGGATTTTTGTTCTTATATATTAGAAACATCATTCTACTGTATCATCATTTTATTGTGAGATAGAACGAGTCGCCAAGTAAAATGAATGTCTGTGTTTGAATATCTTACTACAATGCTGTTTTCACATATAGCTACCACACAATTTCCTGAGCAAAAACATGATTAGATTAACTAGCTACGTCTTACTTTTACGTGCACGGCTGATCAACAGTGTCAGCCGAGCCATCCACTTGTACTTGTTGAGGACAGAAGGACTTTAAAGGCGCAGTAAATGATTCTGGAGAAAGATTGTTGATGTTTGACCTCAGCAGCAAAACAAATACACCCCTCCCTTCAGTGCTCCTTCAGAAGTGCTGCTTTCTGTGAAACAGCAAAAATAAGTTAATGAAACCCACCTGTCAAGCAGAAACAACCTCCTCATCTGTTTTCTTGCCTTTCAACTCTATGAAGCTGAAGTCAGCTTCTTTTTCGCCAGCTTCTTCTTTGAATTTTCCTGTTCCACCTTAAATGGTGCAGCAGTTTGCCTATATTCAGGTGCCTCAGCTTCTTCCTTGAATTTTCCTGTTCCACCTTAACTGGTCAAATGGTACGATTTAAGGTGGAACGAGAAAATGCATATAGGAAGCTAACTTCAGCCGTGTCTGCCTTGATAACCAAGCTGTTTGTGGATCACACAGTATGAATGCAAGTACTTGAATGTTGAAATTACGTAAAATGACCATCCCTACTAGTAGCTATGACAGATTAATTAAGGTTAGCTAACCTTAGCTGAAGCTTAATGCTTATCTGTTCAGGAGAAAATTAGCCAACTCTGCATCCCTCTTAAAGTCCTTCAGGGCTGTAAGCCATCTCCATCTTTCAGGCACATCGCCAACATTTACTCGTATTTTACTACATCTCTGGTCATTGGGCTTTTAGAAGGATGTAGAGGCTTTTTAGGTCAGTGTCCAATTAGTTTGCATGTCTGCAGCATGCTGTGTTTCATGTCTGGCAACCCGGGGTGTCGGAACAGTACTGGGAAATGGCCAGTGGGATCACAGGCCAAAACAGACTTTCCGCTCCGGAATGGAAATTTCAAAGAGAGCATACTGGTTGTAGCAGTGTTGTCATAGAAGCCAGTATTTTAACTTAGCATTTTTCCTTAATCTTTGATGACGTCTCTTCAGCTCATCCTGAACCACTTTGTGTAATTCCCATTTACAGAGCCAGGGCTGTGCACCAACATTGGATTTTTTTTCCAGCGCACGCACAGAAAAGAGAGCTAGCTCATCACTAGGAGATATTCGAAGAATTTGACAAAAATTGGATTGAAATCATATACTATGCCTTTAATTGTGGCCATTTCAGGATCAGACTGAAGTGCTTCTCCTGTCTTATAGCATTACAGATATTTTGCTGTTTTTTGAGGCAAATGTACTGTTTCAGTTTTCTGTCTGTTGTTTGTCTGTAGGCTATTGTCTGGGACGAGTACCTCACTGGACCATTTGGGTTAATAGCTCAGTATTCCTTGTTAAAGGTGAGAAACATATTGATATAAGCTATCCAGGGAGCACATTGAATGCGTGAGAGTTTTACTTTATAAGTATATTTAGATGATCTGGTATTTTATGCTATTTTATACATTATTATCATATCATTACCCACTGACCTACTGATTAAGCAAGTGGAGTTGGGTGTGCTCTAGCTTGTTTGGAGTGAAAACATGCAGCAACATCGGCCCTTTGCAGATAAGATTGGGCACCCTGCTGTATACTCATTAGGAAACCACAGTGATTTGTGTATACTCACTTAAAACCACACAATGACACATTTCTCTGTTACTACCATTGTATGTGGAATTTGTGAAAGAAAACTATTGAATTTTGAAGTCTAACACTCAATCAAGCTGACTGACAAACTAAAAAAAAACAATAAAATGTTCTACAAATGAGACCCTCACCAAACCCCACACCTTAAGACTAAATCTTGGCTAGCTATGCACCTCTGACAAGCTGTCAGAACTTTACTGTATGTTGCTGCGTTGTGCATGGGTACTTTTAAAGAGTTTATAGGGAATCTTTATCCATTCCCAAACCCAAAAGCAGTAGATCTTACTCATCTTCTTTTTTAGAATGGGGAAGGTGGTTTTAGCACCCTTACTCTGTAACACATGGCCTCTCATGGCTTATTTATTTTTGGAGCACTGTATCATATAAGTAATTACTTGCTGAATTCAGTTCTTTCTCTTTTAAGGAACATGAGGTGGAAAAGATGTTCACACTTAAAGGGGGACGAGTGCCCTCTGCTGACGTCAAAAACATTATCTTCTTTGTCCGTCCGAGGTTGGAGTTGATGGACATAATTGCAGAGAATGTAATGAGGTTAGTGTAACTCTTTCTGTCTCGTTAAATTAAGGCTAGCTTGATAAATATTCAGGCCGATGTGTTCCAGCAGATAATTTAGGTATTTGGTACTAGGACCCAAGAGTACTAAAGGGCCCAAATTCTTTTTTTTTCCACTTATGGTGGTGTGGTTTTTATGTACCAAAACAATTATAATTTCTATGATTATTGTCCAATTTCTTACATCTTCTGTTTTCACTCTACTTATAAAGTTTGTATGGCTAGTTTCCTTCCTTTCTTTAGTCCTTAGAATTGAACAGGTTAGTTTTTAAGACTGATATACAGTTGTATATGAAAGTTCGAACACCCCTGGTGAAATCATTTGTTTTGTTGAATTTCTAAGTGGAATAGGTTAACACCTCTGCAGAGATCACTCTTAAATTTTTATTTATTCAGTGAGATTGACATTGACAAAAAATAATTGAAGTATAAAATGTGCCATCACCTTTATTTTGTTTGTGTCCCAAATTATTTTAAGTTCAGCAAATAAAAGTAATTGTGCATAAAACCTGCAGAAGTGTGTTCTCTGTAGAACAAACATATTTTCACTTTAACAATAAAAAAAATCACTTTAGTGAATGTTATTTTTACTTCAGCAGTTGAACAAACAATGTAATTTGACTAAGGGCACCAAAACTTTTGCATACTACTGTATGCAAATGTCCTCTGTTCTGATTGGCTGCCCTGTATTGTGACTCATTTGAAAAGCAGTCCAGGCTGATACACTTCTGACAAACTGTAGCATGAATGGGTGAGGCTAAACTACTGCAGACTGGATGGACAGATTTATGTAAAATTTTTGGTTTTTGTGACATCACAAAAACAATGAATTTAACGTTTTTCAGCTAAGCTTCAATATGTGGGTCCTTTAAGTAAATTTCCTCTAATTAGGTGATTCTTTTCAAAAAGCCCTGCATTGCATCTTGTGCAGTGTACATTAACAGTTAGTGCGTAGTACACCAAAGTCTTTTTCTATTTAAAAGGAAGAAAAAAAGATTTTTTTATATGGGCGCTTTCCATGCTATTTTGTTATGTTTTGTTTTTGTGATAGCATGATCTTTACCTTCTTGTTCCTTTTACTATGTTTGCTTTGCAGTGAGGACAAGTTGCAGCCGCCGCGGGAGTTCCACATACTGTTTGTGCCTCGACGCAGTCTGCTGTGTGAGCAGCGTCTGAAAGAGCAGGGCGTGCTCAACTCCTTCACCAACATAGACGAATACATTCTGGATCTCATCCCTTACGATGGAGACCTGCTGTCCATGGAGTCTGAGAGTGCATTCAGGGTATGAAATAGAGCTTCAGATATCTGTCCCAACCCAACCAGACTTGACTTCTTGCTCTATATTTATTAGCTTCGGTTGGGTTCAGAATTCACATTGGGTTTCTCATTAATAGATTTTGGCCTGCATCTAATCCAGCTTTAGTTCTTCTCTCTGTTCTTTCTTGTTATTTTAAATGTCAGTTATGTTGTTGGCAGCGAGGGCTGTGATGCGTGAGAGCAACACATTATAGAAAGATAAGGCAGGCTGCAAAAATTTACTTGAAGGCACTTAATATAATTTCTTAATAAATTTGTTAAAGGATTGGTTCGCTCACTCCGTTTTCCTCTTACCCAACCAACATTGTAGTAAAGATGGCAAAGAAATGTTGGGTGTCTTAAGTTTGCAATTTTTAATTTGCGCTATGAGGCTAATGTAATAGAAATTTAATTTGGTTGCATATTACAAATGAGGTCTTAAGCCTACACCTGTTTGGTGTCAGAGGTTTGCTACGAGGTTAATTATGGCTAACAACCAATGCCAGAGTAGGTAATCAAGAATTGGGAGAATTCCCATTGGGCTAGTAACTTTTTCAGCCAGATGTGGAAATGGTGGACAGCTTTTACCTATCTGGATGAAGCAAAGGACCCAGCACGTAAGAAAGATGACATAGATCGGCAATCAGCAGCACAAGGATGACAGAGCTTGAAAAGATCTACAAATGGAACCATTTCTTTCTACAAAGATCAGAATTGTCCACACTATGATCTCCTCTGTGCTTTATTAAGGATTTGAAAAGCAGATCATAAACAAGCAAAACAGGCACATATAGATGTCTTTGAACTTTGGTGTTGTGAAGACTTTGAGACTACCTTGGATGGCAAAGAGAATAAAGACAACCCCTTTTCCAAAAACATTGGGACATTATGCAATATATAAATAGAAGCAGAATGTATTCATGTGAAAATCATTTAAACCCTATATTTAACTGAAGATAGTACAATGACAACATAAATGTTGAAACTGAGAATTTTATTTATGTATTATTATTTTTTAATATATACCCATTTTGAATTTGATGCCAGCAACATGTTTCAAAAAAGTTGGGACGGGGACATGTTTACCTTTGTGTTGCATCTCCTGTTCTTTAAGAACATTTTGCAAGTGTTTGGGAACTGAGGAGAATAATTGCTGTACGTTTGAAAGTGAAATGTTTTCCTGTCCTTGATGTAGGATTTCAGCTGCTCAACAGTTCAGGGTCTCCTTTGTCATATTTTTATTTCATCATGCCCCAAATGTTTTCAATTGGTGACAGGTCTAGACTGCAGTCAGGCCAGTTTAGCACCCAGACTCTTTTAGTACAGAGCCATGCTTTTGTAATACAGGCAGAATGTGGTTTGGCATTGTCATGCTGAAGTAAGCAAGGTCTTTATTGAAAAAGACAATGTCTGGATGGAAGCATATCAGGGCTCCAGACAAAAATTGAGCTTAAGAAAAAAAATCAGGCACCACTAGAGGGGGAAGGTGAATTTGGTGAAGGGTAGTTCTTCACATGATATCATGTAGGCTGTGTTGAATTTAATTTTAAGCTTTTTGAATTCTTTTATGGCTGTTTTTTCACATGCATAGGACACTCCGCTGGATACGGGAGTTAGGAGCACTCTTTGAAGATAATAAAATTGGGTGCATTTAGTCTGCTGTTATCATACCTGAGCCACGGAAACTCCTGAATCCAAGAAGTTCTGAAATGTCTTTCTTTTGTTGTACTTTTGCATGAAGTGCTTGACGTGGAAGATTGTTCAAGTACATCTTCATTTGGGTCTTTTACTAGTTCACTGGTCCGGAGTCAGATGGCGTTAGCAGATGACCTCGTAAGGTCTGACAGAGACGTAGATTGTGTGAAAAAAATCTGATATTTTTCGCTTCACCATTTTCTACACGCCACCGTTCACTGCAAAAAGCTCAGCTCGGATCATCTGCTTTGTTTGTCACGTTTTTAAAATCCTGCAAGCATGCAGGCTTTTTTTGATAGGCTCTTTACACTGGTTACAGTCTGGGTGTTTTTTTTCTTTGGCCTAGAGAATGCAATGTCCCTCATTTCCATAAACAATCTGAAAGATTGACACATTAGACTACAATACATGCTTACTGTGCATCAGTCCATTTCGGGTGAGCTTGGCCCAGAGGAATCAGCAACTAACTTTTTTCCTCATGTGTTTTTGGCCAAGTGTTGAGCCTCAACCCATCCTTACTCACAGAGTACTAGGCCTTTCCTGGATGTTTCTTTTCTGCCCACGCATGTTTGTGTCAACTGTTTAAGATGTTGTGTTTTATTTTTTTTTTTTTAACATTTTACAATATCCCTGGTCCTAAATTGCCTCTGTCACTACCTTTTTGGAATGTGTTGCAGGCTACGATTTCAGAATAATTTGGTTTACAAAGAAGTTTTTGTTTTTAGAAGAATTGTTCACAAAAAATAATGAAGTTGATAAAGGAAAACATCACATTTGTCTTGTCTTTTTTGTACGGTTTTTGTTTGGTCAAAAGAGGTTTATATGTCAATGTTTTTTGTTTTTATTTGCAATTTACCCACTGTATCTACTTTTAGAATTGGGGTTTTCAGACATAGTAAGAACAGAGAGAGAGGCTTTAATGCTTTTGCTTTATATTGACTTTCTGTTGACTTTCTTCTCTTCTTTTCACTTTATGCAGGAATGTTATCTTGAGAATGACCAGACGAGCCTGTATCACACTGCAAAAGGGCTGATGACTCTGCAGGCTCTGTATGGAACGATACCTCAGATATTTGGTAAAGGAGAATGTGCACGGGTGAGTGGCCTCAGGGGCACATTTGTTTTGTCCTCTTGTTTTTCTGTCCTGTTAGAAGTGTTTAGAACCGCAAATGTGTTTTTTTTTGTTTGTTTTTTTTTTTGTAGCCACTCTTGCAAGCTTGGATAAGCTTTACAGAACAGTGACAAAAATTCAATGCAACTGAGTGATACATTGTAGTATACACCTCAATTCTTGATAAAATACCAAAATGTGTTCTTTTTAAAGTTATTAACTTCGTTTTATGTGCGTGTAAAAGTCACTTTAGTCGTGTCTCAGGGTGAAGACTGCACTCGAGTTAGGAGAGACCTTGTTAGCACATCTCCTGTTCACTTACATATATATGTTGAAGTATGAAAGAAGTGTTGCAGCTTAAACTGCTTTTTGAATGCGGCACAATACAGGGCAACTAATCAGAACAGAGTTAAATCATGTCAGTGCTAGAAGCAGAGTAACAAAAACAGCCTGTTTAATTCTTAGCGATAAAGAGAGGTTGGAAAATGGTCCAGGAAAAATTATTTGACTATTTTTGATACATAAACCCACACAAACTTCGTAAGTGATGAATAAAGTCTAAGAAAAATGTAGAATGTTGGCCCTTGCATTTAAAAATGTTGCCTTTGGATAGGTAAGATTTGAATTTCATTACAGACTTTCATTTAAATTTCATTTCATTATTCTGCTACTCCAGCAACTCTCCATTCACAACTGTTTCCAAATTGTTTTGCACTGTGCAAAAAGGATTGTAGGAGATGGACAGTCTGAAAGAGTTCGCCAGCTAAGTCCTTCAAATTCTCAGAATCAGTATTCTCAGTAAACAAATGGCTGAAAATATAGAAATACAGTCTATCTTAGCTGCACCCAGGGACGTCACTAGACCCAAATTACCGAGGCAGGTGCCCGGGTAAAACATTGTCATGCCCCACTGTAATCATGGGAGAAAAAAGATCAACACTGCCCATAAAGTTTTCTGTTTTAAGGTTAAAATGTTGAGCTGAACTGCATGACACAAACATTATGACCATGGAAATTCACTACAGATGCTGCAGTTCCCATAGTGCCCCAGCATCTTTTCTTTGTACACTTTCCATTTTCATGAACTGTATAGCAACTGCAGAGCTAGCAGTAGGTGGACATGAACATACTGAAGCATTTAACAGCTACTGAACTACAGAGCAGCCACAGTGATGCTAACTAATGTCTCTCTTACCTCTTAAAGCCTTACATGTAGCCTACCAAAACCACCTTAGATATCTAAATCAAAGACATCAATTAAGATAGGCAAGTGCTATTATGTAGTCGAATTAAACTGAATACACCAAGAATATTATATCTCATGTTTTCTGTACACACATCAGTACACATTAGATACACATACCCCCTTTTCTTATTTATGTACAAGAAGGTTGTCAAATCCTTTAGAGAAGCTTTAGCCATGCTACAGTAGCTAGTGGTGTAGGCCGCAACATTAATGTAGCTAGCTAGCAACACTAACACACTAAAAGTAAAACAGAAGTTAGTCAACGTTTTACTTAGCCTTTCAGATGTTTGTCCCAGAATACTTCATCTATGACACTTATGACACAAAAAAGACCTGATCCGTCCCAAAAGGTGACTGGTTACATGCATCCATGATAAAAATGATATAAATCTCACGGCGTATTCTAAATGTACATATTTTTACTGCTTTAACAGTTCTATTTGCTCACTAGTTTCAGTTACATTTTTGTTGACGAAAGAACATTTTTGTTGGGTAGATCATTTGTAAGACAGTTCCAATACCTAATTCTCTTAAGTTTGGACAGGTAGTCAGCATTTTCAAATTTTCATTATACTGTCAACAACCCCTTGTCAAATAACATGTTTTGGTAATTTCCCAAGTGAAAATAAGTTAACACATCTGCTACAGAGAACAAATTTATTTTAGTCCATGTTTCTCTTTACTTCAACATAGCTGATTTAACATATTGGGCTGGGGGAACATAATATTTCCACAATATGTTAAATTCAGCAAATGTACAGTATGCATTAAAATGTGCAAATGTTTGTTCTCTGTAGAGGGTGTATTAACTTATTTTCACTTTATATTCTATAATCTCTTTTCATTGGAATAGTGTTGTGCTCTAACTCTGTTAATTTCCAATCCCCTTCCTCATGTGACCTTAAAGAGAAGTCATCATTCTAGTTCACTCCTCAGTTTCAGTGCAGCTTATAGGAACTCTCTTTTTCTTTCTTTTTTTTTTTTCTTAGCATGTGGCTAACATGATGTTGCGGATGAAGAGGGAATTTGCTGGCAGCCAGAATCAGATCCTCCCTGTGTTTGACACGCTGCTGCTCCTGGACCGCAATGTGGACCTACTTACGCCATTGGCCACACAGCTCACCTATGAGGGCCTCATTGATGAAATCTATGGCATCACTAATGGTGTGGCTTCATTCACATTTAAAATGATATCTTAGCTATCACTAAGATGAAGTTCCACTGTTTGATAGCACCCCTGCTGCTTTTAGTCCTGTACAACCTACGCTGTCAGAAAAGGGGTTCTGTGCAGGTACATTTTTCATTCATCATGGTACAGACAATGTAATGTACCCTCAAAGCACAATTATGTTCCCTAACTTAAAGGTACTGAAGATGTACCCTTGAGGGTACTACCCCATGACAGGTTCTGAGAGTGTAGCTGATGAAACAAATGTTCCTCATATCATAAGTGTTTCCACAACTCATTTATGCAATTTCCTCTATTCAAATGATGCACATAAAAGCTACTTGTCTCCTAAGCTTTTTCTTGTGGATAACCTTCAGCCTGCTAAACTAAAACGGGAAATTTCACAGATTTTGCTAATGTTCTGCAGAATGAAGTTGTTGAGGTGTAAGCAAAGTAATTCAGAGTGGTTTGGTGTGAAATGAGATACTTACCTACTTGGATTTCTTTACAGCTCCTACACTGGTAGGAACCAGGGGTCACAATGTGTACAACATAAATGTAGCCATTTTCTTCACTATCCAAAATGACCAGTGAACCTTTGCATGTCTTCTGAGTTTTTGTATGTTGATAATGGTAAAATAATGAATATGGAAAAAAAGTTTTCTTTGAGGACTGCATGTACTACTCCACCACAAATGGATTTTAAAAACATGTTTTAAGCCTAAACTGTATCTCAAAACTATTGTCTCAAACATCAGGCAACATATTAGTAACCAACATATTTGTAATAACCCCCACGACCCAGAAGGATAAGCGGCTTAGAAGGTGTTTTTGTGTGTGTGTGTGTGTGTGGGTGTTTGTGTGTTTGTATTTGTAATAACTTTCTGTGACAAAGCTTTTAGCTTAAATGCCTTAGACATATAGCTCCTACCACCACGACCACTGTAGACAATTGTGACTTGGTAAGTTTCTCTACAATGCACCATTCCACATCAAGCCTCTTTGAAATTACTTAGTTTACATCTGAACCATGTAATTATGCAGAAGTTCCAAAAATACCCTTTGAGTGTGGGTGAGCTACAAGCCAGATCAAAAACAAATTTATTTAAATGCATTTTGTTTTATAGCTGTTATGTCTTTAAAATTGTAGACAAAGCAGTAGAGAGAATGGAGCATACTGGACAGCGAATATTAATGGCATCAAGCACATCAACCTAGTGATAAACATCACAAATTCAGGTGAACCCCATCACAACCAGACTGTTCAAAAACAGTGCAGCATTCAACAAATATCACTAAATGTATGACGTCTCGAAAATAATAGTTTAACAAACTGACATGCTGAAACAAACGGCCGTTTAGCTACAGAGCTGAAAAGTCATGAAAACCAAAATTTAAAAATACATACAGCAGTAGGGAACCAGGAAAAAACAAATGGGATACTGATTTGTATAATGAATAATCAAATGCTTTATCATACAATAATCAAACCCCTTTGAGGATATTCACCAAAAGTAGTCTTTTTCTTATTTACACATGAATTATGTCTGCTTGACATGAAATTTTTTATCATGAGTTCTTTCTAATGAATTTAAATTTAACACCTCAACTGTAATAGCAGGCTGTGTAACATTAGCCATGTTTATTGAATTTGGTGCGCAGAGGCTTCAGAATGGAAGAAATGTGCCAGTTGTTTTAAAGCAAAGCCACAACAGTCACTTGTTTGGTCAAGGCCGTTTTCTCCAGTGCCTCAAGCCATTTCTTTCCGTGCCACTCACTGGCTAATGAAGAATTGGGACAGCGACATTTTCTAGCTGTTGTAAATGGTTTGTAAACTGGCATTAATTATTTTGTTACCCTTCCACTAGTTTCACAGATGTGTGTAATTCTACCAAATTGGTGCAAAGAGTTGAAAACACATTTCAGACTTTTGACTGACTTGGATTTGAGACTAAAATCTTTTTGCTTTGAGTGACCCTATACCTTCATTATGGTTATTTTATTAGAATTAAAGGAGGTGATTCAATCATAACACTGTGACAATTTTAACTCATTTTGATCATAACTCAAAAACACTAGCCAGTACAGGACTAGCAAACACAACTTTGACTGGCTGCACACAAAAAAATCATCAAGATTTTTGTTAAAACACAACAATGTTTACTTAATTTTAGAAAATGTGATTTGGTAGTGACCATTCTTAATGTTTCATACTGGTTTTCAGACTTAGGGACACATTTGCTTCAAACCAATGAGATCAAACTTATCACCATGTGGCCTTGAGGGACAGGGATGCAGTCTTACTTCCTGCTCTAAAATGCAGGGGTGTGGCTAAAATAAGGCTCTGTCTGTGGACTAAAACTCTTTGTGTTTTGGTAGTGACATAAAAACATGGTACAGCAATTTTTGAAGGAAGGTTTGCGCTGGAGTTACGAGACTAATGAACCTAAATAAAAGAAGCTTGTATCCCACCACTTATCCTTAGGCCGATTGCATGCCTAGTAAATGGTCACATAGACTTTTTGACACATTGTTATTCATAAAATTGGACAAAAATACATTGTATAGCTAAAAGAAGTACTATCAGTTGTCTTGAAATCTATACTTTTAGCCATTTTTATAGGTGATGTCATGCAGTGAGAGAAAACACATAAGCAAGTCTATTTGAGATGACTGCTGAGGTAATTGTGTGATGATCTTAGGCATGTAGTGTGAACAGTGCTTATTGGTGAAGTATAAGCTTCCATTAGTTGTTAGTTACATTAGCATCTTAGTTTCATTGCAAAACTAGAGAAGCACAGTGACACACTAGGCGTTTTTTGGCTGATTGACAGCATTTGGGTTAAGGGGGAAAATTGTGTACATTTTTCTCTAGCCCTCCAGGACTGTAGATGAAGAAACGTAGCGCAGATATTCATGCACAGTTATAATTCTCAGTTTTGACCGTGCTGTAAGTTGTCTATTTGGTGTTCTGATTTTGTCTTAAACTGCTTTACTTCTGCAGGTTATGTGAAACTGCCCCCTGAGAAATTTGCTCAGAAGAAGCCAGGAGAAGGAGGTAAAGATCTGCCGACTGAGCCGAAGAAACTGCAACTTAACTCGGCCGAGGAGCTGTACGCTGAAATTCGTGACAAAAACTTCAATGCTGTCGGAGCGGCCCTCAGTAAGAAGGCCAAGATCATCTCTGCCGCGTTTGAGGTTTGTGTCTTAACATTTCAGGTTACAAAGCTGAGCAGGAGTTTTCTGCATTTAGACTGTGGAATCAAAATCATGCCATGATACTGAAGCCTTCCTTAAAGTGTGGCTAGTTTTAGGGGCATGGCTGGCATCTCAAAATAGATCATAATAATTTGTATAAAAAAAAAAAAATCAAGTCAGAGTTTAGCATTTTTATTTAGTCAGTTAGTTTTTATGTAAAAGAGTAGCAGAGCAGAAGAGATTTTCGAGAATATAAGTGATGAGGCTGAAAGAGACTATATTCTGTATGATATATACTATATTTAACAGTTGACACCAAAGTTATCGCTTAGGCTAAAGTCTGTAGGGCAGTAGACTTCCATTGGGCACCCCTAAATTATATTGTATGTTAATGGCCCATGTCTTTCTGTGTCTAAAGGAGTTTGCATTTTATGGCTACTGTGAAAAGGGGTTAATTGGCCCATATCATGGATTGGAATGAATCATCCCTGCTTTTTGTAAATTGGTGTTTGATGTGTAAACATTTGTTAGTTTTAAAATGTACCATTTACTTCGAAGTCCATACAGTCCATGCATGACAACAAAGTTGCAAAAACAGCCCATTTTCTATATAACCATCCAATCAACCTAATGTCGTTTAACTTACTGCAGACAGTCTGTAGCAGAGTTATTAGAGTGAAAGAAACAGTTAAACGTTGTGCTGTTCCTGGCTGTCAAGTAGCAGTTGCATCATTTCTTGCTGCCAAAAGATCCACACATCCAAAAGGAATGGCCAGACTGCTTGATGAATGAATCACAATGCAGGGCGGACAATCAGAAGAGAGAACATTTACATATCAGTCTTAAAGGCACAGTAACATAAGCAGCCTGTTTTAATGCTAAGGAATAAATAGAGATTGGGAAGAAACACTGTTTTGGTATATGGAAGTACACAGAAAAAATGTGTGGTTTATTTGATGTTATGATTATTTAACTCTAACACAGAATTTAATTCTGGATGATTTTTTTAGCTGCGATTAATCCTTGATTGTTTTCTGTGTATTCTCTGAACAGTCTATGTTGGCTATCTCTTCTAGGAGCGGCACAATGCTAAGACTGTTGGAGAGATTAAACAGTTTGTATCCCAGCTGCCCCACATGCAGGCTGCTCGGAATTCACTAGCCAATCACACGTCTATTGCCGAGCTCATCAAGGACATCACCAGTGAGTTTAGTTCCTTCAGCTTACCATCATTTTTATCACATTTTCTTAACTATTTCTGTCAGGTTTTACAGTTTTCATGCAGAGTGAGTATGTAGGACATCACTTAAGTTTAATCTTACGTTTAAAAAAAAAATGTATATGAAAAATTGGCAGTCACAGTTAATATGTACCTCTACTAATCTTTTCTTTCAGCTTCTGAAGTCTTTTTTGACAATTTGACAGTAGAGCAAGAATTCATGACTGGAGTGGACACAGACAAGGTACTATTGTGTTTGTCAACAAGTTATGTCACGTGCTTACAGTTAAGTAAACCGACTGTCAATAGAATTTAAATAGGATTTAATGAAAGGATAGGCTTTTGAGATGTACCTTTTCATGGGGGTCCTATAAACACAAATACAAAATTATAAAATACATACAGACAAAAACAACATAATAGAACATACATTACAAATACACCATTACAGACAGCTCTTACCCTCTCCCACCCACACCCCAAGCGCTGAGCTGTTGTGTAAGGAAAAATTACCCACATAATAGATCAATTATATAAACATTAAGGCTATTGAAGCAATTTATATTATTCTACAAATCAATTGAAGATTGAGTGTACCCAAATTAAATGTATACACAAGTTTTATTAAGATGAGGAATTAAAAATGTTCTGAAACAGCAGAATGAAGTAAGAGTTCTCAGAAGAAGAAACATTATTCCAATCTGAAGAAGCTCTGAACTTTTTAGAAAATCCTAGGGACAAAAGAAAAATGGATATTGCATATGTCTGAGTGTCAAAAATGTATGTCAAAAATATGGACTTTTTTATTTTTTATTTATTTGAGATACTGTGTCGAGGTAATGAGCGTCTAGATAGTAAGTAATTATTACAGGATAATAAGTCATTATTAAGAGATACCTAAGTAATTTTTTGACATAGTCAAAGTATTTTGAGAATCAGTATTTTGAGAAAATAAATTGTAATTCTAACATAGTAAGTCATAAAATACTATGTCTTTTTTCAACATAAGTCAATATTTTGAGAAAAAGGGTATATGAAATGTTGGCTAAAAAATATTGTATAGTTTTTGGTAACGGTTTATAAATTTGCCACTGCTTATGCATTGTTAGTTGAAACCATTCAAAAAACAACATAGTGTGATATTTATTGTGTATCATGAAAACGTCTACAAGTATGGTAATATTATATTTTTTCCTTATCACTCACCCAAAATATAGACCTTATTACTTTTTAGTTACATTAGCCTTACAGCACACACCAAGCATGTCTTGGCTGATTATCTGTATTCGAGGTAAGTACAGGAAATTGTGTACATTTGAATTTTCAGAGAACCATTTGTTTAACAATTGAAAAATAAAAGTGGAAATCAAAAATTTCAGAAGATGGCAAGGTGACGTCAAATTTTTGACAGGAGTGTAGCTGTAAATCCTTAAACCAACTACCCTTGGACAAAACAATGACGGTACAGACCTTCAGTCTGAGCATGTTTGATGGCATCAGCTAAATATACACCTGCTTGAATTTGTGCAGGTTAACACATACATAGAAGACTGTATAGCACGAAAGGACCCTCTTATCAAGACCTTCCGGCTTGTCTGCATGCAGTCCGTCTGCAACAACGGCCTGAAGCAGAAAGTCCTTGACCACTACAAGAGAGAGATCCTGCAGGTGCATCTGCATTTTTGTTTAACAGTATACTGTAGAAACTGACCGCTTACAGTTCTGTTCTGTTGACTCATTCCTCTCCAGTATTGGGAGATTAAATTGGTATCTTAACTCTATATACACCTTTGCATGTTTTTCGGTGGTGTAGACGTATGGGTATGAGCACATCTTGACCCTGAACAACCTAGAGAAGGTGGGTTTACTCAAACCGCAGATTACCACGAGGAACAACTACCCCACTATTAGGAAAACCCTCAAGCTGTGGATGGAGGATGCGAATGAACAGGTTAGTCAGGCACTAAAGAGAGTTTTTTTTTATTTTATTTTTATTTACTTGCCTTTTCGGGGATGTCCCTTATTTTTTTTAATAAGTAACATTTTAATGGTTTTCCCAGAGGTGTGCCAACATTATCATGCCAGTTGGCTGTTATATGTTTGATATCCAGGTCTTTGTACCTTGTGTTATCTGTGCGTATTTGTGGTACACTGGTATAACAGTTATGACCAAATACCTGAAGAAGAATTTCAACCAATATACTGCTCACTACTACTACTATGAGTAGTGTTTTTGTATTTGACTCATTGCCTCTATTTTTGATTCACTGCCTCTATTATACAGTGTACTTATACTGTATGCTTTCTTTTTCTATCAGAACCCCAACGACATCTCTTATGTGTACAGTGGATATGCTCCACTCAGTGTGCGGCTGACCCAGCTGCTGGCCCGGCCTGGCTGGCGGAGCATTGAAGAAGTGCTGAAAATGTTGCCTGGTCCACACTTTGAAGAGAGGCAGCAGCTTCCAACTGGCCTCCATAAGAAACGTAAGTGATAACCTTCATAAGTAACTACCTAGTAAGGTGGTGTTGCATTTATTAAAAAAAAACATACTCTGAATATTGTTAATATGTAAAGTCAGCATGCAAACTTCTGTGCATCTGCAAGTCATTTTGACTCAGTGTGATTTTATTCAGTTTTAGTGCGATTCAGTACCAGCAGTAGAATAGAGACAGTAAAAACAACACACCAAACACACACACACAAAAAAATAATACTAAAATACTGATCTATTACAATTAATTCTTGCATTTTAAAATGTGTGAAGCTGAATTGCTACCTTCAAATTGATGCATCAGTACATTTTTACTAGGGCTGTCAAACAATGAAAAGAATCATGATTAATCGCATTAGTGTGTGTAGTTAATCATGACCATTTGCTCTGAACTGACCCTAAAAAGTCTCTTTTTAAAAGCAGTGAAGCAGTGTTTATCACTTTCAAAGACTAGACTAGATATTCCAACTCCTCCGCAATATTAGACGTCTCACTCTCATACTGCTACATTGGGCCTTGTTTTAAAGGGAATTTTCATTTTGCTTTTGTTAGTTTGTCCATAGATCTCCTGTGAGCCCTGTCAAACATAATCTGCTGAAGGCGTCCTCCAGTGCTAATGTTAATGATATTACTGATATTCCTGCACCAGCTGCGAGATCTGCTCGTAAATGATACTTCAGACTCATTGGACCTTAGTGATTGTCAAATTCTAGGCATGGCAGTATCTGGAAATAACTTTTATTAAGAGAGCCACCAATAAAATCTGCCTTTTAAAAGCTATATTTTAGTCCTGTTCAAGATAAAAATCAGTCTATCAGAGAAGGTCCGGTAATGTAATTTGTGCGTGATTTGACTTGTGGAATTGTACCTGATCTGTGTAATTTTCCCAAATTACCTCACATAGCCTCGATTGAAACTTCATCACACGGATGTTTACATCAGCACTATGGGACAGGCACCACACTTCTAAACAAGTTGATTGGCTAAATGTTAAATATGCCACCAAAAAAATAAAAAAGTGACACAACACGAGGGGGGAGACTTTACATCTTATTTGCAAATGATGGTAATATGGTATATATTTCCTCCTACATACAGGGGGAAATATACACCATATATTCCAGCTTGGTTTTGAGCTGCTAATTTTGTTTTTCACTTTGTTAGTAATTGACAGCATTGAGAAAAACAGATAACTGCCTCTCTGTCGCTCTAGATACATGCTGAATGTAAGCTAACTGTTCTGCTTCATATGTGTAAGGCTTGTTGTCGGAGGGTATTTTGTCATGATTTATTGTCCAGACAGCAGTCAGATGGAACACGAGGGCTAACATGTGCAAGCTGTAGATAAGAGAAGCCTTTGTCTTCGACGTTTTGTTTGATCCTGTATGTGCATCACTTTGGCTTATTTGTTTAATCCAATCTGCTGATTATTCAAATTATAACCAATAGTTTCTTTTATTAAAGTTTTAAATCAGTAGGATTTTGCCTTGTTCTCTTATTAAGTAGAAAGTGTAGAAAATCCATCCCACTTAAGCAGCCCTTGGTACAGAGATAAAAACAGGCTATATAACATAACATTAACAGTAGTGTAGTTACTGAATATGCCAAATTGACCTATGAAGACTTTTTGTCCAGAACCAACTGGATTTACATATGGCAGAAAATCTCATGTACAAACAGATTGACTCTTATTCATCAAAGTTACATACAGTCAAATCTGATCATAAAATGAGCATACCCAAATTTTACAGACTTTTTTCATTCATTAGTTTCATCTTTGACGTATCGGTACAGTCAAACTCATGTGTAGTAGGAGTGCATGTAAATTTTACCGTAAACTTTAAACAACCTGAAAAAAAAGACTGATTTGCAGTTATCTAACCAAAGCTATTATCAGTATCATTTATAATACCAACAATAAGAATCAAAATAGCACAAAACAGGAACAAAAGTGGATGTCCCTGTTTTACTTGCACATTGATATAAACAAATATACTACATTGCATTTAAAGACATATTACACTGAGCGTTTGATTTAAACCACGGACGCCACCTAAAAAAAAATAATAATACACGCAGCTAGTGTAGGAGCATTTCATTCGCTGCAGTAATACAGCATTTGAATATGTTAGTAAATAATCACACTACACCGTCACATCTTTCTACTGTCTTGGAAAACGAAGCTGTTTCATTTCACATTTTATTCTTTTCAGTCGTCATAATTTTAACACTATAAAGAGCACTCACTTTTTGACCTCAGACTCTGCCTATGAGTGCAGCCATTGGCTCACGAGTCACTGAATGCTGTCATATTCATATTATTGGCTCTGTACCAAAATATCTGCATGAATTAAGATGTGCTTCATGTAAACAATATGTAAATGAGGTACAGGTAGGCAGCGGCATGATTTCAAGCCGAATATGGTTCATAATTTGCCCTCAAATCTCTGCTTGTTCCCATATCGTACGAAAATTTCATGAAACAGACGCAGGATAGTTCATACATCATTGAAGGTGGTAAATGTGTGCTCTTAATTACGCAACTTTGATTAATTGGGGAATGTGTTTTTTCTTCAGAGAAAAAGTGTACTCCAGCTTTTTTCTGTCTGCTGCATCTGTAGCTTATGGTCGATTACCACAGTCAATTATTTCTCTGAACTTGGAAAAGAACAGAACACCCACTGACTCAAAACACACTTATAATAGAAGCCAGTGAGCAGATACATCAGCTCTTGGTCTTGTATTAAGTATAGGGAAATGTGTTTAAACACACACACACACACACACACACACACACACACACACACACACACACAAATCCAATCATGTTTAAAATCACAATCGCAATTATACTCATCTTTTAAATGCTATCACAGACAATATCCAGATATGAAACACGTATAATCCACGTCCCATATAATGGCAAGTGTATACGGGGCTTTAATAGAATATTTTTTTTATCATGTCATAAACAAAAACAAACATGGCTGGTAAGGCAGACGCTCACTGCCTCCAAATTTTGAGATTAAGTTTATTGTCCAGTAAAACTGGATATTTGGTGAAATAAATCATACTTTGATTAGTATAACAGATTTATGCATTATGCAATCTAGTCATAGTTTTGCTTTGTTAAAAGTTGAATCTAATGTTTATTTATTTATTTATTTTAAAGTGAATTCAGTGGATTTTACTGTCCAGTACGGTTGACATTGCAATTAGGCACAGGAAATGTGCAATATCTTGAACAAATGAACATTTTAGCATCAAGGTAATAGCATTTTCTGTGTTTCAGAGAAACAGAAACGTTATTTTTGTCTATGACACTGGACTAGTGTATAAAATGCTTTTTTGTTCTAATTTTGCCAATATGTAATATAGCTTTCTGACTTTTTCATCAATGACCTCAGTTGTTTAAATGATTTTATTTTATATATACTAATGTAAATCATTGTTTATGCTTTGTGTTAAAAATCTATGTTTATTCTTATGACATGAAAAACATCATGAAAATGACTGCCTTTCATGCAGACATCCGGGTAGTTCCCGAGGTTCAGAAACTTTGTGCTTGCTTTGTGCCTTATGTTGATGGTAAAAAAATACTTTCTTGTTTCAAAAGCTCAAAATGTCCAAAATGTCCAGTACTGGAGACTGTTATGTGTTTCTCAGTAACCTGAAAAAAACAAAATCATGTTTTGTGTTATGTAGCATGCAGCAGAGAACGTTTCATAACAAAACATTGTTTTTAAGGTGTCCAGTCTATGGACAGAGCAGGTTAATAAAAAGGTAAGCTATAGTTTTAAAGGCACAAGAAGTTCAGTAGACAATTCAGTTTTGGGACATGAATAGTGCTCTTATTGCATGTTCATACTTGCCATGTTCTGTTCACAGGAAAGTGATAATTGAAAGCAGAACAGTAAACTATGTGTGATTAACCACTTGGATAGGTGCTGATTTTCTTTTCTTACAGTCACATCCACACCACCCTTTAAACATATCTTCACAGAAACATATAGAAGTGTATTAGGCAGTTGATCTCTCTTCTGTTTGGTTTTATTTAAGGTGTTCTGATGTTAATTTGACATCAGAAATATCACAAATTAAAATGAATGCGATTCAGGGATGGATATTGGTGTTATGAGGCCCCTGGGCACAAGAGCCTTTGGAAGCCCCCCACACTCCCTGGTAACACCCATTGGTTGGTATAGTGTAGTGGGTAGCTCTGCCTTCTATGATGTAGACTGGGGTTCAATCCCTGCCTGAGTAAGCACCCTATACTATACCAATAAGAGTCCTTGGGCAAGACTCCTAACACTACCTTCGTCTGCCTGTGTAACATGATCAATTTGTAAATCGCTCTGGATAAGAGCGTCTGCCAAATGCCATAAATGTTAAAAAAAAAAAAAATGTAACAGGAAACAATGAACAAACAAATTAATAATTGAATTAATTAGATCTGAAAAAGAACAAAGAAAACTTGTTTTATGTGCACTTTGAGCAATGCTGGAATTATTTATTATTTACTGAAGATCAAATTAGCTTTATTAATGTGCAATATCCTCCTGTGTCTACATTTGTAACAGCTTACTCTTTTTGTGTACCATTTGAATCATGATTGCTTTTCCAAACTGAGCCACTAAACGGAAACGCAAACACCACTATTATTCACTGTCTAAAATCTGGCAACAAGAAAACAATATAAAACTTGAGGATCCTGAGAACAGATGTTTCCTCATGTATTTAGCCATTTGTATTAATTCAAGGATTACTTCTTCATCTGTTTTTTCCATCTGCAATGAATTGTCCCAAGTATTTGAACCACCTCAAGCCCTTGCGGTCAGGCTCCATCCCTGAGCAAATTAGACCAGGTGGAAAATAAACGCTTTAGTAAATAAAATTTAATTGTAAATAAATGAAAATTGTAAATAAAAAAATGTAAAAATGATATTAAGGATATCAATAATAGATAATCAAGTTTCTTTGCTGTTTTCTTGATTTCAAAAAGAAATCTTTTGGATGTGTTTTTAATTTTACATCAGTATCATTTTGGTACCAAGTGTTGGGATAATAGCCTTAAACATGACCATATCATATGTGCTTTTATGAGAGCATTTTTTTTAATGAATGTCAGTTTCTGCTCTTTTATTTCACAGGTCAACAGGGTGAAAATAGGACCACACTGGTGTTCTTCCTCGGTGGTGTTACTTACGCAGAAATCGCTGCTCTTCGCTTCCTGTCTCAGATGGAGGACGGAGGGACGGAGTACGTCATCGCCACCACCAAACTCATCAATGGCACCAGCTGGATCAAATCTCTTATGGACCGACCGGAAACTCAAATATCCTAAATCTGCTCCTTTAGTTGGGTTATTATTGCTATATTCTGGTTTAATACCCATCTACTTCGACATTGAGGGGCAACACATTGGGGTCTCTCTGCAAATACTGAAGTGGCTTGCTTTTGACTCTGTACAGGTTCATTTTTGTGTCTTTTGTAGGTGTGTTTTATTTTGGGTTTTTTTGATAAGTCAGTCACTGGCAATTCCCAGTGTCACCTCCCTTGAAAGCTTCTTAATACCCATTAACTGTAAAAATAAATAAATAAAAAACTCCAGTAACATCAGCCACTTTGTGAAAATCCCCACAGGTAACTAGCCAATGACGTGCATTCATCAGTATTTCATCACACTGCTGTCAATCACAGTCTGATGGGAAAGGCTACAGAATTACATACGCCTTTTATGACAAGCTTTTTGGAATAAGCCTGTTGGAACAAAATCTCCATAATGTAATGACATAATGTAAAAATACCAGCTGCCCTTTACATTATCTGAAAATTTCCTGATGAGTGGACTAACAGATATGGCCCAGAATAACTTGAAATAAAAATCCAGTCCCATTAACTTCCATTCAAAGTCAAGTTTGTTTTTCCTTCCCCTGAAAAGTTGCTGTTTTGGAGATACAAAGTTTTGTTCTGACAGTGACATTATGTAGATGTCATGTAGCCTTATGAACCCTGCAGTAAAGTGTTACCGATTACTCTTACACTAGTGGCATCAACTCAGCCATTCCAAATAAGCTATTGTGCTGAAGTGAACATAAAGAATCTACAGTTACACATTAAAAAAATCCAGAACCTGGACAGGAATGTGAAATTTGCAGGCAGTTAGTAGATTTGGCTGTGGGTTTAGTCACATATAATGTGCACATGCTGTAAGATGATGTTGCTGTACAGAATGAGCATGCATGATGGTAACATAGGTGCTTACTGGCTTAGTAAATAAAAAATAAGTAATGACATACTGTTCAAGAGTCTATATTGAGGAATACCAAAAGACTTTGATACTTTGTATAAACTCTGTTTCAAAACATTTTAAAACTCACCATTCACTTTCCAACCAACAGTGCATATATGGAAACTAAGCTACCGCCCATGTTTTAATGCATCATAGTAGTGACTGCAATTACAGCATTTAACAATGACACATTGTGCTGTTTCTGATTTTCGGGAAGCGAATGTCTTATTGCAGCCTTCCATACATCTAGAAGGAGTGGAAGTTGAAAATGAGTTAACACATCCTTTTCACAGAACACACTTCTTCGCATTTTAATACACAATTACTGTTCATTTACTGAATTTACCATATTGGGGGGGTGTAAAATATGGCCTGTGTAAAAGTTATGGCACAGTTTATTTTTTCCAATATGGTATAAAAAATGTGCACTAAAATTGGCAGGAAAATTACATTTAACTGTGTTCCCTGTAGAGGGTGATTTAACTTGTGTCCACCTTTTGGAGACAAATGTCTATCAGTCTTCATTAACAAAAACAGTCTGTTTAATTCAAATGGATAAAGGATAGAAAATGTATCATGTAAAAATGAATCATGACTGTTTTAGTACATAAGACCACACAATAACACAGATGAGAATAAATAAAAAACATTTTATGTCTATAAGCAGTAGCTCATACATCTGTCAAAATTAGGCAAATACAGTACTCCTGTAATAACTGTAGACCTGAAAAGAGTAACGACCTGGGCTGAAGGCGGGTTGCGTTAAACAAAACGTCAGCGCTCTTCTCCCTACAGTGGCAATTAGTCCTATAACAGGCCTCCTGATCAGCCGATAATGGGCTTCTGTCTGGAGCTCTGGCCTGGAATGGAGCATGATTTGACAGTGGAGGACAATGATTGAATTAGGGGGCCATTTGCTATCTCTTCCGGACGAGCCTTACTGTGCTAGAGTTGGAGACTGATCTCAGCACTGATCGATAGCTCATCCGTGCCTTCAGCTCCAGCAGCATGGTGCAGGAAGCAGCGGGGTGTGGGGAAGAACAGGCAGCGAAGCTAGCTTGAAGCAAGAGGTCCACACTGCTTAATAGACTAATAAGAAAGATCAGGCACATTATAGTCAAACTTGATACAGGGGAAAAGAAGGCAGTCGTTTTGTGTAAAACTATGTGCTTTATTTGTCTAGGCCTTATAACCAATGGAGCAGTTAACCAAAAAGCAGTTACAAGTCTTAGAATATTCTTGTAATAGTTTATATTCATCACAGATGCAGTTATGTTAAGTTTAATATCCCAAATTCTTTGTGACAAGTGATCAAATCTTGTGGCAGATAACTTGCCAATAAATAACAATAGTTAACTGCAGTATTTAATGTTTTATGTATTTAATTAATTCTTGTTGCTTCTTAAAAATACATATTAGCTTGATTTCAAATGTTTAAATCAAGTTATTATTGAACTAAATAAGCTTCAACAATTAAACATATACATTTTTTCAATATTCAGAGTGTCTACCATATATATATATATATATATATATATATATATATATATATATATATATATATATATATATATATGTATGTATGTGTGTGTGTGTGTGTGTGTGTGTGTGTGTGTGTGCGCGTGTGTGTGCGCGTGTGTGTGCGGTTTATTCCCCATTACAAAATGTGAATGTGTGAAGTGATCAGTGTTGTGTTGTTGGACAGCTTGGGGAGGATGTGCTGAGACTGGCCTGTGGAGCAGGTGCTGGATGCTGCATTTGAGCCATTAGGGGGACCCAAGGGTTTCTGCCTCTTGTAATCAATTTAATTGCCTTCTTTTGGCCACTCCTACAGCATGAGCACTGACTGAGCACCACCTTCTTCTCCTTCATCAAAGGCAGCTCTCAGTAAAACCAGAAGCACAGCAGCACTTTTTCTGCCTGGGCTGTCTGAAGAGAATACACTCAAATCCGGGTGAGTAAACAGCTTCATGTTTAGACAGTAAACAGATCACATTACAATCAAGGGAAATGTACAGCGTGTGGTAGGATAACTGGCAGGATTACTTTCAGTAAGGTTTTGCCACTTTGAGAACTTTTAAGTAGAACATTATGCTGCTGCTGCTGTTGCTTAAAAAAACAAACGGGCAGTTTAGACTGTTTTGTAAAACAGGAATAACATTGCTGTTGAAAAAAAATAACACCAAAATAGTAACTTTGTAGGAGGAGGCAAAATGTAATGTAAGTGACAACTTACTTTTAATGTAGGGTAATGTGACATGATTTCATTCCAAGCCATTTTGGAACATTTCAATTGATCTGTTTATCACAGTGTAAAGGGCAGCTGCTGTTTTCAAATGATGTAGAAAAAATAATCTGAGAAGTGCATATTGGAACAAAACCTGGTATCTCCATTTTTGTCATTTTTCAGTTGTTGACATAATTAGAAAGTAGCCGTTGTCCTTTACATTGTGTGTAAGTTTCATGATGAATGGACCAAAAGAAACAGCCCAAAATGACTTGGAAAAAAGTCTGGTTCCATTGACTTACATTAAAAGTATTTTTTTCATTCTCCTATAAAGTTACCATTTTGGAGATACAACGTTTTGTTCCCGACAGCAGCGACACATATATAGTGTAATATAGTGAAAAAAAAGTACACATCCTGTACAGAGAACACAGTTCTGCACATTTTTATGAACAATTAATGTTTATTTACTTTAGACAATTTTAAGTCAATGGAACCAGACTTTTTTCCAGGAATCCTTCAATGTTTTTCAACCTGATCTCTATCTGCACACTCTCTAGCTTATGGTTGCTGGCTATGAAACATAAATTGGACCCATTTCCCTGTTCTTAGAAAAGAAAACAGAAAACTTGGAACACATTTATAATGGAAGACAATGGCCAGATGCTGAATCTGAGTCGACAGCATTTCTGTTCTTTTCTGAGTCCAAAGAAATTATTTTCCATTGTAATGAACACAGATACTGCAGAAGAGAACTGGCTGAGTATTTCTTTAATGTAACTGAATGATTTTCAACCAATTCATAACTGATTACTCATTATTATTAAGGTGATGACTTATCTGGCACAGTTTAACACCAGTGCAGCTCTGATACATAATCCACGTTTTTATTTGAAAAGAAATGTCAACAAAGTTACAAACAAATCTTTATGCCAGTAGGTCTGGAAACGCCTCTGCCTCTTTGAAGAAGCTTGAAAGCTTGACAAGTATTTGAAGATGGAGGTGCATTTTGAAACAGAACCACTGATGCTTCGCTTTCTCCGGACTTTCAGAGAACTGCTGAGATTTGTTTTGTTCACCTATACAGTGTTATTTGGTGCCTTGATCCTTGCTGGATGGACTACATACTTTATTGTTGCTAAATAAACTAAGACACCATCTTCCAGACGGTTGCTTTGCCAGCTACTTGGTTTGCCCAGTGCAATATGATTTTGTTTGGACATTGTTTGTGTGCTGCTTTTTTAAGTATATTTTTGTAACCCTACAAACTGGTAATATAATTTTATTTTTGTTGTGAATATATGAAATAAATTGGCCAGCTGACTGTTGTACCAGTATTTTCCGTTACACTTCAAATACAGGTGGGCACCTAGTGAAAACGTTTCAGCCCAATATCTGAAATTACATAACAAAGCCAAGCATATCCTTTTATTTTGATTAAATGATTACATTGCCTCATAACACATATGGATAATATATTAATATATCATATATATGTGTGTGTGTGTGTGTGTGTGTGTGTGTGTGTGTGTGTATGTATATATATATATATATGTGTGTGTGTATATATATATATATATATGTGTGTATATATATACAGTATATAAAGATCTATATATGATATATATTGTGGCACACCCTTTAACAATGACATGATACGTACTTAATGAAAGGGTTAATAAAGGAGGGAAGATGAACAATCTCCCTTAGAAAAGTATTTATCATTTTTCATCCATCTAACCATATTATTCACATCTGTTAGAGCATAAAGTTCATTTTTAATATACATTATCACATAAATAATTATGTAATGAGAAACTGTTGAGATATGTTTGTTGCCTTCAGGCAACATTGTGCGACAGTGGAAAGGATTTAGCTAGAAGCAAGTGAGCTGTCACTTATGCAGCCATGTCAGAGAACATTGCAGTTTTTTTTTAGTTTTTCATTTTGGTTGTTTTTTATGATTTTTATTATTTTGCATTTTTGCTTCTTTTGGAAATCTGATTTATAAGATATTTCATTTGTGCAATATTAGAGACTAGAAGCCCCTTACAGTCAATATGTTTTATTAATATCATTACTTGTGTTTAGAAAATGACAAAACTACCTATGATGGCAACTCCCATTATTTGAAAATTACTGGATTCATATGTGTTAGCATAGTTATAACTTTTACTTGTGGTTTTAATTGATTGTTTGGTGTTCAAGAAATGTTAATATCAAGAAATATTACTCCTAAAGTTTTTAAACACATCTGTTTATAGTAGCATGAATAGACTGATTGTGTTAAATATTCAGATTTAAAAAATCCAGTTTCCTATAAAATGCTGTCCAGCTTTGGTTTCCATTGTTGCACAATGTTGTCTCAATGCAATGTACTGCAAAAAGACCCCCATATTATTATTCTTTTGAAGAATTTTTATTGAATCAATGGTCCATTTGCTGTCTTTTTGAGACAAATCTGAATTAAGAGTTTGATGTAAGTAGTGGTCTTATCAAGACACCTGCAATGTTTTGTACGCCTGCTTTAATACTGTAGCACTGGCAGATAAAAAGACACTGGAGCAGCCATGATTCTCTGCAAGAAGTACTCTTTATTGAACACACTGGCAGAAAGGGGCACATACAGACCACCGAACTCACCCCCACAAAATAACCCCATTTCCTGACACAAATTGACACATTAACACATACACATAAATTAACAACAACCAACCAACCAACCAACCAACAACCAGTTTGTCCATATTTATTAAAGCCATTATATCACCATTGCTTTTGGCATAATGATTATTGGTGCTTAGCGAGTCCTTACAGATGTAGAACTGGTGACACACTGGTTGAAATTTTTATTTTTATTTTTTTTAATTATTCAACCTTGTCCTCTGTAATGTAGAAATGAACTGACGCAGCCTTCTGGTGACCCACTCAACCACACTGTGACCCGACCTACAATGTCATTTTATGCGGCAGCATTAAGAATTCCCTTCACTGGAACTATGGTGCTCATATCATTATTCCTCCCCCACCAAACTTTACAGATAGCATTATGCATTCAGGCAGGTATCAACTAGAGTCCAAGGCCAGCCAGTTTTACACTGGTGTTACCCAACCCTGGTCCAGGAGGCCACTGTCCTACACATTTTAATGTTTACTGCAATCCAGGGATGCTGTAGGTGAGACATGGGGCCAGACTACAGAAGTGTGTTTTGTTGATTGCTGTGGCTTCAGATATGTACATGAATTACAAAAGGTGCTCCCAACAGTGAGGAAGCAATTTCATATGCTGATTCCGGTAATCTGAAAAATGCTGAATATCGACGCTGATTATCAGTCAGGCAGATAATCAGTCGACCTCTAGCACAGTTAACTGGGGCAGCTCTAGCATTGCATCAATCTGACAAACGTGCTTGTTGGAAAGATGGTACTATATGACAATGTAATGGTGAAAGTCACTGAGCTTAGTACAATACATTCTACTGCCAGCGTATGTTTTTGAAGATAATAATGGACAGATCAATGACACAGCAGTATTCAACCATTTAAACAGCTGTTAATTATTTATGAAGTACCAAGGCTTAAGGCCACAAGACTTGTTCTGAAAAAGGCTATGAAAGAGGCATGCTGATATGAGAATTCTGCCAGTGCCAGTACCTGATGTTTTTCCTGTATGTGTGTCCATGCCATTCCAGTTTAGCCTTGTTTTGGAGCAAGTTGCAAAAAGTATTGAAATAGTACACTTACAAGTATACTACCAGCATACTGATGCTAGTATACTTACTACACAAAGTATACTTGGAAAAAATACTTGAGCTTTACTTAAGTCTACTTAATAAAGTGAACTTGAAGTATCCTTTTTTTTTTGTAAGGGTCGCTAGGTTAGTTGTCGCTTGGTTGTTAGTCTTTCTCTTGATAAGTTTCTCTGACTGCTGTGTGTGCAGGAAAACACATATCATCATTGTGACTGGTGAGGATACTGCTCAGGTAAGTGTAACCCAAGATTACATGAGTTATTTACATACATGAGTTTTCTGTGGACATTACAAAGTAATTTACTGGACATAATTTGTACTTGTATACTGTATGCCCACAAGAGCAAGATTAATCTACTTAGAATGAAAATGTGAATTAAAGTTTTCTAGGACTTTAAACTCCTTCATTATTCATGATACAATACATTAAATTTTGATGCACTTGATCCATGACCTTAATGACTAATACACAAGGCTAATCAGTCTACACAGCAGTCTTTGTGTAACATTTGCTTTCCAGTTTAAGAAACATAATGAACAACAGCATGAATAATCATTATTTTTGATGTTTTGAATGGAACAGGAAAGAAAGCAACAACACAGGAAACTGGCTGTCATGACCGGATATTATGCACAATCAGATTTAGGCTAACCGGAGAGGCATTTGTAATGCATGTGATTAACTTCTTATCAGGTTACCATATACATGTGGCATGAAACAGCCAGGTGTAAACAGGGTCATAGTAACTCTGTGGCAAAGAAATGACATGATGTTTTTGATAGATTTTAAAATTGACATGACTTACCATTTATTCAATGTTGTTTAAGAAACTAAATCAGTTCCAAATGATCAAGGACCTCCTGTTTTTGGAAGTATATGTATGTTTGTATATATGTATATATATATATATATATATATATATATATATATATATATTTATATACACACACACACATTTATAATAGAGGCCAATGGGCAGATACTTCAGTATTTCCATTTAACAAGTTTTCAGTTCTTTTCTGTGAATAGTAAAACCTATCAAAACATTTTGTCCATAGTAATTGCTCATGCAATACAGGCATTGCAGCTAGAGATCAGCTAGATGCAGATAGGATAAAGAACGGCGGAGTACTCATTTGAAACACTTTTGGACCATAAGATTTTGTATTAGCCGTGTTAAAACACTTTAAAAAGACCTGAATTTGAGAAACAAAACATTTGATAATCAACACCCTGACCCCTCAAAATAGATTTATCATAATGTGCCTCTCAGTGATTGTCTTGTTTCCCTGTTTAAATATTGCTTTTGTGTGTTAACTGTTAGACAGTTATTTGGCTCCAGTCATTATCTAATCCATCTTATATTAAGTTTTTTTAGTAAGATATCATCAATATTGAAATTTTAAAAAGTTTGGCATAAGGAATATAGTCTCGACAGGCTACAGATCAGATTAATGAAATACTCCAGCATTTTTTAAATCTCTATCTGCAGAACCTGTAGCTTATGGTTGATTGCCAAAAACAATCATTTTGACTCAGAAAACATGCTGACTTGGAACTCATTTATAACAGAAGTCAATGGGCAGATGCCAGACTAAAGGTTTTTTTGTTCTTTTCTTTCACCTGCTAGTCAGCACTTAGCAGACAAATTTGCGCTCATGTAACTGTATACAAAAAACAAAAACTCATTCCTTTTACACTTGTGTTAAATGTAGTGAAGATCCATCTACACCTGGCTTTTCATGCGTTCCGAGTGAAATCCGAATGTGATTTGAACTCAATCCCAAAACCACATATTAATGCAAGGTGCAAACAGGCCCAAAGACACCATCTTCCAACAGTTACATGCAGCGGCCTTATGCTGTGTTCATGACCAAGTGGGACCTCAGAAGTTTGACTACTAAGTCGAAAAATTTCATTTGAGCATCCCTTCTATGATACTAGGACACTAGGATAATTGCAAACTCGAGCACTCCTGTATAAATTTTTTAATCAAACTGTATGCTTTCATGCCATTTTAGTGGTCACTTTTAAAATAAATTAAGCAATAGCCAGATAACTCTTGGATGTGAACGCCTTGAAGTGCTTTTTATAAATTCACAGCAGAAAATAATAATAAAACTCAGACATCACCACTGCAACAACAGGTATAGATCTTCCTAAAATACTGTGAAGAGTAATGTACAGTCTTGTTAAGTTGTAGGACAGACTAATGGACAGATCGATGGCCATCGTTTTGAACTGCTTAAAAGCTGTAGGCTGTTAATTATTCATGAAGAGCCAAGGCTTAAGGTTGGTGTGTATCAGTAGCATTTTAGCAACTCTGTGCTTTGTGTTCCATAAGAGAAGAAGTTTAGGAAAAGAGAAAATGCACTTATTTTGATTTAGAAATGAAACTCTCTTGTCTTTCGACGTTTGAAAATAGATGACCATCATTTTGAAAATGAAAATGCATTAGTTGCACATGTTAAAGCTTTCTCCAATACAGTCTTCAAATGTAGTTGATCAGCCAATACTTGTTTGGTGTTTGAAGTTTACCTTTTTCATTTTGCTCTGGAGCTACAAAGCTAATGCTAATTGAATGCTAGTGCTCATCACACATTTGCCTCAAACTGTGTCGAGTTGTTAAGATAGACTTGCTTATGTTGTTTTGAACACTGTGTGACAAACTGATATGTAGAAAAATGGACAAACATGCAGACCTACTACTATTTCTTTTAGCTATACAGCATGCTTTTGTCCATCTTATTGCTTAATCTTCACCAGATTTTGATAGTAAACAATTATAGCTGTTTTCTGTTGTAGTAATTGTTATTAAAATGTACAATTCAATGGATTGCACTATGTATTCTTATTAAATATATTATATATATTATATTTTTTTGATCTCACATCACATTTGTATTTGTTTGCTTGGTTTAGGTTTTCTGTGCTGCCAGTCTAAAATATAAAAAAAAATGTTAAGTGCTCTAATACTGAAAATAGAAACATTAACACACGAACGTACCCTTATTAAAAATATCTTATTATAAAGACCTAATAATTACTATAATTAGCTACAATTACTATAGTTTACTACAGGAAGTAAATATTAAAAATGTATTACATAGCACTATAGGACTATAGGAACTGTGGAAACACCATGTAGCACTTATAATGTTTCCACAGTTCTTTTTGAAATGATATTAACATAAGGTGCACTCCTTATTTTTGCTATATGGAGACACCACTGCATTATATTATGGTTGAAATTTTATTCAGATTTCAATCACTGTTATTTATGTGGTGAAGGATTTAACCACAAATCATGCATTCTTCAGTTACAACAAATTTAAAGTTTTTTGGTCTGCTTTAAATCAATTTTGAAATATCCAAAAATATTATTGTGCCAGCATTTCTCATTGATAACATTAAATTTGGAATAATTACTGAGAGCAAAATAGAAGAATTTCATTATTCATATTCTTTATTCATAAATGTTTGAAATCCCCATCAAACTTGACCATGTTCCTCAACATGTGGAAAGCAAACAGGCTCTGAAAAAAAATCGACCCCAATAGGTTTCTCATATATTATTTATTTTACTCATATGCTTTATTTTATTTTGGTTTGTTTTATATTGCTAATTACTCAGATTGGTTATGTCTCGGAATTAATTGGTATAGTTTACCTAACCTGTTTTAAATGGATATATGTACAATGTTTCGATAACTAATTAATTATACTTTTTTAAATGTCTGCATCGTATTCAATCGGATTATGGAAACTGTGAATCGTGACACCGCTGCCGTTATACTATTATAAAATAGTATTTTCTGTTGCACCGTTTGCCTGTAATTTGTCCCTCGGGGAGACTCTTCTTTCACTCTTACGTGGCAGCACGCAGGCCGCTCTGCTGCTTCTGTTCTGTCCACTCGCAGCGGTTCATGCTGGCGGCCGCTGGGAGCGACTCCTCCTCAGCGAGTCCGCGGCTCTCCGACAGTTAGCCTGTGTTTCCCTGAGCGGAGCTAAAGTCGCCCCTTTTATGTAGTTTTTAAGTAAGCTCTGTGGTTTGATCATGTTTACCTTTTCAGAGCTCATGGTCCTTTTGGCGACGTTGTCCGCCACGGCGTCCGGCTACTTTGTCAGTGTGGACGCTCACGCTGAAGAGTGCTTTTACGAGCGGGTCAACTCGGGCACCAAGATGAGCCTCATGTTCGAGGTGGCGGAGGGAGGCTTTCTGGATATCGACGTGGAGGTAAATTTGCGAGTCATCTGAGTATTTTGAGTTCTGTGAGATGTAAGGCGCACTCTAATTACTTATCGTCGGTATGTCCAGTAGCTAGAAAACGGAAAGATATTCAAATTTATTGGGACGACAGCCGGCACTCAAAACTTACTAGCTAGCATAGCACGGCAGTTAGCTAGCTAGCTAGGCTAATGTCTGTACTAGCCTACTTGCCAGAGTAGGTAGCTTAACTAGCTTCCTGACCCACTTGCTAAGATAAAAGATTGATTACAAGTAATGTAGGATTAGTAAAATGGCAGATTAGATTAATACCGCGTAAAGTAGTTAATTGTTAGAGCCAAAATGAACGTGTTGAACGGTAGCTGAGAGCGTTATTAATCTTAAGGCTTGTTTGCAACAGTAACGTTAGTCGTTAGCCTAGAAGCTAGCTAGCTAGCAAGTTAGCCAGTTGGCTACGTGGAGAATCTTAAAGACGCTATGAAAAAAAAAAACCTCTGTACTTTGGTAAATTTAACAGTAGTTTAGGGCCGACACAATTGCCTGTGATGCTCGATTACCACTCAAAGCGACGGTTAAAGCTAAGTATCTACTTGAAAGGTTATAACAGCTGTTCTAGATGTCAGCTGGTCCTCTCTTGTCAATGGTACAAACAAAAAAAAAAAGCCATTAATAGGTGTTGTATTAGTCTAGTTAGCCTCTTTGTTCCCTACAAAAGTGCTGAAGTCTAACAAAACATGACCTGTTCCTATAATAATCTCACATGCCATAGCAGCCAGTTTATAAAAACATGTTCTGAGCCGAATTCTGTCATGTGATGTGGAGAACAATGTAGCCTCTCTTGCTGCTGTTAGTGAATAAGAGGACTTGATGTTAAGGAAATGACCACTGCAGCTATCAAATACAGAAGTACCTAAATGGCAAAAAAGACACATATAGTTAAAAATGAAGAAACCTAAATTTCTTGAACAGTTAGTACCCATTTATACAGCTCACTTGCCAGACCCTGGGGTGTGCTTTAATACTCTAGTTGGTCAAAAGTGTGTGGGCACCTGAACACATCCATATGTGCTTGCTGAATACCCCCTCCCCCCATATGCTGCACCACTCTCCACTACATTTTGGAACATGCCTTCTGGAATTCACTTCCATTCAGCCAAGATAGGTAATGAGGCCTGGCTTACTTACTGGCATTTCACTTGATGCCAAAGGTGTTGGATGGGGTTTAAGGTTAGGCCTCTGAGCAGGCCAGTTGAGTTTTTCCACACCAAACTTGACAAACCATTTCTTTTTGGACCTCGCTTTGTGCACTGGAGCATTGTCATTGTCTCCTGCTGCCACAAAGTTGGGAGCACAAAATTATCCTCTCTGGAAGCTGTAATGTTAAGTGTTCCTGTCATTTGAACTAAGGGGGTGAGCCCAAACAATGAAATCCAGCCCAGACCATTATTCCTCCTCTAGCAAAGTTTTTACAGTTGGCACTTTACATTCTGGTAGGTAGTATTCTCATGGCTGCTGCCAAACCCAGATTGATATGTCCGACTGCTTGATGGTGAAGCATGATTCATCACTACAGATAACACGTTTCATCTACTCCAGAGGGCATTGACAGTTGTTGGAAATTTGTTTGGAAATCTGTAGTGAGCGTTGCAACTAAGAACAGACAATTTTTGGCTTCAGTACTTTGCAGTCCTGTTCTGTGAGCTTGTGTGGTCTAGGTCACAGCTGAGCTGCTGTTGTTTGAGGATGTTTCTACCTATAGCCAAGCCTCCTAGTTTGAAGGCATGTTCACATACTTTTGGCCTTGTAGTATAGATAACGGACTGCCTTGGGGAGGACAATATCAACTTAAATTGGTATCATGGTGACAAGATGATTATTAATAGTATAATATAAAAAATAAATGTAGTACAGGGTTTCTTTTCAAACACAATGACAGTTTGCAACGGAAAACATTTTTTATTAGGCTAATGCTCACTGTCACATGCCTTCTGGTGGAGTGTTCATGAGCAAGATTTTATGAGGGTCTTAAGGCTCTACATTGTTCGGTATCTCATTTGCTGTCTTGTTTGTTTTTACCTTCTTGGTTCTGTTTTGACATGAGCACTGTTAGCTTAGTCTGTGTTATTGTATGACAGATTACAGGTCCGGATGGGAAGCAGATCTATAAGGGAGACAGAGAGTCCAGTGGGAAGTATTCTGTGGCGGCACACATGGACGGCACCTACAAGTTCTGCTTCAGCAATAAGATGTCCACCATGACCCCTAAGATCGTCATGTTTACCATTGATATTGGAGAGGCGCCAAAGGGTGATGGCATGGAGACAGAGGGTATGGTGTTGCATTGTCTAATGTGGTGTTTTCTTCACTATAACATCCTTCTACAATTCCATTATAAAATGGTAAAATGATTGCATTATTATACTGTTAGTTAAGAGATTGCTTTGGTGTTTTTCAACCTGATTGTCCGTATCTGTATCATTAGGTTGATTAACGCATTCAGTTTCCCTTAGAAAATACTTTCTAAAAAAAGAAAGGAAAACACTTTTTAACAATTTAAGTACTGTGAAATCCATCGGAATTATTGTCTGTGGTAATTGACCATACAGTATAGACATCAGGATGCAGAATGCTGGAGTATTCCTGTAAAAATACCTTTTATGGCTTTTATGGCTCCTTTGGCCATAAGGTCTTATACAGGCTGTCTTTTAAAAAGACCCAACATTTGAGAAGCAACACCTTAAAATGATCATAATGCATGACTTCTGCTCAAAAGCTCCACATGTTGTTAAATGTTGCGTCTGGCTACATCTCTGCTGTCATTTTTCCTCACATCCATCCTTTCATTCTTTTCATTTCATCTTTCTCCCTCTTTTTCCCGCTTTCTTCCTCCCCCTCAGTTGGTGGTGGCACCTGGGATGGTAGGTTAATTAGGCTGCATGGAAAGCTTACATGGCTCTGTGACTATGCATTAGTCTTCCATTAGCTATTGCTCTATTTGAACAATTCATTAGAATCTTTTAGTGTTCACAGTAATGCACACATGCCACGGCTGTGCAGTGCGGGTTTGTTTTTTGGTCACGTGTGTAGTTGCCTGACAATGCAGCTAACATTAATGAAAATGGTTTGCATTGAGAGTGGAATTCAGCTGAAAATTCTGCCCTTGCACATCATAGTAGTTAGGCATGTTGCGTGTTACAAGAAAAGCAAATTATGCATTTGTTTCACTTTGGAAAATATAAACCCCAATTCCAAAAAAGCTGGGACAGTATGTGAATGCTAATAACACAAAGCTGTGATTATTATGATCTAACTGACCTGTAATAAATTGAAAACAGTACAAAACACTTTTAAACCATAAAGACTTTAGCTTCCAGATTTTTATGCTTGCAGCACAAAAAAGTTGGGGCAGGAGCATGTGTACCAATGTTGTGTCACCTTTCCTTTTAGCAACACTTAATCATTTGGGGACAGAAGACACCAATTGATTGTGTTTTTATACAAGTCTTCAGTTGTGCAACCTTACAGCCTTGTATTTTACGCTTCATGATGCACCACACATTTTCAAAGGAAGTCAGGTCTTGACTGCAGGCAGCCAACACTTCCTGATTACTCATCTGTGTAGAATGTAGCTTGCCGTTGTAAAGTTAAAATAAGCATAGACTTCCCTGAAGCAGATGGACAGACCCAGCTTTTGAACTTTATGCTGGTAACAGTTTGGATGGTTCTTTTCTTCTTTGGCCTGGAGAACATGACATCCATTCTTTCCATAAACAGTATAAAAGTTTGACTTATCAGACCACAGCACATTTCCACTGTGTATCAGTCCATTTCAGGTGAGCCTGAGCCCAGAGATGCCCTCTGGCGCATTTTTGGCAAAATGGTGCGCCTCAACCCATTCTTGCTCATTAAGAACCTTTTCCTCCTCACCACAATGTTCCTAGTCTTAAATTGCCCCTTCTCAACTTTTTTGGAACGTTAACGTTAATTTCACAAGAGCGTTTATTTACAAAAACAATGTTTTTGTTTATTGTACTGTTTTCACTCAAGTACAGATCAGTGTAGATTTTACATCACTACTTTTCACTGTCTCAACATTTTTGGAATTGAGGTTGTAGATCTTGATTTGATTCTTGTCTTAAATGTGAAGTGACCCTCAACTGTAGTCTTGTTTCCCCAGTTTGATTAGTGCTTTCATGTATTTTGTAATTCTTGAGGCAACGTACTTTTTCAGCGCATTGTTTCATTTTTGTATTTTGTGGTTTTGGCCACACTAAGGGAGGTTGGGGGAACTGACCCTTAATTTTATTTTTATTTCCCTGTTCTGAAGGCATAGAAAAATACAGCTATAATTCCATCTGTCTGAATCTTGTGTTCTTGCTGCACTCTTTCTGGATGTGCATGCTGCTGTTGGATTAAGCATATGCTCATTAGGCCACTGTTCCATTACAGCCCACCAAAACAAACTGGAGGAGATGATCAACGAGCTAGCAGTTGCCATGACAGCGGTCAAACATGAGCAGGAGTACATGGAGGTCCGCGAGAGGATACACAGAGCAAGTAAGGCCCTGTAACAAATACCTCATTAGAATGATGATTCTAACCACCATACAATTTCCTGTAAATATTTGGGATGAGCATAGTTTTTTAAAATAAATATTCCTAAACTCATTTTAGTATTTGCTTATTTAATATGGTTTTTGAGTAAATCTTAGCAGTTTGTAATTAAAATATACTGGTTAGGCAACAGTGTGATATAATCGAACATCGTCGATGACTGACAAGTAGCCTGATGGCAATGCGTAAAAGATGACAATCCCAATTTTGGGAGTAATTCTCTAATAAACAGCTTGTAAATATGCCGGGAAATTGGGGTTCACATTTCTTTTAAGAAGTGTTTGGGCTCGTGCCATAATAGTTTTTATTTCTTCTCTGTTTATCAGAAAAAGGGGTGGGGGCGGGGGGGACCGGGGACCAGGGACCAGTTTGAAAACCACTGGTATTAAATGAATGGGATGTTGCAGCTGTTTGGTCTTTCATGTCTCTGCCATGTTGATGTAATGAATTTTGCCATTTCATAATATCTTTTCTTTTTATGCCTGCAGTTAACGACAACACAAACAGTCGAGTAGTGCTGTGGTCTTTCTTCGAGGCCCTGGTGTTGGTGGCCATGACGCTGGGACAGATTTACTACCTGAAGAGGTTTTTTGAAGTGCGGAGAGTTGTTTAAGTTGTGGTTTGTACTATTTTGTATTCCAAAGTGTCTCATCGTTCTTTGGACTTGTTTGGAGAATAAACAAGTAAAACTATTGAAAATGGGAAGATGACCACCTCCTAGTCCGTTGTCTTTGAGACTAGACGTTGCCAGGCTCATGAAGTCTGGGAATGCACTCTCCACTTCCTTACATGGTCCTGTGTTTAATAAGTACTTTTTGTATTTGCTTAAAGGTGCACTAATTTCAAACTTTCCAAGAATTTTACAGGTGCTTTTCCTGTACTTGATCATGCAAGGTAAATCTTTCATATATAAATCTTTTTCTGCGCAGGTTTGATTACCCTTTACCATCCTGTTGGCATGTAGCATTTGGAAAACATACAAATTTGTTGACATCTGTTAACGTATTTGACGCTTAAAAGGCTGCTATAGAAACAGGACCTGTAATGATGAAATATCTTAAGTTAGTAAAGGTCAGCTCATGAATATTTGCATCAGGTTTCTCAAGGTGTTTTATCACAATCAATGGAAATTTTTGATTAGTGTACCTTTTGAAATACTGTAGTTTACTTTCTAAAGAATATGGCAACATTCTTTAGAATGGATTTTCCTGTTCCCATAATATAACTTTGACAGTTGTTGAAGGATTACATTCTTTACTTTCTTTAAATCAGAAATTGTATTCCTGTGTTGGACTATAATGCAAATAAGCAAATGCAAGCTGCATTATTTGATTTCTTGTTATGGTAACATGAATGCTCCCTTGCCATGAGATATTGTTAGCTGTGAGCAAATGAGGCCATAGTACTTGGCACAACAGCAGTCACCATGTTTTGATTTTTCATTGTAAATGGTGGTGGTATTGGGTGTTGGCTTTTATATTATTTTTGTATGTCAGTCTTCACAATGCCTTCTGTGCCAACCAGGTGGCATATCGGGTTTATCAAATACAGAACTGTACAGTACAAAAACTATATCTGTTTGACCACCTCTAGTCATTGGAGTGTATATAACATTGTCAAGCTTTGCTGCTCCCCCTCCTCCCCACATTTCAAGCCAGGTTTATTACAGCACAGCTAGTCATTGTAGGCTATAGAAAAACAGTTTATATACTTTTTCTGTTAGATAAAGATTTTTTGGGGATTGTTAAAACATAAATGAAATGTATTTTAAGCCTCTGCAGTCAGCTACAGTTTTTGGTTGAAAGTTATTAAAAAAATTGTCAGGTGTTTTGACTTAAGCGCACTCTGCGCTTTGGGCTTTAGTAAGTAATTTGAGTCTCCTAAATGAAAATAAAGTATTCCAGAGTACAAAATGGTGTTCCACAGAGCACTGTATTGGGAACTTTTGAATAATGTCAGTATCAGATGAAAGGGTGTAACAATTGGCCAAAGTTAACTGGAAAAAATGCGTTGGTCTGTAATTTGAGTCTCCGTAATGGAAATAGTGGACTATTCCAGTGTTCAAAATGAAGTTCCACTGGGCTCTGTATTTTGACTTTTGAATAAAGTCAGTATCAAGTGAGGGGGCATAAATTTAAGTCTGTCACAATTTATGGTTCATAGAGAATGCCACTTTTTCAGTACTCCATAAATTATGCTAAATTGCTTTAAACCACATTTTGAAGATCATTTGAGACCATACAGGTTGAATACTTCAGTTCAACTTCCATTTACAGTGGGTTAATAGTCATGTTGAATGTGTTCATATATACAAGCATGAATAATATAAGCCAAGGGTGCTTACTGTTTTGGTGAATTTCCTTCTCTAACACCTATTAAATTTTGTAATTACTAGGGTTGAAACAAGTTGAACTCATTAAAGTGTTAACAATTCCAGGATGAGAGTTAATACAAGCAAATTAACAAAGTCAAATGAGTAGTTCATATTTTTATAACCAAACTAACATCATACTTTCTTCTTTAAGAAAGACTGGTGAACTAAGAACTTCATATACTCCATATTTCCAGTACAAAGTCAAAGCTGACAAGTAACAGCACTCTACCTTAAAGAATATAACATGGGTGGCAGTTTCCTCAAATCTGATTCTTTTAGAAAAATTAGTCAAATTGTGGATTGTGGAAGTCAGGGGTGGGACAACTTTTTTTTAACAACACAACTGAAGCATGCAGACAAACGTCATATGAATATTCAAATCAGATCATCCAATGGAAATCAAGAAGATTTTAATGGCTGTTGGTGCGGAGTTAAACCGAGATGAACCACATGAATTTGCATTAAGGTCAGGTGGATCTTGATTTGATTGTGTGTCCCTGTAAGGGGCAGCTAAGAGCATTACAAATAGAGTTTGATGAGCTCGTCGCTGACCGCAGAAGGCGTAAGCACTCCCAAATCAGTAAACAGCAGGGTGATGAGGGAGGGAGGGGTGTAGTCAATTATGGGATGCTCCTGGTTGAGGTCCTCTGCAGTTTTCAGGGTGTCTGCTTTATACTGAGGAAGAAACAGGCTAGATATTAGTACAAATTTCTAAGAAGATGATCTAAAGCAGGAGTCCTGCCCTAGAGATCTACTGATCTAGAGAGTTCAGGTCCAACACACACAGCTTTAAATGTTCATTTACTCCTGAAGGCCTTCATTAACTGGATCAGTCAGTGAAGTACAAAGCCTTCATAATGCTTTGTCTTAAGCAGTGGAACATGAGGAGGGAGTGTGTTACCATGAATAATATCCTGGCACAAGCCAAAGACAAGCAATCATCACAGCCATAATGTTATTGGCAATAGCACGACCTCGAGTGTTAATACAATAGATTCGCCAAGTAAAAGTACAGCAGAAAAGCCACAAACATTGTTTTAAATATGAGCTAAGACTGACGTTACTGTAAAAGAAAACAAAACTTCAGGTTCAGTGTTTTTGTAAATACACACTCATTCTGAAATGGATACCTGCAACATGTACAAAGATGGACTAAAGCTCACCACTTCCCAGCTTTAGCGAATAAGCCAGCAGGTCAAGAGCACTGTTCTTTAATGAGTGACTGCAAGAAAGAAAAGGACTATTAAAATTGATAGTGTGTAAAGTTCAAAAGCCAGTGCATGTCATGATATGGGGGGGTATTAGTAGGCAACTTGCACATCTGTTAAGGCACCATTAATGCTGGAAGATTTGTACACATTTTGGAGGAAAATCTGCTGCCTTCTAGACAGCGTCTTTTTCAGGAACATCCATGCTACAAGCCACAATTTGCACGTATATCAACAGTTTGGCTGCATAATCAGAGAGTGCGGGTGCAAAGCTGGCCTGTGGAAAACGTGTGGCACATTATGAAGCGCAAAATACATAAATGAAGACCATGTTATGGTTGAACAGCTGAAGAACAGCTGTAAAGAATTCCACTCTCCGAACCGGATCAACTGGTGTCCGCAAATGATTAATAAGTGGTGTAAGTGGCAGCAGTAAACATGCTCCTGTCCTAACGTTTTTAGAAGAGGTTGCAGACATTGAATGAGTGTATATTTACAAAAAAAAACAAAGGTTCTTAAAGCAAAACAAAAAAGTTTTTGGACTGTTTCCAATATAAAACAAGTCAAACTGAAGCTACTAATTACTGTTTTCTGTTTTCATTGGCATTACACACACTGTCGCAATATTTTGAAAATGGACTGCCGTGTGCCACCACTGTTACTTAAGCTAAGCGATCGGTAAAGAGCGGAATGATACAGGTATAGTGAAAAAGCTGACATAAGAACACAGGTAGGACACATTTCAACCAATCAGTGGTTGAAAATAATTGTTATGTAATTTTAAATAATGAGCATTAATTAACCAAATGTGAACTAGAGATGAGATTCAAAAACAAAAAAAACTTGAAAGAGCTCACCTTAAATCTGTGAGGCACATCTTGCTGGTTGAGGGGGTAAAGACGCACAAATTTGAAACTCTCTGCCACTACGTAAAACGGCTTGTTGTGCGCTTTGGAGCATACTGCCATCTGGTAGGTTCCAATCTAAGGGTTGGTCATATGGCAAAAATATCATTTCACAGTGCTTTTATTTCACAAGGAAAACATGTTCATGATACACAATATGCATCACAATATTTAGATTTTCTGAGGTTTGTTGAGAAGTTGAAATTAACAAGATGCGCCAGCAAAACAGTAGCACCACACTTTAAAAAAGCTATGAAAAACATAATGGGCCTGACATCCAAACAATCTGTTACTTATTACTATGCAGTTCATACAGGCAGTTACTCAATGCTCTAGAAATAGTGAAGGTACCCCCCTTTTTTAGGAAATAATTTTTCAGGACTTATGTACACGACAGCTGTTACTCACGACAGGTCATGTTAAAATGATGCACAATGGCCGACATTAAAGGGGTTTTCACTTCATAATTAAACCACTAAGATGTAAACAAAGTTGAGTTGTCAGAGTGGTTTGATGTGGAATGCTCTGTTCTAGAGAAACATACAGAGTCAGAATTGTTCACTGTGGTGGTGATTGGAACCAGATGTCTGAAGTAATGCTCCTAAAAGCTGCCTCACATAATGTTATTACATGAAACAGTTACGAATACGCTGCCTGATGCCTGAAACATTGTTTCACTATCCCGTTGAGAGAAAGGTTTTGCCTAAAATGTACTTTATTAAAATCCATTCATGGTGAAGTTATACATGCAGGTTGTGATAAGGCAAAATAGTCACAAAGAAAATTTCATTTTTTATTCAAATTTACCACCGTTTACCATTACCAGCATAAAAACTCAGAAGACTGGTCACTAGTCACTGGTCATTTTGGGTAGTAAATAAAATGGTCTTTACTTGTGTTGTAGACATCACGACTTCAGGCTCCTATCACCACCACTGTAAAAAATATTTGTTTATCTAAAATCAATCATTTCACATTGAACCATTTTGAATGACTTGAATGATGTCTCAATGACTGAACTGTGCAAAATTTTCCCTTCCCCTTTCAATTCCCCTTTCAAGTCAACAGTACAACACTTAACAATCCCTTACTGACAGATATAGTGTCACAATGACACAAATCATTACTAATTTAATGTTAATGTAGCTTTGCTCTAGGCCTCACAAGTCTGTCCACATGTAGCATTCTCCTACTGATCAGCTAAAAATCTGCTCAAATACGCAATATCTGTGGTGTAATGGCCCAACTTTTCCAGGATTTCACTGAAGGTTCTAGGACAATGAGTTTTCTTATTTTCCAAGTGTTTAGCATGACTGGAAAACTAGTCTATACATTTCCAGATTTTCCAGGTTCAGGAACCCTGCTCAGAAATGTATTGGGACGTAGTGTAATATACCAGTGGTCACCAACTCTGGTCCTGGGGATCTACCTTTCTCCAGAGTTTGGTTCCAGCTATAACCTGCGGCACCTGCTTAACTTTTTCAGAAGTCCACGATTGGCTGGATCAGAAACATTAGTTTTAAGTAAGGGCATGGTAGATGCAGGTTAGAACTAAAACTCTACCGGAAGGTAGATCTCCAGGAACAGAGTTGGTGAGAACGGGCCTTTACTAATCTAGATGAAACATATCAAATATATTTTATAGCCTTCAACAGAGACATTTATAGGTGTCTACATGCATGGGACTGACCTTATTAATGATGCCTCCACTTTCTACCACCCCCTCAGCACCAACTATTACCAGGTCCACCTTCTCCATGATGTATCTGTAAACCGTTTACAAACACTCATTCATTACAACAAGATGTGTAGAAAGGTCACATCACTGACTGCTGGAGGAATTCAAAAAAATCTTCCTCTTACTATAAAAAAGGGCCAATTAAAATCATGGTACCTAATCTACATCATTAAACTCACTAGTCTTTTTTGAATATATAATGAGTATGTAAAATTAGAATTTAACAATGGAAATCCCATCTTACCCAACTGCAGCATCAAGCACCACTGTGACTGGGATATTAAGTCTTTGCAGTTTGTCTGCCATGAGTTTACTGAAGGCACAAGAGAAAAACATGAATACTTCTAATGAGATGTGCCAAAATTTTATAATGACCAAACTGACAGTGTATCACAAGAAACAGAAATGTAGCGTAATCTTTGAATTAAGCTCACCCAGCAGAATCCGGTTGCGACTCAGTGACATAGACGGTGAAACGCTTCTTATCAGCTGCAGCGCTTTCCAGAACTTTCAGCACAACTCTGGATGAGGAGTGAGTGAGGATTTTCTGCAATAAAGACAGTCGCACAATTAAATGTGCAGAAAAATACACAGTAATGTATGATCTTAAGGGTTCTAGTGTAAAATGTAATTACTGAGCTTTTTTTAATCTAAACACATTAACACCCTTGATAAACTATTAAAACAGATTAAGAAGTATCACAAAATACGTACAGCCCCGTCTTTAATAAAGGTGTGGCAGAGTTTGGCCACTTTGCCTCTAGACAAAGAAATTTTCTTCAGAAAGAGTTCTCCTCTCTCGATCATCACATTCCTGCACTGTGAAAGATCCTGTGAAGAAAAAAGAGGGTAATGTAGCAGGTTTGTTTTAGAAAAAAACAAGGTCAGACAGGTCAGTTCTAACATAAAAGTCTGTGTATTGTTTATTTATAATACTGTGTAAAATCATAGACCCCTTCATTGATTTCATTTCTAGTCAAAAAGCAGAAATGGATACTTACACAGAAGCCTCAACAACTAAATAAATTATTTTTTCTGTATTTACTGTGTCCACTCTTTGCCTTCATTACAGCTTTCATACTTTTCTGGACACTTGCTTTCAATTTTTCTAAGAAATCTGCAGGGATATTTTTCCACATCTCCAAAGTTCAGTTTTAGAAGTTGGTTGCATTTTTGGTTGGTTGCAAGAGTGGAGCTTTCTCTCAAAGATGAAATCTTTAAGTGCTGTTTATCTAATGGGGACAGTTTTGGTGGTCTACCAGGATTGTTAGGAGTCCCAATTTTTTAATCATTTTTTTGAAACTCTTGCTTTTTTCATTTATTTTTCTTTAACTTTCTTTTGCAATTCTTGATGCTCTACAGTTTTACAGTGTTGTAAATCACTCTGGACACATCTGAAAAATCAGCTTCTTAGCTTCCTACTAATTATTTGCACAGGACTAGCATCATATTGGAATTATTTTATACATTTAGCGCCAACCAAATCTTATATAATTATAAAATATAATTATTACATTTAATTATTGATTTCAAACTTTTGAATGATAGCGTATGTGTTCTACATGAAAATGAGTGTGTCTGTGCATCTGACTAACTGGATTCTCCAGCGAGGTGAGGCTGATGAATCGTAGGAAAAGTTCTCCTCCAGAGGAAACAGCCACAGAGGAATCGGCCTCCTGCAGTCGGCCTATGGCTTTGGTCAGGTTCTCCCTCAGGCCCAGGATGGTCTCACCTGTACAAGGACAAACATGACACAAAGCAGAACCTGTGTAAAAACGTGACAAACAATTGATAAAAGCTAGTGGTGAGCAGCATTTTGGTTGAATTATTGTTTCTTAAATCTATTGGTGATTCCTTAAAAAATCCATGCTGGCACTAGATTTACACAGTCAACCAGGCTGAAAATGGACTATTTACATGCAGATGATGGATTCAGAGCTACAGGGTAATATAAACCAGCTTCTGACAAGTATGGTGTGAAAGCAACAGTTTGATTAAAAAAAAAAAAAACCTACACAGTTTTCTTCTTAATCACTATGTAGATCAGACAAGACATGGTTGGTATTCAAAGTTTTGCACTGCAGCTACAAGGCTAATGTAGCAATCAAATAATGGTAGCTTAAAGCCCACCAATTAGCATTGTTGAAACCGCATGCCTACAATATGACATAATGGACAAAAGTATGGACAAAAGTATGGACAAATTTCAGGCTCAAGATGCCAGCGGCTTACTGTTTTTATTTCAGACTGCTTAACAACTCACACTTTGAGTCAGGTGCGTGATAATTTCACAATAATAATTTCACATATTCAGTGTGGTATACATTTCCTTACTTGTTCACATCTCCAGCACAAATATCTAACAAGTAAAAAAAAACTTCCGACACTAAACATGTATTGGCTGATACTAAATTTGGAGCATGGGCAAAACTGGAAATTAGATTTAAAGGGAGTTCTCCCATTTTTTATAATTTTCTGCAAAATTCAAGTGTTAAGATGTAAACAAAGTAATTCAATGTGGAAATCTCTAGAGGAGCTACAGCGAGAATTGTTCACAGAGGTCGTGATAGGAGGTATTTACTGTCCCTAAAATGATCTCGCAGAAAGCAATTACATAAAATGCTTACGAACACACTATGTGATGTATGAGACAATGTTTTTAAATAAGGTTTAGGCCTAGGACTTTTTCAAATTTACTACTATTTTACCATCCTCATCATTCCATATATAACTCAGAAGACATGTGTAGGTTCAGTGGTTGTTTTGGACAGTAAATAAAATGACTACATTTGTGTTGAAATCATCATGTCCCCTGGTTCCTATCAGCACCACTGTAAAGAAATGAGTTAGTAAGAGTTAGTCTCTCCATTAAGCCATTTCAAATCAAACCACACTGAATGACTTTGATTACACCTCAATTACTAATTTACATAGATTTTTTTTAAGCAGTGCAATTCCGCTTTAAGGCTTTGTCTGCAACTATAAAGACTCCATGAAGCGTCAGCAGATGTGTGTGTTCGTGTGTGTGTTTGAATGAGTGAATCAGGCTATCCACAGTATCCTTACTCTGATCTCTCTTCAGGAACTCCAGAAGTGAGCGTATGGCCGCAACCGCAGAGGCCACATCAGGATCCTGGCTCATTTGCGTCCTGAAATACTCTACCAGCTCTGCAGTCAAATGACACCAAAAAGAACAGTTTATTAACGATGGCTACCATGCTAAATGTCATCACATTTTGGGAGTGATTCCACCAGCTGGCTTACTGGTTTAATTATTAATTTAGAGATTTGGTCTATTTTAGTCACATAGCATGGATGAAATTTTGTTAAAGTGTTAGGACCACAAACAGAACATGCCAATAGTTAGGTTACATTAGAGTGGAGAGGGAAAAGGTTACTAATGCCACATGCCACAGACAGAGAATCTTACCAGGACCGTGTCACAACCTACCTCCTTCATCCATACTGCAAATTCCAATCTTTTCGGGCTGCCAAACCGAATGTGTGGTGCAAAAATGTACAGTATTTCCACAAATTAACCTTTCAGCTTGCTCCTACAAATATTAGGTGCTCATTCTAAGGCACGTATTGTGGCAGCACGTTGTTGCTGATGCAATGAATTACAATAACCACGCCAAAATCAGCCGGTACACTATTACAGAACAAAAACAGCAACGTATTAAACTACAGGGCGCCAACGTTTAAAATATATTTTAGAATGATTTTCTCACTAAACGACTTTTTGGACCTGTTCTTTAAAGTCAGTCGGTCTGGAGAGCCCCAGTATGAACCCCGTCGTCGCCTAGTGATTACATCACACATGACAACAACGACCGCCGGAGGAAGCGATGGCTTCAGGTAACCAGCTAAGTCACAAATGGGACAACTTCATTTAGTCTGGGCTTATATATATATATATCCTGTGAAACGAGTCAGAAGATATTTGAAATTTGCGTTTATATCTGTTTCACTTTAAGTCTTACAAGTGTTTGAATTAACGAAGCGAACTTTTTGGCGTTAGCTAGCGTAACGGCTCCTACTATCGACTGCATAGCTACGCTGGTTGACCTCAGCTAGCTAAAAACATTAAAGCATTTCATGAGTGCGTTTCTGCTTTAGTAATGCTTAATTTGGGACATTACGTTGTGTTTTTTTTTAAATCCGGTCACTCAGGAACATTTAGTGAAATAACTTGCCGATAGTTTTGGACAGTCAGTGGTACGTTACCTTAATTATTATCATAGCCTGATTATACCGGTAAGCGAAGTGTGGGCAATGAAATGATCCATCGCTGAAAATAAGTAGGTGCGTAAACTGGTGTTCCCCACTTCCTCTAGAACATTTTTTCTCTAGAACTTCAGTGCCAGGGACTCACTGCCCATAGTTGGGTACCCAGGGTTGGAGTTGAGAACCCCTGACCAAGATGAACACAAAGGACCATGGCTAAAGGAACAGGGGGTTAAGTTGACTATAAGTCTTCAGTTCAAGTCCTTAAGGGCCTGTGTTATAACAGTTTATCCTACCGAGCATGCGCATATCATTAGTACAGCGTAGTAACTTGTGTTTCAAACGCTTTGTTTTGTTTTTAATGTTACTTCAGCACATACTGAGCTTAATATTACTACTTCCCCTAAAAAGGTGATTTTGGCTATCAAAATATCCTACCTACAGTTTTAATGCTGGTAGCATTTTCTTGTAGGGTGTATTTAGGCTGTCAGAATATCTTAACTATAGTTTTAATGCTGGTAGAATTTTGTAAATAAGTACATTTAGGCTATAAAACTATCCTACCTATAGTTTTATCTACTGAACTATCTCTAAATATGTGCCTTGCTAGGACATTTCAAGAAGGTAGGGTAATTCATCAGAACACCACTGTCTAGGTTGGTGATTCCCCTCCTCAAACACCCGCTAAACCTGGCAATTAATGGGTGAATTGAATCAGGTATGTCTGATTTGGAAATTTACCAACCTGTGCTGGCCTTTCAGGAATGGAATTGAGGAACCTTGCTTTAAGGATATTTTTAATAAAAAACCATGAATGCTTACCGTTCTATGCAAAAGTAATTTTATTTATTTAATTTGTACAGTTAAAATGGCCATGCAATTTATAAATTTTTCAACATCAGAAAAATATAATTAACATATATTTAACAGAACACAGAAGCATCAATTAAATATCACATTTCTTAGTATTTAATGTGTCTACACTTTACCTTTATTAAGCTTCCATTCTTTTGGGGGGAATTGCTATCACTTACATATTTTTTCACATCTCTGAAGGTCAGTCCTGGTTGTTTGAATTTTGTGCTTCTCATGGTCTAAGTAATCCCAAATACATTCAATAATGTTGATGTCTAGACTCTGGGGTGGTCAGACCATTGTTTTTAGAACACCATCTTACAGTTAAAAGATTAATCATTTTTATGTAGAAATTGCAATTTAAAAGAGTGAGAGTTACTATTTTACTTGTAATGGCTATAGATAAGTTAGACCAATCAGAAGCAACTAAACGCGCGTTTACTGTGTATATGAGAACACCGTTGCAACCAACTGGCAGTCTGGTGCACTGTTTTCAGTGTTAAGGCCTCAGACCAGAAGTAATGGATATGCTGGTCCTTTTGGCCAAAATGCAGTCTGTAAATATTTAAAAATAATCACAATTGAAATCACCCACAATATTCACAGTTAGATATTTCCCCCAATCGTTCAGCCCTACACCAATAGCTTCTTTGTTTGATTGCTTGTTGTGAGTCCCATTTTTTTTCACTGATTTCCCTTTGATTTTTCCCTCATTTATGTAAGTTGTAATATCTATATGATATTAGATATAATATGTATGTTATATTTCATCTCCTCAGTAATATTCTTTGAAAAATGAATAACTGGCTGTTTTGATTGGAAATTGATTACATTCAATCTGAGCTCTGACTTTTGCACATTACTGTATCAAATCTAATACTGATATCCATTTAGTAGTAATATCAGTACTTATTTCACATTGAGGTTACCTTGTGTCATTTATCTCATTCAGTGTTTAACTAAATTTTTTTAATAAAATGTTAATACTAGGTGCCATGTAATGCGGTGCCACAGTCATTACAGATGAATAGCTCTAGCTCTTGGACTTCACTAACAGAACTCTGTTTTTGGTCTACAGAAGATGAAATTAGTCTTCTGGTCATTGTGGTGGATGTCAACCCAATTTGGTGGGGTCAACAGGCACAGAGAGAACCTGAGGTAATTTACATGTTTGCAGGTTTGCTTTTATTGTTGGATTGTTTGTCTCATTTTGTTTCCCATTAAGAGAAGTTGCCAGTAAATGAGAATTCTGGAGATCCACCAATGAGGTAATGACCTCTTTTAGCTAACTTTCATCTTGCTTTGATTCCTCTTAGTTCACCCTCTCAAAATGCCTGGATGCTGTGATGGTCATGGCAAACTCTCACTTGGTGATGACCAGAACTAACAAGCTGGCCATCATTGCTAGCCACTGTCAGGAGAGGTAAGACAGCTGATCTGGGCTTGGATTCCACGTCTGAGCAGCCAAATAAACACATTCCACTCTTTTGTATTTTAGAGGGACTCAATGATTGGTTGTGTAGGACCTCCCCGATAGGTGCCGTTGATGGTCTGATGAAAATCAGAGCCAGGAAAAACCTCAGAAATACAATGCAGTAGCTCACCGACAGCTAAGAGCTACATACACCACAGAACATGCTCTAATTTCAGCTTTTACTCTAACACCAGTCAGACTTTGTGCTCTCAGATATCCTATAAAGAGGTGTCATTTAAGCATCACTTAGCTGGAACCAAGCCTGCGCTGTGGTGTGTGGCACGTTTGACCAGCCAAATAAGATTTCATTAGCATTGCCAACATGCTACAGTCCCAAACACTAAAGAACAGGTTTGATTTCAGCCTTCTGTCAGTCAAACACCAGTCACTTGATACTTGCTCTGTCGAACATTAGTTTTCATTATCTAAACTTGCTTCAGCAGAGCAGCAGTTAGTCAGAATCAAACCTGTACTGTGGTGTGTGGCACTGTTTGGGTCTGTAGTCTTCTCACTAAGATCAGGCTACAGATCCAAACACCACAGAAGTGGTCTAATTTTGCAACCCTAGTAATACTGTATACTGCAAGAATATTTGGAGATGGTTTGAAGGTGTGATTGGTAAACTCTAATTGGTATTTCCAGTTATCCATGCTCCACCTACAGATGTGTTTTTTTTTCATAGCTGCTGTTGCAGTTGGATAAGCTTTACATAACATTGTCAAAAATCCCTTTGCTAATGAAAAAGTGCAGCAGAGAATGCCATTTTTATAAAAATGCATGAATTTAGAGTGTGTTATTAATTCAACACATTGAGACTCAATGATGCTGAAAAAATGCCACTATATGTGCTCCAGTGTTAGTTGTGCTGTTTGGCAAATCCCTTAGAGCTGTGCTTCTTAATCCTGCTCTTGGGTGCCTGCTCTCAGATATTCCCTGCATCAGTATAACTAACCCAGTTCATTAACTTTTTATTGATCCCTTCATTAGTTCATTTTGCCCCCTCTGTCAAATTACATTCTGTTCATTTTCTAAGTGAAAATAGGTTAACGCATCCTCTACAGAGAACAAACTTAAAGATGGCATTTTTGTGCCAATTTTAGTGCTCAACATTGCTGAGTTTAACATACTGGGAAAAAGTAAAACATGCCACATTTTATGTTTTACTTTTCCAATATGTTAAATTTAGCAAATAAACAGTAATAATGCAATAAAATGTGCAGAAATGTGTTTTCTGTAGAGGATGTATTAACTTATTTCACTTTCAGCAAGACATGTCATTTGACTAAGGGCAGCAAAAATTTTGCATACGACTGTAGCTGTTCTTTAAGCTATATTATTTATAATTCTTGTGGCATACTGCTCAAGAAAAGTGGCAAAAATCTGCTCTGTGGAGCGTGAGTGGCTGCTTATACACACAAAAATTTTCCTAACAAACACTAGAAGTCAATAGTCACCCAAATGTTTCCTGTAAGTACATCTACAAAACCTCTCTCAACACGCTCAAACCACATCCAGCTCTTTCATTGTGTGTTGTAGAACACAATGTGGCTTACTGTGAATAATAAAAATGAGCAGAACTTTACTGTGTGCAGATGTTATCTAAAATGGCTGCCACAAGTTTTGTTCATGTTTATAATTCACAGGAAGTTATACTGTGTCCTAAGCAACATCAATAAGTTTGCCCTTAGTGAAGATCTGGATGTGGTTTGAGAGAACCTTTGGAGATGTTTTTACAGAAAAGATTTGGGTCACTATTGACAGCTTGTGTTTGTTAGCAATCTTAGCCTTGTAGCTCCAGCTTTAAAGTAAAGAATCAACAAACATTTTGAACCCTAACTAATTGACTATATCTGGAGTAAGTAGAAAAGTGTGTAAATGTGTTTTTTGTTTATTTATTTTTTTTTGCCAAGCTGTTCCTTCAATAACATGCTCTAAATTAAATGTTTTTAAATATGACTTGTATGCTACAATTTCAGGCTCAGACTGATTGTCGTCTTTTTGTCTTCCTTTTCCTCCTGAAGTCACTTCTTATACCCCAGCAAGCACTGGAAAGCAGGTGATATCGCTGGAGATGATGCATCATCTGGTAGTGGGGATGGCAAATATGAGCTCCTATCAGTGGCAAATGACCTCATTGCTGAAGAAATCAGGAATCTCATGGCCAGAAGTGAGTTACATAGCCTAAAAGTCCCCCAAAAATCATTTAATATTATAGCATGTATTAGAGCTAGGCTGGTCTTGCATGCACCCATGAATACAAGATTCAGTACACCCCTCTGACCAAGCACACCACGCTACTCCAATAAGAGTCCTTGGGTAAGACTCCCAATGCTGCATTCACCTACCATATGTAACTTATTTAAATTGTAAGTCTCTCTGGATGTTAATTGCCAGATGCATATATTTAATCAAATTTTGATATCAAATATTGCAGTAGCTCTCATCTCTGTGACTAAAGTGTGCTTAAACATTAACAAAACACCTTTTGTTCTTTTATTAAAGCACAGGTGAAAGGTCACCAGACAGACACCTTATTGGCTGGATCCCTTGCCAAAGCTCTTTGCTGTATCCTTTAAAATTTGAAAATTAGCTTCTATATTTACAATTAAAATGTAAAAAATTTATATTTTAAGTTATCTTACAGTTCATGCTGAGTGTTGAAACAATATCTTAGGAATTTTCTTGACTGGGTGACACAGATATTCATCGGATCTCCAAAGAATTGGATGGTAAGCTTGTGTTATTCATTTAAAAATAAAACTAGGCCACCTTGAAAACCTTTTACAGTGAGTTGAGTAATGATTCAGTTTACATAATTATTTGACAGTGTTGAATGACTACCAAAATATGTTACATATTGCGCTTTGCTGGTTTATGCACTATTTTAAAAAAGGTGCCTCAAAGAGTACTTTTAGCAGTGCCATAGAACAGGGGTGCCCAGTCCAGGTCCTGAGATTTACCACCCTGCAGAGTTTTGAAATCTCCAGAGTGATAAATCTCCAGGACCAGGATTGAGCACCCCTGCCCCAGAAGAACCACTTTTGGTTCCCTAAAGAACCATGCTTGAGAAGAGATTTGTGGGAGTGAAGAACCTTTTAAAGCTTTACAGAACCATCACCTATAGAAAAGGTTCTATATGGGTTTAAGGGTTCTTCCTAGGGTGCGTTCAGAACTGGTAACCAAAGACTTGTAAACAGACCAAAAACAGAATGAACCTCTTCTCCTTTCTGCAGAACCTCTTCGGTACATGGAAGACAGGCACATACATATGCATACATACAGTAAGCCACTCAAGGCTGCCACAGGAATTTCTTCCTGCATTGCGTTGTGCAAAACCACGGTAACGTAGTAAGTCTTGTGGTATATTGCTTTAATATCACAAGACAGATAAAACAAGACATAAAACCAACAAGCCCAGACAGAACAGAGAACAGCCTGATTCAGAAAGTTTGGTGGATATTATGATGTACAATAACTGTGATAAAATCTGCCCAATTAGTTGTGACCTTTTACTCGTATGACTTTTGTTTCCATCTTTTGGTTCAATGTTAAATATGTTTGTGTGAACGCTGAGAAAACCAAAACTAAACAGCAACAACGTATCCTCTTCTGCTCTGACAGAGGCTCATTACATTATCGTAGCGTGAGCTGCTGCAATAATAACTGCAGACAAGGAATACTAAAGCATTTGATTTTGTCACATGGACTGCAGAAAGTATTTTTGACAGGTTTTGACATTGATTGGTTAGATTCAAAGTGGTGCCTAATTAAACCAATCAGTCATAAAGAACTAGAGCTCAAGTAAGGTTTATTTTTATTACTTTTTTTGCGATACAAGTAGACATTAAGTGTCTTTGTTTTCATGTATCATATTAAGTGATCAGTGACCAGTAGGAAAGGTGAGTGTTCCCAAACTGGGCATAGTAAGGCAGCACAATGACAGATTTCCGTTGGAGGGTCAATAAAGTACATAACATAAATTAAAACTATAATAGGCTAGTGAAAGTGTAAATAAAAGTTAGGTTGTTTAATGGTGGCAAACGTGAATATAGTATAACTGAACCAAATGGAAAAGATACAATGTCACATAAACCCCAACTCTGGTGTAGTCCTTAGCAAACAAATTATTTGTGAAAACAGTTGTAAAATCGTTACATTATGTGGAGGTTCTTCAAACTTTTAGAAGGCTCTTCACACTCTCACACATTGTAAATGATTCTTTAACAAACCATACATTTAATTTTTAAAGGAACCTAATGTGGTTCTTTTGTGGCAGTCCACAAAGAACCATTTCTGGCACCTTCATTTTTAAGCATATTGTCAGTCTTGCAACAAAAAACAACTCTGTTTTTTGTATTTTATACTTACCATAACAAAACCTAAAGGTGTAAATATTTGACCTCAGGTCCAAATTGAAATATCAGTGTTAAATTAGAAGCAAACAAACTAATAAATAGGCAAACATAGGAGGTTGTTTGATGGCCATAATCATCATAGTCATTTCCAGCTGTATTTTTGCCTTGCCTACTTGTTGTAGAAATGCTTCTGTAGTAACATTCTCTCTTCAGTCCAGCGATTCAAATAATTTGTTTCTTTCTTACTTGTAGCTGGGCAAGACATGAAATCAAGGATATTGGTAAGCACCTTGTTCCATTTTGGTTGTGCAATTGATAATGACTACAGTTCCTCTAAAATGAATAATTTAATTGTACTTTGCAGGTGGTGAAAGCGGCTGAGGATTGTGCTCTGCAGTACATGAACTTTATGAATGTAATTTTTGCTGCACAGAAACAGGTATTCATGAAAACAGTTTCATTTAGTATGATTATTATGATATTTATTGAACCATTTAATAGCAGAGGATATTCTCACAATGGCTGCTTTCTCTCCTCTCATTAGAATGTCCTGATTGATGCATGTGTGTTGGACTCTGACTCAGGCCTTTTGCAGCAGGTATGTTTTTTTTATTATAGAAAGATTTGGCTTCTTGCCATCTTTGTAAGTTAAAATAATAAACAGCTTTTGAGGAGTCAAAATCCAGACAAAAATTAGGCTCATTCTTAGTCTACTTCACATTGTTGATTGATGATTGGCCGTTGATTTTAGCCAATAAGTTGGACTGGTTGCCTATCTATTTCTAAAGACTTCATCATTATGATGTCAAATCAAATGGCAAATATGTTTTATTTTGACCTCATTAAAGGGCAAAATTAAAATATAACCATTGCTACATCAGTTGTAAAGATGCCTACTCACCTCCTACATTTTTGCTGCAGTAGTCTAGTGAGTGTGAAATTTTCCAGTTTAACTAGGTAAACCCCCTTCTGCTGATGTGTTTTGAAGGTGGGTAGAACTTTTTTAAATCTGTAAGCTCTTCAGGTCGTGTGGGTGAGTTGTTTCTTTGGGAATCCTAGTGGTTGTTTAATGAATTTGCTCAATGCGAACTGATGTGGGTGATGTGATGCTGCACTACAGAATGTAACATGACACATAACATATTAAATGCTAGTTTTATGCCAGAATGCCATAAAATAAAAAAGTAACATCTGTTTTCACAGGCTTGTGACATAACGGGAGGCTTGTACCTGAGGATACCGCAGAAGACCGCTCTAGTGCAGTACTTATTGGTAAGATAAATAGTTATAAGTTAAAGTCTTCACATACATTCAGACTGGCTATATGGTCAAACTTCTTATTATCCTGTTTACATCCTATTTATTTATTTAGATTTGAAATTCTGAATGTGCTGTAGCTTTTGTGTAGTTCCTTCACAGAATAATAATAATTTCATATAATAATCAATTTTAATATATATCATAGGATGAAGTGAGCCCTAGGCAATTTCAATTTATAGATAATAAAGTAACCATAATAGCATTTTTAGAGCTGTGAAAAGCTAGGTCTTACATCACACTATGCAAGACACTTGATAATTTAAATTGCATATTGCAGTCCTACGACGCAGTCTGGATCTGATATCAGCACAGGCTTTTTACCGAAGCATTCCACTGACCACCAGTTGCACCAACGGTCACTTTACTCTAAGCTGCTGGAACTACTTTTTTGATGGGAGAAATTGCCACTGTTAAAGACAAAGTATTTGAAATAATGTTCAGAATTTACTTTTTTCTCTACTTTACTAAACCTGGCAACACTTTATTTGAAGGCTACTACATACTGACTTCACACAATGCATAAGCACTGCATAATGTTTTTATGAGTGTATACAAAAGATGTTTAATGAAGTCAGTTGGATTATATGGCCCTTGAACTAAAGTGACTGACAGTTTTTTCATTTATAACACTTTTTTGAAATATTATTCCCAAGTAATTGAACTTATAAGGCAGAGGTCTAAATAAGAACACCATATGTCATATTTATGTGCATATTTTCCCATATGTTAGTATCAGTGGTGGACATTTTGTACTTTGGTACTTTAACTCAAGTAAAAATATATATAACTGATATAATGCTCTTAACTTGGCCTCCACCTTATACGTTTTATGACTTGGGAATGATGTTTATAAAGGAACAAATGTCCATCACATTAGTTTAAGAGCCCTAATGTCAATACAGTGTCATTTACTTTATAAAACATCTTATGTTGTCTTGCGAGTATTGAGAAATGGTTCATAAATACCAAAGTATTGCTTTTTAAATGTCATTCAAAGCTTTTGCATGTGTTATGAAGTCCCTGTGTTTGTGGGTAGCTTTTACATAAAGTGTTTTCAAACACTTGAGCTCCTGCTTTTGTGAAAAACACTACTGTGACTGGTCGCTCGACCCTTTGTCACCTGCACTCTGCACCTCTGGTTGGAACCCCTGCAGGCTGCAGCTGGTGGTCTCTCTGACCGAATCACAGCTGTGATGTTATTTGCGATAACATACTTCTTCTCATGTTCTGTTTCTTAAATGTTACATATTGTTTCTCAGTTCCACTTTATATTATGCAAGTTAATTGCACTTTCCATTGTGGTTCATTCTTCATGTGCTGCTTGCTTGAAGGTCATCCTTTTCCAGCAAGAGCCTGTATGCATCCTGTTGTTCTTTTACCCTGTCTCGTCAATGTTTAACTCAAAAGCAAATCTATTTGCTGTAGGGGTGGGCGATATTTATTGTTATCTTGACAAATTCTGTCACATTGCACTATTCTGAGCATTACAGAGTATTTAAAGAACAGTATGTAAAATGAGTATTTAAAACACTGTACAACTGCATATTGATCATAATTGTCCTGTTCAGTTGGATTTTGTGCAGTGCATTAAATGAAATGTTGAATAATGTTATATTTTTGCTGTATCACCTACTGATAACTTGTTTTTTGCACAGTGGGTGTTTCTGCCAGATGCAGACCAGCGTTCACAGCTAGTTCTTCCTCCACCGGTGCATGTGGACTACAGAGCGGCCTGCTTCTGTCATCGTAACCTTATTGAGATCGGCTATGTCTGCTCAGTGTGCTTGTCAAGTATGTCTCTCACTGCTTTCTTTATTATGCTAGAGGACAGAATCCCAAAAGAATTAAATATATGTCTGCAGAATTAAGTTATGCTGATATTATCCAGTAGTGTGGCTAAACAAACATTCTGCCTGGTTCTTTGCTAATAGCAAGCCATTAATCAGCCAGACCAAAATGTATGGTCTGTTGAATAGTGATCACTGGTTATATTTAAAAAACTACACAGAAACAGTTGGAGGAGCCACTGATTTTGAGATTGTAGGAATAAATATTTTGTTCTTCTATTGAATGGGTTCAGCAAGCGCATGAGCTTTGGTGTGTGTGTGGCACGTTTGGCCTGATAATTAAGCTCTCGTTAGCTTGGCCAAAAGGCTACAGTCTTGACTGGACAATACAGATGACAGAGAAAGAGTGTAGTGTTTCAAAATTATGCTATCGTTTTAATGTTAATGCCTCTTTGTTTTGACATTCAACAGTATTCTGCAACTTCAGTCCTATCTGCACAACATGCGAGTGAGTACTTGTAATGTTTTATTATATAGTTTCATTTTGAAGTGAAAATAAGTTAACACATCCTCTACAGAGAACACACTTCTGCATACGACTGTGTAACCCAAGATTGTTGGCCTTGTGTTCACAGAGTTTGCTGTATGGTTAATTTATCAGATTTTTTTCTTATTAACAGGACTGCTTTTAAGATTCCATTACCACAGATGATGAAACCGAAGAAGAAGAAACTTAAAGCTGCAAACTGATTCCACTGAACTCTAATATTAATGTGTATTGCTGTTTTATTTTGATGTGAATATTTTCATAGTACTGAAACAAAACTCATCCTGAAAGTATGTTTCAGACATTTTCAAGTTTTATCTGTTAAATTTGAAAACGGAAAATAATCGGAAGCCAGTGAACTGCTTCTGGCTCACACTTTTGTACTGTAAATAGTAAATAAAGTTTGTATCTTTATTGTTATGCTTTCTAGTGTATTCTTTTGCAGCAAATATCAAAGGCGGTTTAAGAGGAGCCTGGCCGCTTCCTATTTCTCACGTTATATTAAAAATGACAGCACCACGCCAGAGGGCACTCATGAGTGTGTCCCAAATGAATGGGCAGAAATGGAGCTAAATGGGCAAAAAAACCCTTAAACTTGTTTTTAACAATTTGTGCGGGACCTTCTTTTAATTTTAGAAAGTAGAATGATGTATACCGTTAAAACAACACAGAAAATGTATCTTTCCATTTTTCTACAGCAAGATGTTTTGGGCTGTAGGACACTAGCCTTACAGCTACTGAGTGCTGATTGGTTGGTGAGCTGATCAGCTCATTGGCTGAATGAAGCGGTTTGTGCTCACTGATGTCATGAACCTACATAAGACACATTGCAAAGCCCTGTAACTGGAGTTTAAAAGCACCAAAAAGTAAAACAGTAGTGTTGAAATATTGTATGCTGTTCTATTTTCAGAAAATTTGTTTTTCAATGTAAAAAATTAGCATTTACAAACTACGATTTTGCTCCATAGGAACCCTTTCATTTTGAAGGCTGGAGCACTCTGACAAACCCAGAAGATATTACTGAGTGGCAGTGCTCCTCACTGCGCATTCTCTGCTGAAATTGTGCATTTTCAGTAAATCTTAATGAAAGGAACAAAAGATACCTGATCTAAATGATGTCAAAACTTGTCAATTTTAGGTCTGAAAGATAAAAAAACATGAGTAGCAGGTATAGTAAAATTATTGATATTCATCTATTCAGCATTAGCAGCTTTTAAATGAGCTACAGTTGTAGCCAATACAGACTTACATATTCATGACAGTACAACCACGTACAATGATTTCTTTTCTGGTCCAAGTTTAACATGCACTTCTTTTTTGTGTTATTGGTGAGAGACGTAGACCACATTACCCCTTGGAGCAAAATGCTTTTATTTCTAAACCACACCTTCATCACTACACATGCATTTCTTTTCCTCTAAGTTTAAATGCATTTAAATATATTTTTATTGTTCCCAACAATAGAAAAGGGTCAATAGCTCCATAACCACATAAGATTGTGTCAATTACTTTGAGCTATTTAAAATGGATTTTTAGTTGGTACAAAACTAACTGGTGCTTAGTTAAAAATTGAATTTTTAGTTAACTGGTAGTTAACATGAGTACTTTCCAATACTTGTTCTATTAACAACGAACATATCTGTAAAAGTACAATTATTTCAAATAATGAATTAATTCAAACAATTTGATACTTACTTCTATGATGTCTGTCTGTCTGTCTGCCCTGTGATGGACTGGCGACCTGTCCAGGGTGTACACTTCCGCCCAATGACAGTTGGGATAGGCTCCAGCACCCCACCGCGACCCAGAAGGGTAAGCGATTTAGATGGTGTGTGTGTGTGTGTGTGTGTGATATGACATATTTTGACTTTTTTGTACGGCCCCTTAGGAGTTCCGTATTGTCGCGCTTAAACGGAGTGGATGATTTGATTGGACAGCTGACACGTTAGCCCCGCCTCTTTTTAAGCACCGCTTGATTGACACAAATCTCAAACAGTCGCTGCTGAGCAAGAATCTCCAAGCACTCATCACCACCAAACGAAGAACTGAAAAACTCCTCAGAGCAAACGGTGTTGGTAGTAAATAAGTCAGAATTATTACACTACGAGAGCTGACAAAGTGTTATTAAGGAACAGTTAATTCAGACACACAATGTCATGATCTTCTGGAGGGTGGTGCATTTTTTTCATTCCTGAAGCTGGAAAGGTTTTCAGATAAGATAAGATAAGATAAGATAATCCTTTATTAATCCCACAACGGGGAAATTGCGGTGTTACAGCAGCACAGAAGACAGAGCAGCAGGAAATATACAAACAATATATAAAATAGAATAAACAATAAAAATATAAAGATATATGTATATGTACAAAAATTACAAGAAAAATATACAAAGTATTAAATTTAAATTTAGAAATGTAGAAATGTATGTATTGTAGTGAGTATTGCACAGTGAATAAAATAGCAAATAAATAAACAGTAATAAATGGAGAAATATTGCACTTGACATAATTGCACATAATGGTGGTAAACATATTGACAGTGATCCGCAGTGAATATACTACGCATGGTGGATTGAGATATTGCACACAGTAAAGTGCTGTGGCAGTGATGTTGAGAGTTCTTGCACATGGAAAGTAATTGTAAACTACTGTCTACTGAGTGCCGTGACTGTTATAGAGTCTGACAGCGGCTGGGAGGAAGGACCTGCGGTATCTCTCCTTTACGCACCGCGGGTGCCGCAGCCGCGGTGCGTGAAACAGTTTAACTCTGCAGAAGATCAAACTAAGAGCTCAGTGTGGCTAACAGGCAGCTCTGTTAAACATGTTTACTGCGTTTGCTTACACTCATTTTCAAACTTTGTCTAACGATAGATAACATTATAGAACAACGTTAATATCAGTAAGAAAGTTTAGTTAATTTTTTGCCTTTGTTACTTTAACAGTCAGTTTGATCACTTAGTTAGATTAAACCTGACTGTAGACGTTGCATTTGCAGTTAAAAATCAATGTGTGCAACAGGGGCGTCATTAGACCTAATTTACTGAGGCACGCGCCCCAGTAAATTCACAGCGATAAAAAGTCAGTAAGAAAGCCATAAAGCTTTCATCCTGGATTGCTGAGCTCAACAGAAGGACACGCCCCTCGAATTCACTACTGGCACTACATTTCCCATAATGCCCCAACATCTTCCCCAACGCTTGAGCCACTGACGTTTTCAGTCACAGCCAATTTGTTTCGGTGTTCAGCATGAAGTAATGGATATATTTTAAAGGAAGTCAGCTATGCAGCAGACAAGGTGTAATGATAGCTCATAGCCATATGATTTGGTTAGCCACTAAAGCAAAATTATTAATTCATTTAGTAAAGGCATCAGCTACGTTAGCAAAGCCTTTATTTATGATAGCTTGTAAAAGGTGCACTGATAATACAAGCTTCCAAAATGACGCGTGTCGCGATAGAGCTTGCTGATATAAAGTAAACTACGCATTTTGCTAGCCTGTGTTATCTAGCTAGCATGAACTGATGATGCAAAGACAAAATCACAATTTCAGGTGTAGTTTAAACAAATTATTTCACATGCATGTTTGGGACAATAATATTAAAACGAAGTGTAAACCATTAAATTGAATAAATTACGTTTTTTTTTTAATGTGAAGAAGGCTGTGCCCCTCTTAATTCTGCGTGTGCACCAGTACAACAAGTAGTCTGGTGTGTAATGATAAATAGGTGCAACATCTCTCGCAGTGTAAACATATAAGACTGCTCTAATCACACAGTGTAAAGTGGGCTTCGTGCTCCTGTTTTCTCAATTCTTAGATGTAGTCAACCCAGAAAACTCCAGTTTATTGTTTGCACATCTTTTCGGAAGACTGAATGTGATGTGATGAATGATAAAAACTCACTTTTTAAACATTAGACTTAATTGATTTGGGAAAACCCTTTACATTTGAGCTCAGGCAACCTCAGAGAACATATGGACCAAAGGCTATTTAAAATTTCATATATGGACATTAATGGGTGAAGATACACAGCCACACCACCTTCAGCTGATGTTTCTGTTCATATCAAGTAGCATGTTAACTGTCACTGATGCTGTGGACATTCTCTCCTTTCAGTGACTACTCTTGTTTTTTGGATGGGGGCATTATCATCCTGGAAGAGGCCACTGTCATCAAGGTAGAAATAATAGTATAAAAGTGATTAGTCAGAATAACTTCGTATTGATTTTCAGTGATTCTTTAAGAGGACAATTGGACTCAATTTGTGTCAGCAAAATGCTTCCTACAGCTCAGCAGAGCTACTGGAACCCCTTGCTGTAGGGGTAAAGTATTCAGACCTGTATGATTCTCTTGATGTACGCTGCACATGCATTTTCCCACTTGGGGAGAATATCGCTGTTGTCTGAAGAAATCTTCATATCTCCATTTTTGAAGTTTTTTTGACATTTCTGACATAATTTTAAAATGCCTGTTACCCTTTACATTGTGTGTAAATTTTATGATGAATGGATCAAAAGAAATGACCCAAAATTACTTGTCTGGAAAAATGTCTGGTTCGTTTGACTTAGATTAAAAGTTAAGTATGTTTTTTCCTTCTCCTGTAATCATTTTGGAGATACAAGGTTTTCTTCCGACAACAGCAATATGATGAACTATGACTCATCTGACCAGATCCCGGTTTTCCACATCTCTGTAGATGAACTCTTAAATGGTCATTCGTCTTTGTTATGAGGGATTTATCCCCTGCAGTTCTATTGTAATATCCTCTCTGTGTAGTTGTAGACAGACTGTTCTTGCTGAGAGTCTGCTCACATCCTGCACTGACATTCTCACTCACCTGAAGAACAGCTGCTCTTACATATCACACTAATGCATGAGCATCTCAGTCACTGAATGTGTTTTTTTAATCACAGTTTCCAGCCCTGTTTACTGATGTTTTTCCCACAGATCTAAATGCAGTCTTTGTGAATGAAGCTCCTCTGTGCTCCAATAATGATCCCTCTTTCAAAGTCACTTAGATCTTTTCCTCCTGACATCTTCATCCAAAATCAAGGACAGTGGTCTTGCTCAGCATTTATACATGCAACAGAACATTATAGGATTTTAATAATAATAATAATTAATAATTTAATAATTGTATCATGCACCTGTCTGGAAGCATCTGCACCTGTTGTGTTTCTCCATTTATTCAGCTCTTTCCTCTGATTTGTCAGTCATCTATATATGTTTAGTTTAATTTGTATTGCAGCCAATAGGCAGAGTAAGAAAGTGTTCAGAAAAGATGTAAGGAGTCTGGCAGGTGCAGGTGTCACTGTTGTCGGTGAGTCCTTGAAGTCTGGTATTACAGAAAAATTTAATTGTGATGCAGAAATGTAGAGGAAACTAATTATACAATTGTTTGGAGAAGGTAACTGAAAGGAACTCTGAATCCAAACACTCTTTACAAGAGCAAAGAGCGGAATATTACATTGACAGCCATGCTGGACTGCATGCAGAGCAGGGAAAATTGAAAAGTGACTCTATAAAGTCTAAACACAATATCCAACGTCCCCATGATGTTCCAGATTACAATACCTAGGAGGGAGTGGAAAATGATTGCTGCCTCACACAACCGAGAAAGTCATGGTCTAATGTAGTTTATGAATGGGTTAAAGAGAAAAACCCCACCGCACACTCATTTTGCTGTCAACATAGATATCCAAACAGCAGGAAAAAAGGTATACATACTTGTCACATTGTGCAGTTTGGTCGGTGCTGGCTATAAGCCACCTAAGCGGTCACGCCCACCAGCCCTTTATCTCCTCTTAACTCAGAACTTCATTTCTACATCATTAAACTTCAGTTACTCCAATTCTCAAAAAGTCAAGCCTCATCCTTCATGAATACTCTACAACTGTGGACCAAGTTCTAACCTGTCCAAACTGCAGGAAAAAGTGGTAGCTTCACAGATACAATACTCTCACCACGAACAATCTCTGTGACCCGCATCCTTTACACAGAATGACATTGACATTTTTCTTTCCTGTCTTTCTTCTGTTGACATTTCTAGCTTGATTCATGTTTGGATTAGATCTTATCTTTCTGGTAGACCCCTCTTTATATCCATTGGTAAACAGAAATACTCTGTTGTCAGACAGGGTGCCCATCAGGGATCAGGCCTGTCACCTTTGTATATGTCAGCAAACGATTTTGGATCTTTACACAAAAACGTAATATTAGACCAAGAGAACCTATTTTAAATATGCAGTGTGTAAGATTTAGGGAGATATACTAGCAGAAATGTTTTCATTAGTGTATCTAAATGTACCTGTAACTATGAATTGTTGTGTTTCATTAGCTTAGAATGAGCCCTTCATGTCTACATAAGGAACGGGTCCTCTACCAACAGAGGCCACTATGTTGTGCCACTGTGTTTCTACCCATGTTTCTAATTTGCCCAGAATGGACAAACCAAACACTGGTTCTAGAGAGTGCCTTTTGTGTTTTTGTGGTGAGGCGACAGCTTGAATTTGGTGGTACTATAGCACTAGTTCGAAAATGCAGGAAAATGAACGGTCGGTGGTTGAAAAAAGCAAGGGAGTGTGAATCATCATTGTCAAAGAAGCGAAACATCAAGAAGCAAAATGAAATTGGACAGGCGATGGCAGAAAACATGACAGACAAGGTTCTTGTGCCCGAGCTATATTTGTATTTAAGGCATGGTTCCTATTTATTTGTATTTAACCCATGGTTCCACACATCAATGTAAAGAAATTCAAGTCAGTTAATTACAATGCAGTGAAATCAAACTCCTCTGAATTACTTTGTTTACATCTCACGGACTGAATTATACAGATATTTAGAAAAATCGTTGGAGTTCCCCTTTGTCATATATGCCATGTTGCTTTATATACTATATTACTGTATTATTATGGTCGAAATCCTGAATTAACCGTTCTGGATTCTTGCACTTTGGCCAATAACTACAGATGCAATCTGGCAACCCTGACTGGTTCGCCTACTCCACTTCAACAGGTGGCGACGGACGTAGTTGACTCTGCTTTCAGAGATTTCAGACAAGGGAAGAGAAATGTTTTTCTCCGTTCCCTGCTAACAACACCGGCGCTACAGAGGAAGGCAGAATCCATCCAGGTACCTTCAAAGTTTGCATGTTAAACAGAGAATGCGTTATTACATGACAAATAGTGAATACTGGCCTAAATCTTTGCCAAGTAACGTTAACCACGTAAACTGTCTAACGCCGGTTGAGTAGCTTCAGCTTGTTCGTTCACTGGTGTACTTCACAGTTAGCTACCGGGCAAAATAAACTTCAGATTACAGCCTGGGAATAATTAGATTAATAAAACAGAGCCACAGATTCAAAGTAAAGTCCAAACAGCACAGCCATGATTCTCGGCAAGGTGTTTTATTTTGTTAGGTTAACATACTAGAATCTATTGAGATGGAAACGTTTAGTCAACCTTTGTTTTGGATAACTAACGTTAGCTAGTTTAACGAAGCCGTTCGCCACTTTAATGTAGTTAGCGTTAGCTAAGAAATTTCCAGTTTCCACTTGATTGGAAAGTTCGAACAAGGAACCGGGGAGTAGGAAACCAGCTTCAGCCTCGACATTAGCTAACTTAGCTAGGTTAACATACTTTTTTTTAGTCTTTTATGTCTTTCGTCACGGTTTTCGCCAACGTTACGTTTGGAAGTACGACTAATTTGTCTTGACCAGATATGCTCAGATATAGGTTAGCTTAATTATCTAAATATTCGTTCATTCTCTCTGGTAGGTTATGTGGGCTAAGTAAGCTCTAAAGTGGAGAACACGGGTGTCACGAGTTTGTCATGTTGGTCTGAATTCCTAAGACTGGTTTTCACAGGCTGGTGCGTTCACTCGCTTCATAGCTCTTTTAATGAGAGACGGCTTTCTCTTAGCCAACGACTGTTTTTCTAACTTGGAGTTATAAGTTATAAACGGTAGTTTATATGTCCAAACGTTTATGTATATCTGCTCAATGGGAATTAATAGAGAGTTTGTCCCCCGTTTGCTGCAGTAACAGCCTCTACCCATGGTGCATGGTGACCTTAGGCTCTTATGCAGCTGCCCCACAGCATCCCATTCTATTGATAGCGCTTTTCTTTGGAGATTATACAAACTGTGGGTGCACCCTAAAAGAGCTGCATTCGCTAATTAGGTTGGGCAGAACAGTGTGGTGGTAAATATCTAATTTGGATATTTTTGTACCAGTATTGTTTTTTGCAGTTTGAATTAAGCTTCAGGAGTTTTTTGTGCCAAGGGCTTGGGCTGAGGCTTGAATGGTGACTGTAGTGTGCCAGATTGCCAGTTCACAAGCTCTGCATTATTAGGTCAAGTTTTCTCTCTTGAAATGTAAGACCATTTTAAATATTCTGGACTGTACTTAAAATGAAACTCTTTCATGTTAAATATAACATGAAACCTTTATTATTATTATTTTTTTTAAATCAATCATTCAGCCCTATTTTCTGGACAGTTTTGGACATATAGTGTAATAATTATAAATCTGTCAAATGCTAAAAGATTTAATTTGGGCAGTTCTTGTACATCCTTTGTAATTTTTGATTAGGCTACATAATATGGAAAGAAAAGTCATAATCAATTTTATTTCTACATATTTTTGTTTGCCCCATAGTGTACTAAAACATGGTGGTCAGCAGGTAAAGACTTTTGACCAGAATTAATTTTTTTCATGAATCAGGGTAATGCCTACATTCATTCAGACACCCACAAAAACATTCATCAAAACATCTGTGATTGGTCGGGGTATTCTCAGCACCCAGTAAACACATTTTGTGATTGAATAGAAGGTTCATTATATTGCTATTGTGAAGGCTGATGTTGTGAAAATGATAAAACAAACCAGCCTCAGCTTTGAGAATGAATAAAATTGAATTGAGTTGGGTATTCTATGTTCTGGGTACATTTTAAGATTGTTAATTGTATGTTTCTTTCCTTTCAGTATACTTGTTTTTGCCAAATAAATACTTCTGTTTGGAAAGATGTTTCAATGTTTAAAATAAACTGTGTTGGCTTGCCTAGAACGCAAATTTATTGAAGTAATTTAGTGACATGGATACAAGTTTTGAGTATGCTGTTAAAGCCCCAGGGAGTCTAAATCCATGTTTTCCATCTAAGTAGGTTAATCTTGCTCTTGTGTGGAAACAATATACATGTACAAAGTGTATCGTGTGAATAACTTTCTGATGACTAAGATATGGCCAGTGTATTTACCAAAATCCTCCTTTTTCAGTGTAAACTGGGCAGTCCTAATGATGGGTAGTGGTAATGTAAATAGTATCCTGATCAGTCATATGGCTGGTGTGGTTTGTCCCACCTACTTAGTTTTATTAAAACTGTTTCCTTACAGTCTCTCTATTCAAGTTGGAGAGAATTACAGAGAGAAAGCTAACAACCAAACTAACCTAGCAAGCATAACTGAGCCAACAAGTCTGCCTATTGTCCATCTGTTTGTTTGTTAATTTGTCCATCCATCATTCATCCATCCATCTATTCATTTGTTTGCTTAACTGGCCATTACAGCATTCCCTGGATGCACATTCAACAAAAAAGTGAAAAAGAACCTTACCTTCTTTGAGAAGGTAAAAAAGCTGGGTTTAAAAGCTGGATAATGTTTTTAGTGTGCAGTGGATACAGCAGGGTCTACAGCGCCACCATCACTCATTTTATCCTGCTTTATTTTGCACTATTGTTTGTTTCTGCTTTGGTGGCAGAGCAGACTGGGAGTGTTGGACTGAGGGCTGTCAGTCATGCATGATCATGAGAATGCTAGGACCACACCCAGAGAGTTCTCACATAAATCTTTTTCATAGATGTTTTTTTAAGCTGTGTTTTATTGTTTGTTTATCCAAACTTTGTTGGCTGTTCAATGAAACAATATCATACAGACATTCTATAATATTTTACACTGCATTCTCTGGTACTTTAAGATTCCATTTCATCAACAGGTCTACTAGGCGGAGGTGAGGAGAATGTGGGGTGAGGAGAAAAGAGGAATCCATGTCAACCAGGCCGAGCTCCTCTGTAAAGATGGCTGTGGCTATTATGGCAACACTGCCTGGCAGGGTTACTGCTCCAAGTGCTGGAGAGAGAGGATCCGCAAGACTGAAACCACCAAACCAGAGAATGGGTAAGAGTTCAGAACATAAAATGAGACCTGCAGTGAAATGAAAACAGTGAGGTATTCAAAGGATTAAAATGTAATAATTAATTTACAATTACAATTTATAATTAACTTTTATCAGCTACATGAGGGGTAAGGGGCAAATTATGTACATTACGTTTTCTTTATCTCTTTGCACTGTAATGGCCAACAATAATCAAAGCTTGCCACCTGGAATTGTAGTAATTAGGTTTGTCATACATAGACTACATAGACCTTTTCTGTAAGAAAGTTGATAATTAATTTAGTAGCTTTACATTTTGTAGTCTAGAAGAGACTAGACTTGATTTCCAGGCATTGTTGAATGGAATTTTGGCTTCATTAAGGTAAAGAAATAGTCCTCTTGTTTTGGGGGAGAAACAGGAGCATATTTCAAATGCAAGACGATCATACACTGACTTTATTAGAAACACCTGCCTTGTGCTCCACCTTGCTGGTGTACATCCTCTACCCTTTCTTCAGTGGTCAGTTTCTGACCTCATAGCCACTCTTGTTTGGATATTTTTGGATGGTGGGTCACTTTTAACCTAGCAGTGACACTGATGTGTGTAAAAACTCTGACCACACCGCTGTGCCTGATACACTCGTACCAGCACCACACACACTAGCATGTGCTGAGAATGATCTAACAAATTGGCAACAGTCTGTAATTTTACACCAATATAGTGGGTGGGGCTCATAAAGTGGACAGCAAGGGGAAAGTACAAGGTTTCTAATACAGTAGATGGTGAGTGTAACAAATGTCTGCTTGCTTGTTTGATTTGTGACCACTGTCAGCCTCCATGGTGATAGAGGATTCCAGCTCACATTCTCCAAATTTGAGGAGAAGAAAAGTGTGGAGAAGGGCAGACGCTCCAGCACGATGAAACGACTGTTCTGGGGGACTCCATCACCACCACGCCAAGGTATGTGATATTGATGTGCAATATTTAAGACATTGAGGAGATGTACTATAGGTATGTCTGCCATGAAGGCTGTATTTGCTCCACTACAAATCTATACAAACAAGCCTTAGATGCCGATCTACTACGTGTGTGTGTGTGTGTATGTATATATATGTGTATATATATGTGTATATATATATATATATATATATATATATATATATATATATATATATATATATATATATATACACACACATATATATACACACACATATATACACACACATATATACACACACACATATACATACACACACACACACACACACACAAATATAGAAAAAATTTAAACTAAAATTCAAATTTTTTTCTACCATTTGCTACTGTTCAGTTTGAGTTGGGTGGGACTTAGCTCAGCTGATGTCAGTTCTGCCATAGTACCAATAAAAGTTAGCAATATGTGTATGTCAGTTACTCGCATTCCCCTTTCTCACATAAAATGACTGCTGCTCCCACTGCTCCAAATCAGGGCCAAAACGCTGTGGCTGTGGTCAAAAATACAAAATTAGTTACCGCTGGTTGTCAGGACAGCTCAAACTAAGTTAAAACTTGGGCTACCAGCAGCTGATTTGTAAAAGCAAAGAATTATAGCATGTTGTATTTGTAAATATTTCATGAGGGTGCTGGTGTTAGCCGTTTGACATGCAACTACTGGTTTCCATATGTTGTAATTAGCTGTCAAGTCCACACAGTTAACAGCAGACAGCAGCTCTGAATTTATGAAGCACTTACCTACCAAGATAATTTTCGTGAATATAACACTGGGAGGTGCCTTCCGCAGGATGTCTGTACTTTTAAACAAAAGTTTAAACATTTGATACCATGTTGACAGGGTCAACGTTAGAGCAGGAGTTTTCAATCCTGGTCCTGCAGTATCAGGATTCTTCCCAGTGTCAGTATCTTCTCCCAGCACACCTGATACCACTAATGGACAAACTAGAAAGCCCTTTTAGAGTTGAAGTGGGCATGTTGGAGCAGGCACAACGACCAGGACTGAGAACACTTTAAAAGACTTCGATTGGGGGACATAAAAACCATGATCAGGACACCTCTACTAACTAAGCAGTATGAACTTAAATAAATAAATGAATGAATGAATAAAAATGGGATGGCAATATGGTGATAATTTACCATGATAACGATAAAATATGTCTGGTAAATTTCTGGACATACTAAACATGTTCTGAACGTATTGTGATATTTTATTTTTGGCCAGATCACCCACCCTAATGTCACAATATTTTGCACCATTCAGACAATAACAATATGCTTTCATGATACACAAAAAAAGCTAATGATTTAGAAAAATTAATAATAGTTCTTCAGTGTTATTTGAGGCTTGATCTTATGTTTTTCATATCATGAAACAGCATCATACCAGTAGTTACCTTACTACTAACTGTGTCTCTTATTAGCAGAGTCTTCAGAAGGTCAGGAAGCAGCACTGCAGGCCTTTCAGAGCCTGGAACCTGGAGATTTCCCCGGCTTCCTCAAGCTCCTACGTAAGCCGACCTCCCAGCGGCTGCAGTCCCGCTGTACAGCTTTTCTCAACACCATCGAGGCCTACCATGTAATTATCCCCCCAAGACTCTGTTTCCTCAACTGTGCTTTGAAATCATGCACAATTTCTATTTTTTTCTTTCTTTAAAAAAAAACAAAAACATCTAGGGCCTGTATGTAGGTCAGCATTCGTCTGTTTTGTATTTCAGGACCTACCTGTTGAGAAGCAGTCAGACCTGGTGCAGGATTTCTACCAGAACATTGCTGTTCACTTTAATGGTGGGTTCAAAAAAGTGTAGCACATTTATCTGCAAGAGAGTTGTTGCTAATTTATAATATCTGTGCTAGCCTTTGTAAAGTGTTAGATTTGTCTAATATTGCATTTTAAAAGTTGTAGTGTTTTGTTATCATTAATAGTACAGGGTTATAATAATGCTATGTTCAATGTGTTGGTCTGAAAAAAACCTAGTAAATAGCGCCGTGTTTGTGGTCTTCTTTTTGGCAGAATACATACGCTTCCATTTCAATCATTGTTTCAGTCTTCTCTTGTGAGTGGAGCGTAAACACCATAGAGAACCAGACAAAACACACACGACCACTTTCTATAGCCTTTAAAAGTATATATAACACAATTTACTAATATATGATGGTCATATTGGTGTGGTAGTTTTAGAGCAGCTCCAGTGCTGTACTAACAGTATGTAGAGGATCTTCTCTGATACGGCAGTAAAAACTGTTTGCCCATGTGGTTGGTGCCATGACAAAAAAGCTTAAACGTATAAAGTTTAAACTAACTGCAATCTACCAACTTTATGTTGATTATTGTTTAAATAAATTTCTCCACACTACAAGCTTGTGAAACATTTTGGAATGCTTACCTATTTTGTGATGGTAAAAGTAAAGTTTAAAGGTCCTTTGTCCTACTTTCAGGTCTGCCAGAAGCACAAGTTTTGCAGATGATGGAACATATTGAGAAGCTGATCATGACTCGTCTGCACAAGTGGGTCTTTTGTCATGACAGCTGTGATGATGAACAGAAGGATCTGACACTTCAGCGGAGGATCAAGTAAGAGCTAGTAACATGACTGGAAGAGCATAAGGTTGCTGGCGGTAAAAAGCTTTTAGTTGTAGGTGATTTCATGGTCATGCTTGGGCTAATGTTTCATTTGCCTGAAAAGATGCATATACACTGACGTGCCAAAAGTCATGGGATAGTTTGTGAATTGATTATGAAGTGGCGCTACCTCAGGGAACGCCCACACCTGTATAAGTTGTGAGGTGTTATCTTGTGAGTGAGATTGAACACTGGCCAGCATGGTCATGGCAAGGCAATGTGAATTATTGGAGTTCGAACAAGGCATGACAGTGCGTGCCAGGCAGGTGGGACATTCCATTTCCGAAGTTGTGTTTAGTGATTGTTTACAGCCCTTTATGGACTTCATGTACCCGCATAATGCACTGTGCCAATGGGCCCAAGTTAGCTCCAGCGAATTGTGTGGCCTGCACATTCGGCCAACATGAGCCCAGTTGAGCATTTATGGGATGTGGTAGAAAGGTCCTTTCTCACCCAAGATCCTGCACCTACGAATACCACAGAGCTGTGGGTGGCTATCCAGATGGTATGGCTCAACATCCAGTCTGCCGTCCACTTGTGAAATTGATGCCACGTCCAGTTTCGCCAGGCTAGAGGGGGTCCTACTCAATACTAGTTCCTGTCCCATGACTTTTGACACAACAGTGTATAGACCACCCAAAGAAAACAGATATTTAAGGTTAGTAAGAGGCTGGGCAGTATGACTGTATTTACTGTTATTGTGATAAATTGTCACAGTATGTCACAATAAGTGTGTCTGAGCATATTGTGAATATTCAGTTCTTTAAGAACGTAGACCAGCTGCATGTTTTATCATAAAGGGAGCATAATTAGTAATTTTTAACTGCATTTAGTGCAGAGTAATATTTGAAATATTAAATAAAAAAAGTTTTGATGTTATTTATAAGTGTTTGGCTACTGGCTTTTTTTTTTTGCCTCTTCCAACATACCAAGATATCAGAAAAATATTGTTATGTAATATTGTCACCTCTAATTGGCAACCATTTTCCTAAGTGAGTACAAGAAGTCTTTATATACACACAAAAGTATACATTTGAATGCTTTAGTTTCTGTGACATCACAAACACTGAATTCAGCAGGTTTTGCATCTTAGTTTCCATTTATAAACTCAGTTCCTCACCTCTGCTTTAATATTAGAACTTTGTGTTTTGTAAATCTATTTTACTGTGTTTAATCTGCTTTTTTATTCTGACAGGTCATTAAACTGGGTTACCCCTCAGATGCTGCGCGTCCCCTTCCCCAAAGGTGGATCTGACAGTGACCCATATTTACCAGCAATAACAGGTGATTGTCAGTCATTTTTAACTGTGTTCAAACACTTTACCTGATTGTTTCTTAAATAGTTACTTTTCTAAAATGATTATTCTAGTCTTTTTATTTGCTAAGATCTAAGTCATATTTTCCAGTATGTACTATATGGAGCACCAAATTAGTTCAAACTGCAGTTCCACAGTAAAACATTAAGTATTTACACCTTAGATATTTGTGAGGATTATGTTATGATCTAATCAAACCCAAGTCATTAATAGAGATGGTAATAAGCTAAATATCGTTTATAGGGTACTTTCTATAAGGAAGTGACTCTCCAAACCCTAACCTCTAAATTTTAACTTGTAGGGAAAAAAGAACTTTTTTATAAAAAAAAAAAAAATTTTTTTAATGTGTGTACAAGTGTTCAAAGATATGTTTGATAGTCATGTACTGGCTAATGATTTTGAGTTATGCTTAACATTAGCTAAAATTGTTGCTAAAGAAACATTTAATAAAGTTTTGCTAATGTTATGAATTGTTACAAAATGGATTTAAAAAAAAATAAAAATAAATAAAATAAATGTATTTAAGGTATAGGGTTACGCAAAGAAAAAGGATTTTAGTCCAAGTCGGTTTTAAGTTTTCAAAAGTGACATTGAAACAATTTCGGTAGAATGATCCATATATACCTTATTGTATTATTCTGTTTAGCCCTAAATATGTTTTTCTGAAACAATATTAACCAAAGTATGCTGCACAGTTAAATAAGAAGGCTTTTCAACATTGTGTTCCACAGCCATCATTGAGATGGATGCCAAGCGTGCACCTCAGGACAAGCTAATCTGTGTCTCTAAGTGCAGTCAGAATGTGTTCCAAGCTCTTGCCTTGGCCAATAGCCAGCCAGCAAATGCAGACGACTTCCTCTCAGGTCTGATTTACGTTGTGCTGAGGGCTAACCCACCCCGTCTTCACTCCAACATGAACTACATCACCCGCTTTGGCCTGCCACACAGCTTGATGGCAGGCGAGACTGGCTACTACTTCACCAACCTGGTGGGTTTGCATACAGTACATGCATAATTTACTTTAAAGTAGCACAATAGAGGAACACCTCTCAAAACATTTCTTTGTTTGAAATGAAACTGACTGTGCAGAGAGAGTTCACTGGATATGTTTGAGAATTTATGAATATGAATGTAGACCAATTAATATCAACAGTTATTCTGAAACCATGTCAAACCAGGGGAATCTGCTAGTGGCTGGGCATTAAAACAGGTTTTCCTTTCTTTTTTTTTTTTTAATTATTTTTTTTGATTTTTACCCAATTATCTCCCCAATTTTGTCGTTTCCAATTCCACCCGCTAGTTAGGACTCCCCCAATCACACGATGCTATCAACGCTAGGAGGGTGAAGGCTAACACAGGCTTCCTCCGAGACCTGTGAAACCAACCACCGCTTCTTTTCGAACTGCCGCTCACGCAACGTCACTGGACAGCTGAACGCGCTCGGAGGAAAGCGCCAACCGCCAGATCTGTTACGTCAGCTAACAGACGCCTGCGCTGACTAGCATCGCGTTGAGTGATGGGGGGAGAGGGAGGGGCCATCCTACCCACCCAGAGAGAGCGAGGCCAATTGTGCTCTCTCAGACTCCCGGCTACGGATGGCTGTAGCATCACCAGGGATCGAACTCGCGATCTCCTGATGATAGGGCCAACGCTTAGACGGTTGCGCCACTCGGGAGCAGGTTTTCCTTTCTAATGAAGAAGAGTTTGAGCTGAGACAGCTGCTTCTTTAAATGATCCTTCAGCTAGTCAGAGCATTGTTAGATGCTAAAGAGCAATTGTCATTTTTACATGGGATCTTTCAGCAAACTTTAAATTAATAAAAGTAAAGACATGCATAAAAATACATTTAATATTTATCTGTACACGCAGTGTTTTTAATCACTGTCCAGTCCCATTTACTCCAGCAATTTTTTTAAAGATAACTGTCAGCATTGAAGTTAAAAAAGCTGACTCATCTAACTTAACAGCTAACTTAAGAGTGTTCTGAAACGTTATTTATTGTTATAGATCACATAACTACATGAGCTCAACTCATTTACATCTGTCGACAGAAGAGTGTCCGTGGTTTCTATCACTGTACAAAAGATACGTGAAGCTTCCTTTATTGTTGGATTTTTTTTTTTTCTAATTGAATGAGAGCAATTCACATCAGTAAGCGCTTCTTATTGTTTTACCAGAATAATGATAAAGCGTGACTGATGTGTAACCTATATTCCTATTTGTGAATTTTTTTTTACATTTCCTATGTGTTACCATATTCAAAATGGTAGTTTGTGACAAACTGAATAAATATCTCCAGTTTTTAGTTTTTTATATCACATATTACATTAACAGCATTCGGAAATTGCATTATTAACAGCAAATAGTAGATAAAAGGGCAGAAATGGCCCTTTTTTGTCAGCCTCAAAAGGATTCAAATAAATTTAGCAAATACACTAACCTAGGTGAAGTTTAGCTTACCTCAGAGCCAGAATAAATCTGCCTGTTAATAGTTTTGACATGCTGTGAGCGAGACCTTCCCTATAGATTGACATTAATTAAATAAAACCACTTCTACTGTCCTGATGATCAGGGTAATAGCTGCTTTACACGTTTCTTAGTACCACCTTTCCACTTCTCTTAGTGTAATAATTTGGATTTATTTACTGCACCGCCATTTTTACTGCAGGTTTGTTCTGAGAAGTTTTGGGGGAGTTTTTCCTTTGCTTGACGGATAGTAATTGGGTGAGAGGTGTGTAGTCAGTTGTGGTTATTTTAACTATGTAACAGAATCTTTGTCACTGCTCTACATTGCATTTTGACATGATGTGGTTTGTAATTACGACAATTCAAGCACATGAAACAGGAAATGAACATGAAACATGGATGCTTGTAAAAAGTTTGTTTGTTCATGGCTTGTGGTAGTGTAACTAACAAAGCAGCACAATACAGAAACCAGCTGAGCTTGGTCCACTTGGCTTGCAAGTTTGGTCCCCATTCCTATTTAGTACATCGTACAGGACTACTAGGAAATGTAAGGCTAATCATGTTCATAAACCAGTTATTCAACATATTCATCCAGCAGTGTCACTTAAGCAGTAGACAGCCTGTTATGCTAAATGTAACAGCATGGTAGAGATACAGAGCTTGAGTTTTTTGTGACTTCTTCATTCTGTTCTCTTTAGTCATGTACAGTGGCCTTCATTGAGAAACTGGACGGCCCAGCACTTAACCTCACTCCAGAGGAGTTCAGCAGTTACATGCAGGGACGCAGAATGCCATCCAGGCCAGCAGAGGGTGACAGCCAGAGAAGGGCCTGGGAAAACCGTGAGCAGCTGGATGACCTGAAGAAGCGTCAAGAGAAAGTGGACCAAGGAGTACGAGCGCTTCAGGAGCAGTTGGAGCAGTGGGTACGGTCTGTGCAGGAGAAAGTGGATGAAGTTACTGCTCAGTCTGCGCTGCTGGAGAACCATCTGGCTGAGTCATTTGAGAAGTCTGCAGGCAATGCAAGAGACCAGTCAGTACTGGTGCTTAGGAACGATGCATCACATGAAGCTGGTCCTGAAGAGACTGAGTGTTGACCCTTTTTTATATATATATATATATATATATATGAGTGGTGTCCTCCTAGCCATATGTTTGTATGCTGCATTTACATTGCCTGGTAAAGCACATGTTTATATAGCTCTAAAGCAGTGGGTCACCAACCCTGGTTCTTAAAATCTGCCCTCCTGCAGAGTCTAGTTCCAACTGCAGTCTGCCCCACCTGCTACAGCTAATTAACTTTTTCAAAGTCATTGATTGGCTGAATCAGATGCATTAGTGTTAGGTGAACGGAGGGGCAGCTTGATGCACGTTGGAACTAAAATCTACAGGAAAGTAGATCTTCATTAGGACCACTGCTTTAAAGGCTGGTTTCTTGACCATGGATTTAATACCTTTTGAAAATCCTGTTTAGTCTGAGTTAAGGCTTAAAAGAAAGCATCAGTTCCTTTCAACCTAATCTTTATCAACCGCATCTGTATTGTACTGAAAATAAGAAAATGCATCATCTTGAAACTAGCTAGCCCTAGCACTTGAAAATACAGCTCTAACTGTTTATATTATGACCGAATGGCTTACTAAAGTTGGTCTTCTGAGGTTTCATCCAACCTTTTCTGGTATCCATGGCAATTAAGTTGCAAAACGCTATGTATTACCAAAGATTCTTACCTTGGATAGTCCCAATTTTTTTATTGTTGTTATTGTTGTTATTATTATTATTATTATATAAAGATAGTAAGGATGCTAGAATTTTCCTTTGATCTGGGCCTGGGAAATCGGCTATAGATGCTCTACATATCCTATATCCTATCTGCTATTACAAATTACATTCAATATTCACATGTATTGGCACTTGGCACCATAGAATTTTTACAATAGGATTTCAGTGTTTATTAGAGCTTAATATGCAAACAACTTATCTGCACCACAGTTGCACTTAAATGCTAAAATATACAAAGAGAACAAGTAGTAATGATGAAGGCCTTTGCTCCCAGTATATTACCTGCTGTTCATTTGGCATGACTCTTTCAAAACGCTAATAGATCGGTGTGCACTGTTTATTTTTCTGCTTTCCTGTCAGGACAGTGTCTTCACAGTATTGATTAGTGTTATCATGGGGATAGATCACGTCTTATTTCAGAGTTTTTAAAAACATGTTTTGGATTGTGGAATGTGGATTTTTTTTTTGGCGACTAGGACATGTAGGACATTGCAGTAGCAGTGCAGGGCACAACCGAAAACTGCTCAGTAGTCCAAGAGAGAAGACATTTGAAGCACAGTAGCACCCCTGAAACATGTGCTAATGTTTAAAAGCTCAGCAAATGCGTTTGCAGTCAGAAATACACTACTGTGCGAAGGTTTCTAAGCGTAGTTTTCAATAATATAAAATATATTATAATGTATAAAGCTGTAAAAATAATGATTTTTCTGATGAACAGAGCTGTAGATGATTCCATAATCACTGAGAAACTAATGTATCAGCTAAGTTTATATGGGGAGTTTATATAGGCAGTTTATATTTTGTCTTGTAAGTGTCTGAAAAGCTGTGCTACTACAACAGTCTAGAATAGAAGCATGATATTAAAGAAAGTAAAGACCAGATTTTAAGGAATAAAAACCATAATACTGTTGTATGCAGTGTATCATTGTACTTATCTTCCCTTTTTCATGTGTTTTAAGAAAAAGCTAGTTTAGAAACTCAGTGTACAAGATATGGCTCAATTTGAAAGGCATAAGTAAAAGTTAAAAAAGTAAGTTTACCTTGCAATGTAAATGCAGCCTTGTGTAAAACTTGTGTTGGTTCCGGTGGATTGAAGGGTTGAACTATTGAGGATTTCTGGTTGTTTTGAGCAGTGGTGGTTGTACTACATGCTTATTCCAATAACAAGTTTCTGCATGTTAAAAATATTATTAAGAAGGTACTCTTAGTGTACTCCAGTCAACTCCAACTTTTCTGCACTACTTGAGATAATGTACCTCTGTGACTTATCTTTTTTAGGATTTTTGTTGTATTTTTTTTTCCTTCATTAGATCTCTGAAGTCTTGCGTCATTCTGTAGTTGGCATCATGCTCGTATTAGGAACTCTGGTTCTATGCTGGTTTCTCTATGACAGAAATGAATGGAGTTTTTAAAATTCACCCCTGGTGCATCCTGTGGTAAACCAAAACGTTCCAAAGCTGTAACATTTTGTGCTGTGTACATTTTCCCCCAGTTGTCACTGGATAATCTAAATTACAGTCGAAATAAAAATAACGCTAGCTAACAATGTAAGCTAACTCTCCTGTGAATTAAAATGACATTGCATGGAAATAAGTCTACTGTTAAACTTGCTGTTATATACCAACACCAGCTACTCAAAACTCCAGCCATTCATTTTTTTTTCATAGATAAGTCTGCTTAGACCTGGAGTTCCTTATATGGTGTGATGCTGACTATAGAATGATGACATGACTTTGGAGGTGTATGCCATACGTTGCCTCACAGCAAGCACAAGCCGCCAGTCAGGCTTTGTTCCTAAGGAAAATTCTAGTAGAAACCACACAACACATCCAGTGCTTCTAATGCTCGTACCAGTTGCAATTTTGATTGATTTGCATTGGTAACTGGTAGTTCCAACTGGTTTTATCTGGGATTTACAACAGAACAGTTGAGTCCAGTTGAAATCAACTATGAATTGCTAGTATCCATTTCATCCTTGAAGATCTATGTTATTTTACTGTATAGCACGGTGTAAAACTCAGTTCCTTGCAGGCCACATCTCTGCAGAGAGGTTTTCCCTCTTCTAACACACCGAATTCAACTTGCTCAAGTTTGTAGTGGTGTGGCCCAGAAGGAACCCGGTTTTATGTCTCTGCTCCTGAACCAATTGGAATTTCCTTTAGGAAAAGCTGTAGATGATGCACACTGCTGTCCTGTTCACTCTTTTTACTGCAGCTATTGTCCCTGTAAGAAGTGCTGAGATGTGGACAGTGTTGCACAGTGGCATTTTATAAACTATGAAATGAATAGCACTTTCAGAGGTTTCAGCTCCCCACATAGGGCTGAACTTCTTTTTCTATATAAGCACTATAATAAATCCATGGTCTCAGGGTGGCAGATAATGGTCCAAACTGTTAACTGTGACAAGTCTGAGAAGCAAGTCTATGCAGTTAGTTATTTTTGTTTACATGTTTTAAGTGAAAGCTTTGAAGATCCCAAAAGAAATTTAATTAATGTGAAAAGCTGTTCTCGGTTACTAATAAAAATCAACAGAACACTTCACCCAGTTTATTTCACTGGAGCAGAAAGATCTGATGAGGTTTAGGTGGGCTGGAGGCAAATGGAAGACTTTGCATTCGTGTAGGTTACTGAGCCAAGGTTACACCATCTTAACCAAACAGGATTCATCAGTTTTGTTTCGGTATGGTTCAGTTCCTTCAGCTCTTTATATAATGCATCATACCAAAATATGATATTTTAAGAGAACCTTTGAAAGGGTCTCTAAGGTCGAGGTTAGGGTCACCAAAGATAATATCTCAAAACGCCCTCAACCTACTATTTAAAACATGGTATGGTACAGGATAGTCTGGCTCCTATACGGCCTTGGCTGGTACCGTTAGCGGAGTACTTGCAAAAGTCACTACGTATGGAAGGCAAAACAATCATTCTATAATGGCAAAAAGTCAACATGACTATTAAATTATGAACATAACATTTGACTACCTACAAGGCCTCTATTATGCTCCAATTTTAATGTACTTAATATTTCGCCATTATTAAGTGAAATGTTCAAATACCAGTGAATTGTCCTGATACATTGTTGTGATCCAGTAACGCGAAGCATACATTCTCGCCAGTGTAGATGCAGGCTATCCATCTGAGAGCAAGGCTGTGTCCAAAACCGCGTGTTATCACACTAAATGGCATATATAAGAGTACACCACCATTAGAAGTCGATTGATTAGTATAGTATCGTATAGTATGCGGTTTGGATGCAGCCTATGATTATGGTGCTGAGATGATAATACGGGACATCACTAGTTATGTATAACAAATGGATCAGATTCAATGTCATATTTTCTACATATTAAATGTTAACACCTTACCTATGTGGATAAACATTTTAATAATAATACATTAAGGTAAGGTAAGCAACCCATTACTGGACTCAACACAAGTACATAAAAAATGACCTAACGCTACCATTGTTGCAAAAATGTATTTTTTTGATCATGTACATGAACGTCTTAAGGTAAGGTTAAGGTAATAAAACGATTGAAAATTTAAGTAAAACAAACAAATTAAAAAGAAAACGTAGCGGGTTCCGTCATAGTAATTAATGACGTGTTTCTCAGAGATCTCTTTTTGTCCCTTTCTGCCAACCGTACTTGTAGTTTCAGGAACGGTCAGCTATGAAGATGACAGAAGAAAACAATAACAACAATCCTACGATTACCGTGGAGGACGTACAACGTCTGATTAAAAAGAAAGACGAAATAGAAGAACAGATCAAGGCATACTATGAGGTGCTGGAAGATGTAAGTTTACCTGAGCGCACTGTGTTATAAACTTCATCATTTTCAGTTAGGCTAGCTAGGCTAATAGCTCGCTGGTAACAGGGGCAGTGTGCGTGTTGCTTGCTGCTTAGCTTACCTTAGCTTTTTTTCTCTTAAACTGTAACGTTTCGGGGTTAATGCTCTGCGAGGTAGCTAGTATTATTAGATTTTCTAACAAGCCTCAGTGTGTACAAGTAAGTAGGGACATTTAGCATGTAGGTAACCTACCCCGGCCACCAGAAGTATAGGAACCCTTGGCAAAGATGAGCACAAAGTCTTGGAAGTCACTTTATATTTAATAGCCCAGAGAAACAAAAGCTATAGACGTAAAAGGTTCAGTTTTGAAGGAATGTAGTTAGCTACACAAGTTAGCTAGATTATTGAGTTTAAGTTTGTTGAGTTTCTGTAGACGTAATTATGATATATTTTCAGAAAATACATATTATTTTGTTTGAAACATTTTACCTCACAAGTTTAGATTCTTTTGATATTTTCAGTGTAAGGTCCAGTTTATAAACAATTATACAATACATTTTTCCATAGCTTCTCTTTTGCTTACCATGGGTGCTTTTAACTCTACAGGACATTGTACTTAGCTATGTTTAAACCATAGTCAAAAATGCAGGGACAGTCTGGTGCTGAGTTTTGAAAAAACACTAATGGAAGGCTAATATTGAGTTCTTCATGAATATACCAGTATTATCAGAAGGCTTACTTTTCCAGGCTCACTGTTTCTGAACAGTGGAGTTGAAATCATTTTGGTTGACTAGGAGTGATTGTACACCTGAAAAGTGTATTTTATGTGTCTCATTGAGTGCATATATATTAATACAGTTTTATAAATATCTGTGCCTTTAGCACTCTAAAGTCATCTACATAGCTGAATTAACCTTGTATTTTCACTTTCATTGCGTCTGGGTATGTTTCAGCAAGGTGATGTGGGAATGCATGTTCCTCTAGTTGACGTTGAAGGCTATCCTCGTGCAGATGTGGATTTGTTCCAGATCAGAACAGCAAGACATAGTATCTCATGTAAGTAACTAAATGCAGGCAGTAAAACAAATGAATAGACTCAATAATTTCACTGTATTTCAGTGCTCAGTGTATTCAGTGTTAGTATTTCAGGGGTGTAAAAATGAATTGATGCATCATGGTGCATCAGTCTGAAAGTGGTGTTTAATCTGCTTTGATTTTGTAATGTTAGAATTAAGTATAATCGATCACAGGACTATTCAATAGACTGTGCACTCTTTTTTTGGCTGGAATACAATTCTCAGGCTATGAAACATACATATCCCCCAAAACCTTGATATGTTGATTTTTTTTGTCTTTCTTTTATTATTGTGTAAATATAGACAGGTGACAAATGAAATTAAAAAAATAAAAAAGTGGACAAACTGAACAAGTGCAGATGCTTAGGTTAAGCTATCCTACATTGCTGAACAAGACCAGGATATTATAGTAGCTGTAGTGCATAAAACTCTCATTACAAAGACAAATTACTATTAACATTTCAGTGGAAAACAGTGATCTGGTCAGGTGAATCATCCTTCATCATAATCTCAACAAGTGAATTGTGAATCAATTCATTCTCAGACTGAATCAGGGTAAAATTAGAGAATTCCCCTATGTTAGGTTTCATTTTTGTTGCATTTTGTGTTGCTGCCAGGTTTGCAGAACGACCACAAAGCCATCATGGTGGAGATTGAGGAGGCCCTTCATAAGCTGCATGCTCGGGAGAGGGCTAAGCGTGAGCAGGACCAGGCAGAAGCCCAGATGGAGAGATTGGAGCAGGAAGCGTCTTTGCCCGCACCGTTTGCTCGGGTGGATGCTGTGACGCAGGGCTCCCCTGCTTATCAGGCGGTGAAGTTAAACTCAATGAACACAGTTAACAGTGATCTCGATACAGGCTGCTTAAATCAATGTTTCAGCCAAAATTTCAGTTATTCCATTTAGACCTGCTTATGTGGTTTCTGACACTTTATTACATACTGTCTATAAAAATTAAAATGTACAGATAAATGTACAGACAAAACTCAGCTTTAATGGGGCTGCTACTTCTGTTTTTAGCTTTGCAACATACTTTTGTTCATTTTTT